TGAGTATGATTTCGTCATTAATGACTCAAAAGCAGTATGTCAAATGGACTCAAAAGCAGTATGTCAAATGAAAGTCATGCTTTCCTTATAAAAAATACAAAATGTTGAATTCTTCATCTATATTTTGATTGTGTTACAACGTTCAGACACGGTAGCAATAACCAATCTATACATTCAAGTTTGCCATTTGACTTTATATTTAATGGGTTAGAATTCATTTAAGTCAGTTCCCACTCTCATCCATTAGTCATCCAACTAGGATAAGACCTGCTTAAATTTAAATAAATTTATATAAAATTATTTAAAAAATTATATACCAAAATAAATGTATATTCTTAATTAAATTAATATTTTGGTCTGTAAATATTTTTTTAATTTTTTTGTTAATTACATAATTTGTTTACTGGTGAACTGATCTCATTTTTAAAAATGTTTAGACCAAAATATCACTTACCGCAAAGAACATAACATTTATGTCAAAAAATCTCGGGTCTATTTGATTACAATGTAACTATTTCAGCTCATTTTTATATCATGATTTAGCAATATAAAAATTAATTATGGTTATAAAAAGTTTACGTTCACGTGTCAGTTCTATCTATCTTCAAAAAATTTCTTTTTTTGTGTCTTTTTCATTTTGGTTATTACTCGATATAAATATTGATTTTGAAGTTTATTCTCATTTCATTTGTTTGGTTTGGCCTAAGATTTAAATAATGCTTAAGATTTAAAACAATTTAAAAGGTACATACTTAGGTTAAGATTTGCACTTTTTGCAGGATAAGTATTTTATATTTATTATTTATTTTATGTTTTTTTCTGCATATTATGAAAAATAAAATAATAAATATATATATTAAATAACTAAGAAATCAGTTACTATTATGTAATAAATTGGCGTGTGCATATAAATCTAACGATCACTCTTGTTTATTCACAATTAGGATAAATAAATCAAACAATCAATCTTATCTGTCGTATATGATATATAATTAAATTTAAATGATATTAACATAGACATATAACACACTTTTAATATGTATATTTATTAAATGAGGTTTCTACTCATATGATTTTGTAACTATTTGCATATTTGTATAATGAAATTTTACACCAATGAATTATTTTTAATGTGAGATGTTTAGTAGTTTCAATAATTCATAATCAGTTCGAAAAAACAATGACACATTTTAAAATTAAAATATTAACTTTTCAATATATGTTCAATGCAAATATCAAAATATTAGTATGTATTTTCATACGATGTATAATTTAATTTAAACAATATGAAATATATATATATATATATATATATATATATATATATATATTTACTAACATTAAACTTATTAATATAAAATTACTTCTTCATATGCTCTTATAATAATTGTATCTTATGTGAGACTTTTAACAGCTTTAGTAATTTATACTCGTTTTAAAAATTTCGAAATACAACATACACAAAAAAAATTTAGATTTTTGTTAATGATTAATATAATTGTGTAATTTATTTTAATAATAAAGAAATAAACAAAACGATAAAAATATACAGATTGTTTTCAAGTCTTTATTGTTTAAAATCATTAATTACCATATATATATTAATCACATTAAGTAATTCCATAGGTTTTGTTTAAGGAAAACCTACGGAACAATAAATATTTGATATATATGATCAACTATAGTGTGCGAAATATTATACTGATAGAAAATATAATTTTTAGACTATAGTTTATATAAGGTGTTCTATAATCCTTTTAAATTGAATTAGAAGGTATAGAGAGATGCCACGTAAGATGAAAAAAAAATTAATTGATATAAACTTAAGATTACATCTTTTCAAATATATAGGGATGCCCAACCTTTAATTAATTTTTTTAATATGTTATAATTTAAGATTTTGAAGAGTTGGAATTCTACATTCACTACAAGAAAACTCGTCCATTACTAGGGCAGGTTTTCCTCGTTCGTTCCTAGTAAATGGCCTTTTACTAGGAACTTACGAGGAAACGCGTTTCGTCGAAACACGTTCATCGTAAAGCCTTTTTCCTCGTAAAGTCGTAGTAACCACTTTCCTCGTAATTTCCTAGTAACCATTTTCCTCGTAATTTCCTAGTAACCACTTTCCTCGTAATTTCCTAGTAACCACTTTCCTCGTAATTTCCTAGTAATACTTTACTAGGAATTTACTTTGAAATATTTTTCCCTATTAAAAAAAATAATTAAAATAAATATAAATAATATATTTAAAAAAAAATTAAAGAATCCAAATTATAAATAAAAAGAAATAACAAAATATTTTATAAATAACTAAATATTTAAGTTTTAAATTCATATACAATTAAAGAGAAAAAAAACTAAACTACGGATGTTGCTCGTTAAAATTGACGAACGAAGTCGTCATCCCGGCTCGATAACTAGTATCATTAATATACTAGTATCATTTAAAAAAACAGTTAAAAAATTAAATTAACCTAATCTAAATTCCCTAAACTAACCACCTAATCTAAATTCCCTAATCTAACCACCTAATCTAAATTCCCTAAATTAACCACCTAATCTAAATTCCCTAATCTAACCACCTAATCTAAATTCTCTAATCTAACCACCTAAGTAGGAAATAGAGAGAACCTTAAGAGAATTCAGAGAGAAACATACTACAAATGAGAAATCGGATTGCTCGAGTTTATATAAGGAATTTTGTTTCCTCGTAAGGCCCTAGTAACATTACTAGGCCTTTACGAGGAAATAGCTATGCCCGTGTTTTTATTTCCTCGTAAAGTCCTAGTAATACCATTACTAGGACTTTACGAGGAAACTGCTTTACTAGGAAATAGCTATGCCCGCGTTTTTTNTCCTAGTAATGTTATTACTAGGACTTTAAGAGGAAACAACTATGCCCGCGTTTTCTCTTACTAGGGATTTACGAGGAAAGGGTTTGTAAATCCCTAAACTCGAAACCCCAAACCACAACTTCCTTAACTTATAACCTCTTCTACAACCAAACTCCTAACCTCTTCTACACCTAAACCTCAAATTTTCAAAACTAAACAACCTAATATAAGTTCCCTAAACTAACCACCTAATCTAAATTCCCTAAACCCTAACCTTAAACCTAAACCCTAAACCTAAACCAACTTCCATAACTTATACCTATACATCTTCCTAAACCCCAAATCACAATTTTTTTAAAAAAAAACTAAAAGAAGTATACAGTCATCGGAACGGTTTTTATCAACCCAACATAGCTTTCCTCGAACTATCTACCAGAAGAAAAGCCCCAAGCTATTTCTTTGAGGAAAAGCTACGAGGAGTTGATAAGAAACTATTATGTTGACTGTGAACTCCTTTCAGTTATGAATTGAGTATTTTCTATTTGTTTGGTGTGTTTCAAATGAATCACATATGGTGGTATTTATAGAAATTTTCGAATCTGAGAATTTACTAGGAAATTGCTAGGAAAAGTAGNTATGCCCGCGTTTTTTTCCTCGTAAAGTCCTAGTAATGTTACTACGACTTTACGAGGAAATTGTTTTCTCGTAAGTATACGAGAACCTTACGAGGAAACATGGTTTCCTCGTAAACTCGAAGTAAACTCGTAGTAATTTTACGAGGAATTATTTTCCTAGTAAAGTTTCCTAGTAAATGCTTAGTTTTCTTGTAGTGATTCCTCCTTTAGACAGTTGACAAAAAAAAAGTATTAGAGCCTGATGAAAAAATATTAAAAATGCAGTTTCAGACTTTCAGTAATGATGGTCTGAAGAGAACAAGAGAATATGTTTGCTTTTGCATCTTGTAAGAAGATTTCTTGTTCCAGGAAAAAAACTCTTTACAAGATGTAAAAGCAAGCATATTCTATTGTTCTCTTCAGACCATCATTATCGAAAGTCTGAAACTGCATTTAATTGGCGTTTTGCTTACTCTGATTGTTTTCCTGAGGGATGTACATTTTATCTGATATCCGGACTTGTATCCGAATCTGATCTATAATATTTGAACCAAAATCCGAACCGAAGTAACAAAATACATGAATGGATATTGAATTAGGAGAGATTGGATATTCAAATTCAAACGGATAATACTCGAATCTAAATGGATATCCGAAGATAACCGAATATATATATATATATATATATATATTATTCTTAGTTTATATATTTTGTTTTAGTCAAAATATTTATATTAATGTTTTATATGCCTTAATATCAGATAATATATATCTAATGTAAAAAATGATTTGCTACTCATTTTAAATACATGTTAAGTTTCTTATTTCATGTTTTTTAACAAAAATTACATCTAAAATTTAAAAAATAACAACTAGATTAATGATTTTCTATTTTCAATAATTTATTTTAAAACTTATTAATCGTCTAACCTATGAAACATTTAAAATAGTTAAATTAATAGTAAAATTTTAAATACATGAAACTTGAACAATATAAAATTTTAATTTTTTCTTTCAAGATCTAAATACCTGAAACTAAATCCGAAATACCGAACTCAAACTAAAACTATCTGAATTCGACCCGATATATAAAAATATCCGAACCGGTACTTGACCCATAACCCAAATATCCAAAAATCCAAATACCCAACCCGAACGCGAACGCCCACCCCTACTGCAACATATGTTAACACCACCATAGTACATCAAAGATGAAGGCAACATATACTGAGTTTTATTACATCAAAGAAGAGACCACGTAAACTGAGAACTTTTACCAAAGCTATCACCCATGTTGCGTTTCGTTTCTTGGGCGAGTTCCTATCTTCAGACAATTGATTTCTCATGTCGCATCGAGAGAGCAGAGGCCAGCCGAGACAAAAGTCTGACCAGGGTCGGTCATGACCATTGGCCTATGGTCTCCAATTTTTTTTTTTTAAATACATAAAAATAAACTTCCAAATTTATTGAAACTTTTATTACATAATCTCAAGGTAATTTCACTTGCAACATGTACTAAATGTCTAGATCTAGAGATAAATAATACTACAAAAGTCTTAAAATGCTTAAAATTTTATAAATAGGGCTCATATTCATTTTCTACCTACCATTACACTCCTTTTTTTGTAACAACTACATTAACTCAGAAAACTTATAAAGATAGAAACACACACACAAATAAACATATGGGAAACAGAAACAAATTGATAGATAACATTCAACAAAAGGCAAAGCTAATGAAGGAAGATTTCAAATGCCCTGGCATGGATTGTTTCCAGCGAGGCTGAGAGAGAGAGATCTCAAGACACTTGGTTAAACATCATCATACGTGTTTGGAAGATTGAAACCACGATAAGAGCGCAACGGGAAGAAATATGAGCATTCCCATTCCTGCATCATAGAGCCTTGCTAGGGAACGTACTGATTCCCACATCCCAATTCGCTTAATGACTGGCTTCAAGGCACACGCAACCTACAAAACAATAGAGATTACTACATTGTTAAGAACTGAACTCAACAGAGATTAGAGAGAAAGAAACTTACGGAAAGGATTCCCCATCCTGTTGGTATAAAAGCCAATAATACACAAGCAATTATGTCTGTCACTGACAACTCTGTCAGCACAACAGCTATGATTATGCCAGCTAGAGACACCAATAAGGCAAGGCCTTGTATAGACCTAAGCACAAGCCGGAAATTCACAGCAATCTTCTGAATCAAGGCAAAGACCTAAGCAATGTACACCCAAAATGGAGTTATATCAGATAAAGTAAATGCAATATACTCAAGAGAATTAAGTTTATTTGGAAATTGAATAAACCAACCTTGAAAAGAACTAAAATCATAGCAAATGCAGCCCATGACCAACCATACACCTGCACATGTATAAGTATTATATTATTAAACATAAAGAAACCCATAACAAAATAAAAAAAAATAGTAATGCTACTACTCTTCAACTAGTTTCAGACTCATGGTAAGTACAAGACATGGTGCTGTACCGCAAATGATGATGTATCTAATCCATGCAGGTTCAGTTTGTAGACAATACCAAACTGGAAGATAAAGAATCTTAGACTTAATATGATCTCCACTATCCTCCCACTCAAGGTCCCAATGTGAGACTGTGTAGATGTAAGAAAGATATTAGTTTCCCTGATCTAACAAGAGTTACAAAAAACTGGAAATGGAGAGTTCTTACCTGTTCTTCTTCCCACCAAGCTTCCCAGCTTTCAGTTCCTTCCACACCAATCCCACCATCTTTACAAAAGAGCCATTTACTCCATTCTTTGAAGTCCTCCAGGAGTCTGAAAGATATTTCTCAATGAGGGAACATGTTACTCAACAATACAACATTAAATCAGACAAGCATTACTTACTTTTGCCTCTCAAATCCATAAGGGTTGAACAGGTAAGGAGCAAAGAGCCAAGAGAAAGCCAAAAAACAGCTGCTAAGCGTCAGAAGAATGTAGGAAACAGAACCAGACTCCTCATTTCCATAAGCAAGGTAGACAGCCAGTAAGAGAACAACCTCCATCCTTAGAGAATATAAAAACATACCAATGAACTTTTCATCCTTTACTATGGCTGAGTGGTATTCATAATCAATGTATGGACATAAGACACAAAGAGTATACCCTTTAACAAAATGACTTCTGGAATAAAGACGGTAGTTCTCAGAAAATTTGATATGCTTGACTACAAACGACCCTCTTCCAGTGTCTTGGTACTGGTGACAAACACTAGCACCACCATGAAGAAGTGTCCGTCCAAAATAATGGGCTCTTGTGCCAAGAGAAAATGTGAAGTAGACAGAACATAGCTGAAACTGCATAGTTGTGAAACTGACAATGGCCTACACAGTGGAAGATGGTTAAAACAAGTTCTACTTTCAAACAAACACACAAAAGTAAAATAGTTCATTTTCACCAAATGACTATATGTCATCAGTGAACACTGATTCAGAACACATGCTTTACTGTTCTGTAGATAATCAAGTAGAACAAATGACAGTCTCCAAGGAGATTCTAATCAAGTACCTGGAGAAAACCATGTTCCAAAATAAAGCCTAGAATCATTGGCACAGAAGTGAAGACACCAATCTGAAACAGAAACTGAGCACTGAGAGCGGCGCTAAGTTCAGTATTGTTCACAAGAATAGTTCTTTCTTGAATAGTAGCTCCAACTCCAGAAAATGCCTATTAATAACCAAGCACAAACACAAGAATCAGCCATGAAGAAAGCTTATGCAGTCATAACCAATATAGGCAACCATGCTTACCAGGTATGCCTTCCCATACAAGACAATATACAAAGTAAGCACCGTTAACTGCAAGAGATCATTTAAAATGTCAAATCATTAGTATAAAACTTGGAACAGCTCCAGATACAAGAGTACATACCATTGTAGAGAAATAGAAACCAATAGTTGTGAAGTAGAATGACATCATTCTAAAGAAATCAAGAAGCTGGCCAAGTCTGTACACATCTCGACTTAGAACCTGTTCACCATTACCACCAGCAACCTTCCCTTCAAACAAAGCTATTTGATTGAGCCCCACATCTCTCCCTTTGCCCACCTGTTAAAAAAACTAATACATATATATAAACTGTTCATCCTTTTATGTAAAAAGAGTTTATAAAGTACAAACCTGAATATACTCATGATGAGTAATATTCCCTTGACGTAGAGTTGAGTTAAAACCTGAAAAATCATAGCATCAAAATGAATCAACATTCACTTTTTAACCATTTTGTATGTTCTTAATCGGTTTTTACCAGCAAAAATATCTTCACTAGTATTGATGGCCCGAGAGGCCTTGCTGATACCACCACGTGTGATATGGAAAACTCTGTCAAAGACATCTGAATGACCATAATGCATGCGGATCCTGACAGAATAAGGATTCCATCTGAGTTTTTAAGTCAAGGAAAATAAACTTATTGGTGGTATTAGCAGCTTACTTCAAGGGTTTGGCTAATACTCGTTGGCCAAGAGTTGCAAAACTAGTTTCTTGACTGGACATGAAAGAGGCCAAGGAGGAGACACTGGAACATAAACAGTTATGTAAGATGAAGTATATTAAAATTAGAAAATAGTTATACGAATGTCTGGTGTTCACACCTTCCAGTAAATACATGTTCCCGAACTCCAAGAATGGTAGGTGGTCTAACACCATGGTCCTGATCAAATTCTTCCAAAAGATTTCTCATCTTCAAGGCTTCTTCAAAGTAATTATCCTAACAAATAACCAGAAAGAATGTAAAGCAAGCATGTAATTATGATAGAAGATTCAGGTGCATTCACATATGATGAGATGTCCAACTCCAAACTGTGATTCAAAAATACTCTTTACAAAGCTTATATGTATCTATTTTAATAAACTGAATACAAAAATTGCATAGTAACCTGATTCATATCAATAGTCTGAACTGCATTTCCACGAGTAAACACAATTGCATGGTTCTGATTCTCAGCTTTTCCTTGGCCAAGTTTTGGGTCCCCAGGCAATCTTATAGAGTAAATTTCCTGCATTAGCCAGAATAAAACCATTTAAAGAAAGTTTACATGTTTTGAACATTAAGGAAACAAGAACACTGGAGTCTTGAACTGGTTTCACATATGATCAAAGTGTACCTTATCCTTTCCACTTATGTCTGCCTTAACAAGCTTTGAATAATATTCTTTATGAGATTTACCCTCTTTTAGAGTATCAACAACATCGATATAAGCAATGCGAAGGGCTTCATTTCTGACAAAAAAAATGAAACAGCTTAGCTTTTGTAATAACAGAATGATAGCAGAATCTTCTTACCTTTGCATCAGCAATGCAATGTCAGCAGCTTCAGGTTTTTGATCTTCTTTCTGTCTTCCATACATTTGGCATGTGACAACATATGTAAACTTTAGATCTGCTTGGGCCCTTGCTTCAGGAGACAACTCAAATCCTTCAGCATCCGTTGGATCATTACCATAAAGTGTGGCTTCCTCGTCTGTAACTGGTGATGAGATAAGCCCTGAGAGAAAAAAAAAAGCTTGACCAAAAATGATATATCTCTATAGAAATCACTTACCTCTTCCAGCTTTTCTTTCCAGATAAGACTGAAGCATGAGAGCTTTCCTATAATACATCATCCCTCGAACTGATGCCAGATAACACATAAACTCTGAGATCTTGAAGTGAAAACAGTGTATCCTCCAAGAAAACAAAAAAAGTGTAGTGATTTGTTTTACCTACCTGTTCTAGCTAACGTTTGTCCACGGTAAGAAGCCCAAAACCGAAGTTCAAGTATGTCTCTCTCATTATCTAGATCACCTTCTAACGCATTCTCATATTGTCCTATTCGTGCTAGAAAATTCTTCCACTCATCTGCAACATTATCAAATATTAATGAAGACATATCAATCCATGATGGTAACAAAATGTAAGGACATAAGCAACTTATCAGTAAGAAACATTAAAAAAGCTACCTGGATATTTTTTCTGAAGGTAAAACAAGATTGATATTCCATCTTCATTTCTTTTAGTGAGTTCAGACATGCTGTATAACACAGCCTCAGAACAATATGGAGTGAAGACACTGAAAAAACAAAAGTTTAGAGGATAATATAGTAAGCTTCTAAATAGCTTATTTGGATAAAATGATGAAAGTATGGAAAATGAAATACCTGAAGGATAACATTTGGTGGACAGGCTTTGGTTGTGGCACATCCATGAAAAGAGAATTGGTGAAGAATTGTAGTCTACGTCTGGCCTCAAGATTTTTAGGAACATGCAGCGTTGTAGAATCTTTGATAGTAAGTAGAGAGTACAATCTTTTGACGATAGCTTTCTGTAAAAACCATAGAGAAGTATTAAAATGAGTGTAATTATAGCCTTTGAAAATGAAAATATATATATACCATCTCTGGATCTTTAGGCCATTTCAACTTTGTAAACAGGCGACCTTCATTTCGAGCTCGAGTTAACAAGTTCCACGTGTCATAGCTAGCCCTACACCAAGCAACATATTTTTTGGAAAAAAGTATTAAACAAAGAAAAGAAAAGCACAAAGCCAAATCATACCTAAGACTAAAACCTATTATGTCAAGCCTCATAACATCGTAGAGATCTTGAAGTGCTTTGGTTGCTCCTGCTGCATTCTCCGGTGTTTCATTTTCTTTCTGTCCAAGAAAAAAAAAACAGCACCATGAAGAATAACAATAACGTCTACAATTCACAGTAACATAACTTTCAGCATCATGAAGATTAGTACTATAATAATAATAACAATAATAATTAATAAGCATGGTAATGTGAATTACCAGGACTCCTAAGAGTGCAGTCACTTTAGTTATAACAAGGGAGAGCTTCTTCAACTGAAAATCAAGATGTATAGTTCTCATCGTTATGCTGGTCTGAATGTCTCTGAAGATTCTGTCCACCCTACAAAATAATTTTCACAATAAATATATGTGGCAGGTCATTTTAGAGATTAAAAATAAAAAACATTACCAAACCATCCCCTCGGCTTCCAGAGTTGTTATTAAGACACGTTCAAGGCTGTAATAGACTTCCTCAACAGCATACTTCATGTAGACATCCTTTTCGATCCTCTTCACAATCTCCTCTTGTGACTTACTCTTAGCAGCAATCTCTGTGGCTAATAATATCTACAGTAGATAAATATAAAACATAACATTCACTAAGAAATGTCAACATAGATATATAGAAGGAGTTTTGAATACAGAAGAGAGGAAGAAAAGTCACACACCTTGCTGGAAAGAAGAAAGAGAGGCCACTGAACCGGTGTACGATAATTCTTGGGCATCAGGAGCAAGTCCATCTCACTAAGGAAATGGTTTGATATGAGAAATAGTGGGTAACAATGATGAAACCATAAAGAAAGATGAAGCTAAGAGCAATCATTAGACACCAAAAGCTTAGTTATTGAACAGTATAAAAGCACTTACTAATCAGTGATGTAGTCTTCCTCTCGTAGACATTTTATTATTTGGTTCCAAAATGGAGAAAAGTGAGCTGCCTCTACTCTGTTCTTCTTGTCCACAACCTTTTGAATTGAATATCACATGCAATATATGAGAAGAAAACTAACATAATTTCATTTAGGAAACTAGTGAACAGAGAGGGAAGCAGCATCACTACCTCATGAGAAGGATCACAAGTCCTGCATATGATTTTGATTAACAAAGAGTACAAATAAAGGGAGATGTGTAGGTAAAATAACAAAAGATGGAAAGGAACCTAACCGATATGTAATGGGGACATGAAGAGTCCTCATAAAGGCCCCTGGAAACTTCTTAAATTGCTTGTGAATTTCTTTCAAAGATCTTATCTGTGAAAATGGCAAGGCAAGGTAAGGACCCTAACCTCTTAAGTGTAGTAACAGTTATAAATATCTTGATTGTGTCATTTCTAAGACAAAAGAGAAGTGTAACCACACTTACCTTCCCCAAACGATCTCTCAAACCGAGCAAGAAACCCAAAAAAGCAGAGACAAGTGTGTAGAATATATGAATGTCTAACAGGTATATCTGCCATTATATGGAAGATAAAGTTACAATACAAAGAAGGAAAAAATTAAACTGTGAAAACTCATCCTAATCAGACAAACTTCATCAAGATTGGTAAAATATTTTCTAATAACAAAATCATCCCAAAACTGAACTGATTCTCTAGAAACAACTACTTCTTGATTCAGTGATTGCTCCCAGCAAAACAAGTGTCAAACCCTCATGTAAAAGACCATTGAACTTACAGAGACAACAGGAGCCCATAAACTGGCAACAGTCAGAGCATTATAGTTTCCTGCATCCAGATAAAAAAATATATCATAGAAGAATGAATTATTTGAGATTATCAGTACTTGTATCAGCAATAAATCTAACAGTAGAGCTAATAAAATTCCAGGAATAAGGAACAATATTATACCATGTTTCACTATCATCATTGTTGGACTAACAAGCGGCTCTATCTGAAAATTCATCAGCAAGAGAAATATAAGTAGTATTTTATGATGTTAACATTCATATATGTCACTTGTAACCACAATATCAACATATCATCACAACCTGAAGAAAGTACGCAAAGGAGAACTTTGCAGACAGAACAACAAGCCAAAACAGCAGGTACCTTGCGCCATACGAAAGGGTTTAGCACATCCTTTACAGATGAAAAAAAAAACATAAAGATAGCTAAAATAAAGTGAAGAGGCTACTTTATAAAATCAGATGTCCTTTCATACATGCCACGGCCAACATAATGTCTCTCCTGAAAATACAATCAAGTAAAGTAAGCATCAGAGATTAATGAATGATGATCCAAATATTAACCATGAATGAAACAGAAACCTGGCGCCACATCCACTTAAAGAATCGAATCAAAGTCCACCCATCACATTTATTAGCAATGTTGTGACAAGCTGGGATACGCATCAGGATACTAGAAAAGAACTGAACACCACCATAGATGGCTATGACAATCACATAAAGCTTGAACATGACTGAACCAGAATTTGGTTTGCTATCTTCTTGAAGTCCTCTCCTGCACACACAAACAACTATCAAACAAGGGAATGCAAAAAACTACCTCCAAAGATGGAAAAGTTTCATAAGAAGTTCCACTTACACATAGAGGAAAGATATGAAGATGGAAGCAAGACCAAACCAAATGAAACGGATAAACATGCGATAAATGGTCAGCCGTCTTGTAGTAGAATAAGCACCATACATCATGATCACATCCAGAACACCTATAACATTTAAGCATTAAGCTTTGTCTTCACTCAAGAATAGTATTATACTAAAGGTAAAGTAAATAGTATGAGGTTTTAAGACTCACTCTTAAAAAACTTCATCACAACATAAGTTGGACCCAGGCTGAGAATCTCACGCAAAGTCTTCCTAGAGGCAAGGTTTTTTTCATTGAAAGCAATTATGGTAAGTGCCTGTAAAGAAGCCTGTTAGAGTGTGTGTGGTAGCAGGAGAACATTTTGTAGACATACAACAATCCTAAGATGAGATGAGATTACAAACCTGAAACATCATAGCTAGGAATATCCATAGCCGATGGAAACTGTGGTAGAGACGCAAGAACGTTCGGTGCTCAACGAAAGAAGTCTTTCCTCGATGTTTTTCCCTACCGGTTTTAAGCTCGACCTACAATAACATCAGATGATGGTCATCTCACAAAATAACATACAACAAAAGAGCTGTCTACAACAGCAACACTACACATGACAAAACAACTTCAAGCAGCCTCTAACACAAACCTTTTTTCTCGGTATAGGTTTCTGAAAAAGAGATGAACTCGTTCTCCACGGCCAACCAAGCTCGAAGGATCGAAGCGACCTAGAAAATCAAGAACGTGAGCCAAGAGAGAGAGAAGGAAATTAACTCAACAGGCAAAGATATTATAACTTCTTTTTTTACCAAAAATACTCATTGAAGTCATCATAGTTTCTCCATGCTGAATGAGGTATTCGGCCATTGCCACTGTTAAAAGCTTCCTACACAGACCAACATGTTATAACATCACATGTCTTAGCAGGACTATTAAATCAAAACCATCAACACTGTCTTAACAAATAAATATTCATACATGAGAAAGCATAATCCTGTCTTAATACAGGACATTTTGATTAGAATACAACTAAAAACAGTAGTAAATGACTATCCCAATCATTTCCTAATCTAGCAAATTTAAACATTTAAAAAGGAGCATACATGAAGATAACAGAGAAAGGAGAGGAGACTCTATAAATAGAGGGGTAGAAGAAGACTTCAGAGAGCATACCTCTGATACAACTCCATACAGTGGAGCAATAACATGATCAAGGAATGATACACTATCATCAGAGTCACAACGATCTACTGGTCTACAACTCTCAGCTGGACGAGCAACCTTTTGGCGTAAGATCTCATCCATTTCTCTTGCCATCTACATAAAGGTATTCAGCATGAGCACATAATATATCAAATGAACAACATATGATAGTAAACTTACCATAAAACCAGTAGAAATTCAAAACTTACATGGTGGAATATGTAGCACAAACATTCAGGAAGGAACCGTATGTTGGCAGCTTCACCCCAAATCAGGAAATACAATGAGAGGTACAGTAGTTTCTTCTCTCCACTAATGGCTTCTAAACTGCATCTTACAAAATCGAATTGAGCATGCAAGATTTTGTAGCAGGTAAAGACAAGGAAGGTGAGATTATTTACTTTCTCCATGAAGGTTGAATGCAGAGGTAATCACACCACTTAATGTAGTTGTCTAGGGACTTCATAAACACATTACTCACTGCAGCATCATCAAGTTTCTGAGAGAGAGCACATAAGATTGAAAAATTACTCATGAGATCTTAAACCAATGAATAATCTACTTCTAATCCAAAAACTTCTGTGACATTAATCATATGAAAATAAAAAACTGTGGTACTTACATGTTCTGTTTCTCCAGGAATATTAAGGCGTGATTGCTCATTAGAAAGAAGAAGAACTATATGTTCACGCTGATTGTAGACGCTGTCTCTCTGAGGCAATAAGTTAGAAACATTAACACACAATACATGAAAGATGATTTACTAATACAAAAGAAAAAACCTTCTCAAATAGTACAAACCTGAAACCCAAATACATAGTGGAGAAAATCAAGCATATCAGCACTCCTTGTTGCAGGAATGGGGAACTCAGCAGGCAATTTTGGCAAGCGTGGAAAATACTTCAACGCTGAAACTGCAGCTTGCACCTCAGGGAAAGCCGTTGTGGCATTTGCTGTGACAGAAGCATCAAGAGGAACAATGTTGTAGGCAACATTGTCCTCACTCATCATTGCAGCATTTGAATCATTAACATGCTTCATCTGTTGTAGCACACAAAGTTTGATTATTATTAACTGCAATATACAGAGCTACTTTGACCAAAAAAGTGGACTGAGTTAATGTAAACAACCTCTTCAAAGATCTCTTTTGAAACATGCCCCAACACATGTTCCAGAACTTTAAGGTTGGCAAAGATTTTTTTCCTTTCTTCTGTTTTCCTCTCTAGCCTGAAAAAAGCCAATATCAACACAGTTTTACAAGAACTAAGATAACCAGGGCTGAATCCTAGACCAAGCCTAATAAATGTTTATAACTTCTAAATTCTCAAGAACATAAAATTGACATATTATGTTATCTTTTGTTAGTATACATACTCATCAGTGGAAGTGCCTGACTCATGGAGCTTCTTTTCCTCCTCCTTTAACGTGTCAACATTGTTCTTTTCTCTGTACCGTTGGTAAAAACCTTGAAGTCGGTTAATGTCTTGACTTCTATGTATGGTCCCAACCTTTCTTTCTTCATCTCTTTGCTGAAATCAATTAACCAAGGCCGAACAATGTACAGTATATGATGATGAGTATGCAAAACCGATGAAAAGAACAAAGAAGAAGTGAAACATACCTTAATAACAGACATCAATCCGGTTCTAAATTGTAAAACATATCTGCTTTCACTATTAGTGTCAAGTTTTTCTACAAGCGAGTAAGCATGCTCACATACTGTATCAAAAAAGGGAAATAGTCACAGCTTTGCACAGAGGAGGAAGAATAAGTAAACAAACAAGAGCTTACAGATCCTAGCTATGATAGGGTCTTCAGCTTGGAGTTCATCAGAAGCTCTCAGAATAGCATCTATGTCTCTGCCATGACCAAGACCAGTACCAGCAGCAGCAGCTTCTCCTGTTCTGTCCCTTTGTAACGCAGCATTAACTAGACGCTCCCATAGAGACTCCACTCGAGACATTTTAACCAGTGTTTTGTATCACTCATGTAAGACTTAGTGAAGAAGGGTTGAAACTTGAAACTGAAAGCTAGCTCGCTCTGTCTTTATAATAAGTTTCAAAAGTTTCTTTAAGGATTAGTTAACATAATCTTTTACACAAAACCACTACAGCGAAGGAAGGAATCTATTGTATACGTTCGTAAAAACAAACAAAAAGGAACCACGTAGGCAAGAAAAAAGCGAACCAGCCAAAGCACAGATAGATTTAAATAATTTTCTTACTTTAAATTTAAACCAACACGTTTTTTTCCGGTTAAGCCTTTCCTTATTAATTCTCAACCTCGTCAAGGCAAAAGACCAAAACCTGTCGCTGTCTTTTTACATTTAATGGATTGTTTCTGTTCTTCTTCACTGTGTTATCTTAAATAGATTCTAGGGTTTCGGTTTTGGTCTCTTTTGAAAACCTGAGAGCTTTCTCTTTTGAGGGTATCTTTGTTCTAGGTTCTCCTGTTTAGGTTTTAGGATATTAGACATGTATGCTGATAGATTGGAGTCTGAGTTTGGAACCAGGAATATGTTAAAAGATCGTATTAATAGCGACATCTCTATCCGTGTGCGTCAAGTCACTCACAAGAGGTTCTTTTTTATTTCCCTCTTTAGCTGGAGACGTTATGTTTGGTGATTTGATAAAAGCTTCTAAGACATATGCACTGAATCAATGAGCAGAACTATGTTTGGTTCTGTGTTGGATAATTAGTTTATATTCTTCCACAGGCAAAGGCAGGAAGATAAATGGGAGCATGATCTTTTCACTAGTGACAACAAACCTCAACTATCAAGTATGTTTTTTTAAGTCTCTTTAGAAGAAATTAAAGTATCTCTGTTTTTGGTTGTTGATTTCTCTGTTGGATGACTTGCTAAGACCGCAGAGTTGATGCTAAAGATCTTCGCTTGAAGCTTCAGAAGAGACATCATAGGTCTCAAAGTGGTTCAGGCGTGGGGGATTTACGTGAGAAGCTCTCTGGGACAATGAATACACAACTGCTAAAATCTAAAGTAGAGGTTCTTAGACCAAGCATGAAGAGTAGAGCCACTGAAACTGTAACAGAGACTAGAAAATCTTCTAATCAAGCTAGTAAAAAGAAGTCACAGCAGGTAATATGATCCACTTTTCTTCAACTATATTTATCCATCATACTTGATGCCATGGGAGATTACATGTGGATACTACCAAAACTACTGTTTCTGAGCTTGTTTTTTTTTTTTTTGTAACACCAAATTTTTCATTAAAATGATTAAACTCCAACATACAAGGGAGCTATTACAGAAGCTTCGTTCCAGAGAGCCTGCTTTGCCAAAGCATCGGCAACTCTGTTCGAACTACGCTGAATCCAGACAAAAGAGATAGAATCAAAAGCTAGCGATAAACAGCGAATATCAGCTAACACTCCGTAGAGTTCAGCCAAAGGGGAGTCGTTGTTGAGCGCATTGACCAACTTGAGTGAGTCCGATTCACATCGGATATGAAGGAGTCCCTTTTCAATGCAGCATGCTAACGCCTCTCGCAAAGCCAGTCCCTCCGCTAATAAAGGGGAGTTTACAAAGTAGCAGTGCGCTAGATAGGAAGACCCAGAGTCTCCCCCTCCTGTGCACCATCCCAGTCCCGCCAGATGCAGATCCCCCCTCCACGCCGCGTCCGATTGGACCAGCACTGAATTTGCTCGTCTCTGTGAACATCGCTGTTGCAGTGGTTTGGGGGGTGTTACGGTTGTATCTTGCTCTCCCAGCCATTCTCGGGCAGCCACTAAAGCTTTTGAAATGATCAGCTCCGGTGTCGTCTCTTTGTTGTTAAATACAAGATCGTTCCTTGCTAGCCATAATTGCCAAAGAATCCAGGGAGCCAGTTGGCCTGAGCTAATACCCGTGGGAGGGAGGCAAATGGAGGAACAGAGTGCATTCCAACAGCCAACTAAATCTAACAATCCTCTAGTATCAATGCAAGCAGAAAAAGGAGCCATATTCCAAACCTTCTGAGCTATCTCACAGTGGAGGAAAAGATGATTGATAGATTCAGTGACATTGCATCTCTTACAGTGTAGTGCTGACGTGATGTTGCGGGTTGCTAGGCATTCGCCAACCGGTAGAGCACCGCGGAAAACTTTCCAGAGAAACAATTTGATTTTTGGAGCAGTGTGCAACTTCCAAATTCCTGTACTCCAGTCAATAGCTTCTGCTGCAGGATTCTCCTCTATTTCTGTGAAATTATTCAAGGCTGCTCGGTATCCTGATTTGGTGGTGTAGTCGCCAGAATCAGTGCCTAGCCAAATAAACTTGTCCGGAGCCCCGGTTCTGCTTGGTTTAATGCTGAGAATCCTTTGCTCCTCATGTGGGATTATGCGTTGAATTGCGGCTCTGTCCCAGTCAGATCCATCCGGTAGGAGGAGGCTGTCCACAGTGAGGTTTAGTTGATTTTCTGGGGCAGGTCCCATTGGTCTGGCCAATTCCGTGCAGCTTAGCCATGGGTCGGTCCACAGGCGAATCGACTTACCATTGCCAACCGCCCAGCCAGAGTTGTTGCAGATAAGGTCTCTGCCAATCAGAATCCCCTGCCATCCGTGTGATTCCACTGATTTGTGATTGGCTTGCAGGAGGGAAGTGTCTGGGAAATACTTGCTTTTTAACACACGACTGAGTAGGCAAGAAGGGTTATGGATTAGTCTCCAGCTTAGCTTTGCAAGGAAAGCGTTGTTGTAGCACTGGAAATCCTTGAATCCAAGGCCCCCCTTAGTTTTGGATTGCGTCATTTTGTCCCATGATACCCATGACATCTTCCTTTGTCCATCATTACCATCCCACCAAAATCTTGTTAGAGCAGATTGGATCCTATTACACAAAGAAACGGGTAGCTTGAAGCACGACATAGAGTAAGATGGTACAGGAGTTAACACGCTTTGGAGCATCACCATCTTGCCCGCTGTTGACAAGAACTTATTAGACCACCCGCTCGCTTTAACTTGAATTCTGTCGACAATTGACGAGAATAAATCCTTTTTCTTTCTTCCAAAGCTCTCGGGTAGGCCAAGGTACTTTCCAACTCCGCCCTCCTTTTGGATATTCAGAATATTCTTCATGTTTGTCTTCATTGTGGCCGGCGCTCGTCGTGAGAATGTGATTGATGATTTGTCCGAGTTGATACGTTGACCCGATGCAAGCTCATACTGGTGCAAAATCGTCTTAAGGGCTGTTGCACTCTCATCTGTTGCTCTTGTGAAGAACATCGTATCATCTGCGAAAAGGAGGTGATTCACTTGGGGGCTTCCCCGAGTTACTCGGATACCCGCCATATTGCCATCGTCTTGTGCTCTGTTACACAAACCCGAGAGAACTTCTCCACACAAAATGAATAAGTATGGAGAGAGGGGGTCTCCTTGACGGATTCCCCTACTCGGTTTTACACTTCCTCTAGGCGAGCCGTTAATGAGGAAAGCATAGGTAACGGATGAGACACACTCCATGATCCATTTGATCCACGTCGGATGGAATCCCAATCTTTCGAGTACCAGTTGGATAAACTCCCATTCAAGCCGTTTCTGAGCTTGTTATCTTTTGTTGGTTCAGGCTGGTGCTTCGGTTGATAGCTTTCTGGAATCTTTGGGTCTTGAGAAATATTACACAGCTTTTCAAGTTGAAGAAGAATGTAATGTTTACTTGTAGGTTGATATATACGTTTTGCTTGGTGTCATCTTGTCACAGACTCATGTTCTCATTCTTTTTTTTTAATATCTCTCAGGTTGATATGGATGCTCTCATGCATATGACAGATGATGACCTCAAGGCTATGCTTATACCAATGGTAAGCTCTCACATGTTACTTAAACTGCCGCTACATTTTACTACCACTGGTAATTATGAGACTGCATCCAAACTCTTTGTTCAACATCTTTATTATCTTTTTTTCTCACAAGCTGTGTTTTGTTTCAGGGTCCGAGGAAGAAGATAATTCTTGCGTTGGGATCCAAATGCTAATAGTTTACTGTCTTTTACAGTGATGGCTTCAAGCTCAGCTGAATTGTCTCCGGAAGTTAGTTACATTAGGCTATTGTCTGAATGATTCCAGATTTGGCTGTCTTTTCCGGCATTTTTTTTTTTATAAATGTATCTACCTATTTCAAGAGCTTATAATGCTGGGGCTAGACACATCTGTATTCTTTAACATAGTAGTATAACAATCACTGCCTGATTACACCATTTTTAATGTGTAGAAAAGATTTTGAAATTAAAAAACACAATGCAAACGCGTAGGAAGACTCAGAAAAGTTAAACTACTTCAGTGTTCAAAGGGTCCTAAGCCGTCTTCTTTCTGGTTAACCATGTCAAGTACTTTGCCTTCTCTGTTTGTATCTTCTCCATTCTTGTAGTGCTGCAAGGACAACATGTCCTGAAACAGGCACGAAAAACGGCTGTCCAGGAAAGTATGAACACATGAGACTCACAGTGACGAGAAGATGATAGGATCATGATGGATGGAAGAAGGCATTTTATAGAGATCTTGCTTATCTTGATGAACATTCATGAAATACAAAACCACAACTTCTTGCTTGAGTTTACCGAACATTAAGGTGTACAACAGAGAGTATTGAGTATAAGTAATGAAGATTAGAAAAAACACCACAATGCAGCGGAACGTAGTGTTAATCAGACATGTGGAGTTAACTGATTGGTCTCACGTACCAGTCTAGAAAGAGAACCAAGGGTAAGTTGAACAAGAGTGGAGATTGGAACACGTGTCTCCGTGACAAAACATCTAATTCCCTTTCTTTAAGATCCAATCGGAATGAATGTTCAATAGCCGACTTAGCTCAGTGGTAGAGCGCGTGACTTTTAATCCCGTGGCCGTGGGTTCGATCCCCACAGTCGGCGATTATTTATTTTTTTTTCCTACTTTATAAAAAGGGTTGACCTCAGCAAAGGTCCAACGGAACCTCGTCATATTGAGTGGTGTCTAATATTATAATTAGCGATTCCCCACAGATCACGTCTCTCACATTTATTCTTTCAGAAAAAGCATAATCTTAGCAAAAGCCCAATGGGCCTTTGAAAAACTAGTTCGTAGTTAAGATTGATTAGAAAAGGAAGAGTCAAACGACTTAAAAGGAGAGATAAACAATACTGTAACCAGTACGGTTGCATGCAAAGTATTACAGAAAGTGTAAGTGAAATGTACTCTCATTTCCAAAGCACTTTACTGATCATTTAAACCAAAAAAAAAGCTTTTGATAACAACAATCCTTCTCCCAACCACTACCTTCTTCACATTCCACTCTCCAATCTCCTCGTTGAGATCAAAAAAGGTACAAAGCTTTCGACTCTGTTTCTGATTCTTGTGTGTTTCTTTACCGCCTTGAACCTCTACATTTGACATTTTCTTTAATTTTCTTCCCCGAGTTCTACGTATTCAGACAGAAGTCTTATGTAGTGTGACAAAACCTTTGAAATATTGTTGTTGGTTGAAAGTTGAGAGAACGGTACCCAAACTTAGTAGTAGTGACAGTGTCATATTCAGGTGGGCTTTTTAACTATGAGTTCTCGGAGTGTGGGGGTTGTTACTAGAAGTGCAAGGAGGGAACAACAGGTGAACATTGTGAGTCACATACCAAGCGAACACGAGCAAGATCAAGATGATCATGATGATGTTGTTGAATCAACTGCTTCTGCTTTTGACCGAGTCTGCTCCTCTTCTTATCCTTTTTTTATGTTTCCCCTTTCGCATAACATTTTGTTACTGACTCTGTGTTGTTATCTATTCTTGTGCCAAGGCTAAAAGACACTCATCTAGAGGCTCACGGCGAGGACTCTTAGTAGTTGATTTAGATTCAGGTTAATTAGCGTCACTATTTTTCGGTAGCAACAAGGGGGTGTCAGAAGTGTTTCTTTGCTCACTATCATGGTATGAATGCTGCAGGTGATACTACTAGAGTAAGCAAAAACCGCACACAGCATCAATCTGAACACGCAAATGTTGAACTTAACAACTTGGTAAGAACGCGCTCTCTGACTCTTTTCCTTTTTTTTTACTCTTGGGACTGAGGCTCACAAATTTGTAAAATGCCTTTGTTCAGAGGAAGTCTAATAAGGCTGTGATGGCTCCAGTAGAGGAACCAAAGTTTAACTGCCCAATTTGTTTGTGTCCATTTACTGAGGAGATGACAACAAAGTGTGGTCATATTTTCTGCAAAAGTTGCATAACAGACGCCATCACTCGTCAAGCTAAATGCCCTACGTGTAGGAAGGAGGTGACTGTTAACGACCTCATCCGAGTCTTCCTTCCAACCACTGTATGAATGAATACAGAAACAATCTCTAGCAAGTAAAGTAATAATGCTAATGATATTCGTCATCTTTTGGTTTAAAATGGTTTAAACACTATCTTTTTGCTAAGTTTAGACCTTATTTTAGTTCATCAGTATCTGATAACGTTGAAACATGCATTAACTATTAAGGATTGTAAATTTTCTAGTTGTTGCGCTCTAATCAATATGTTATATTAACTACCAAGGCATTTGGCTCCTACAAATTAGGATATTCATATTGTTTGATTGATTCAGTTACTGTTACAAACAAAGAAAACAAGTATACCATTTAACTATCTGAAGTAGTATGAAACTTTGTAGGCTAGTCAGCAAGAATCTTTGAAGTATTACCAAGTAGTGGAGTTCAAAACTTACATGTTACAACTAAACAAAACTTGCGAAATATTACAGAACGTGTCAATACGTTCCAATATCTATTCCGTTTGTGCTTAAAAATTCTTTTGCCTCTGCAATATCCTGTAATACACAGATAAATCAGATTAGTAAAAAAGATTCAAAATTAACAACATAAGAAAGGAAGAGCGTAGAGAAAGTACATGGTTCAAAAGAACTGCTTCTTGAGGACAGGTAGGGAACTGCATTATCCCAACTCCAACCATTAGTAGACCATAGCATCCAAGTGAAACTACAAAGTATATAGGTAGCTGGTGCAAACCAAAAAAAAACAATGTTACATCTAATAAACTATTAGATGGTTGAGAACACTAAATAATAAAAAACAAGACTAATCAGCAGGATCTTTACTCACCAACCATGTATGACTTTGTGGAACAATTGCAGCCTGCAAAAGAGTAATCCAAAAGGCAGAGACTGCCACCACCAGGCTCAAGATCTTCACCACATGCTTCATTATCCTTTGAAACAATGATTATGTAAGATTTATGTATTGCAATGTTTAAAAGGCATTTAAACAACAGAAAACAGTATAAAATCAATGCACTTTCACAATCACAAACAATATTAAAAGCTGTTATCATCTCAATCCAACTCAAAACTATTAAAAAGTGCCATTAAATGAGATTTAGAAGCTGGCATATTCAATGATATTTTGAGATTACAGAATGCAATATTCACTAGTTGTAACCCCCTTACACATCTATTCAAGTCCAAACTAGAACCTAGTAAAGTCATGGCACTGGCAGCTCCTAGAATAAACTTCAGGAGCACAACAAAGCTACTTGAGAAGAATTTTCCAACAACCACAGGTCAAAAGAAACATGAATCATAACCTAAGCTGATTTTTCAGACCAAAGGATGTTACTAACTACGGTTTGACTATATATATATCAAAATATCTAGCTAAAACATTTAAATCTGAAAACCTTTTTTAAAAAACATAGATCAGATGCCATCAGAAAGTCGAGAAGAAAGAAAATGATTTTGTCACAGGTTCATTCAGATCAGAGTACTCATCCTCCAAATCTTTCTGAAACTCATAACCCTTGCGCAATATTTCAATTCATCATTTGGCAACTTAACGATCAAAATCCACAAAGAATAACTCCTAATATGAAAATCCAACACCCAACGTATATACATTACAGAGAAAAATGGAACAAATCTAATCAATCCGACCATTGATGGTAAAGATCAAACCTTGGAACTAACAGGTCTGGCCGCAGCACTCAAAGTTTCTACCTTTAAGCTGTCTTAAAACCAATCTGTTTCGCTAGGGCTTCAAGTGATGGGTCTAATAGTCATTTCAAGAAAAAGCCTTATCCTACCTGGACCTTGGATAACCTAAACCGCCTTTCCAAACTAGTTACTACTAGGTGATTTTCCCGTGCTCATGCACGGACATGTATATTTATAAAATAAATATACAATAATAACTAAGTGATATTTACTTTAATTTTTAAATTAATTTATAGTTTGTATGTCTAATTTATATTATAATATTATATTACTTTAATTATATATATAATTTTAGATATGTTATATTTAGTCTGTTTTATTGTTTTTACGGTCGATTTAGTTATCATTTAAATATATTAGATCCTATTTATTTCTCTGAATTCAACTATTATCTTTGATATTTTAAAATATGAAATTTTTGATTAATTGTCTTATTTGCATTTATGTTGGTTGTTATCTTAGAAATATAAGTATATTTAGTAAGATTATATATAACTTAAGATTTTTTTGTGTTTAGAAGGAAAAAAAATAAAAACTAAAGTTTCTGATTCTAAATTACATACATAAGTAACTAATGAATTTCTAGAAGAGTTTTGAACACATATCAATATTTACAATAGTTAACATATTTTATAAATTCTAAATAAATTTATGCTTTAGATTGTTTGGATGGTAAACTGAAATTTATTTTAAATAATTTTAAAAATAAGGATTCTGATTTGCTTAAATATTTGACTATGGTTATATTAAGTTTCACAAACATAAAAACAAAAAAATTAAAAATCAAAAGATTATTAAGAAAACAGATAATTTTAACTATTAAAATATAATACATCTACCTCGTTAAATTATATAGTGTTATGGTATTTTAAAATAACTGTAGTTATTTTCTGTTTTTATGTTTGTGAAACTTAATATAACCATAATCAAAATACTTAAGTAAATCAGAATCCTTATTCTTAGAACAGATAATTTTAACTATTAAAATATAATATATCTACCTCGTTAAATTATATAGTGTTATGATATTTTAAAATAATTGTAATTACTTGATCAAAAGATGTTTATCATTAAATTTATTTTTAGTTTTATTTTTAGTAGCTCTTAAAATAGTCAGTAAAAAGTGATTGTTTTTGAGAAATTATACTATATAAGTAAAATACAATTTATATTTTTACTGTAATTGTAAGATATTATAGTCAAATAAATATACTAAAAAAATAATTTCAATAATACTAATTATAAAAAATGTCAGTTAAAAATATATCAGTTTATGTTAGTTGATTATTTTATGTAATGATAATTATTTTGAAAATATATATATTTTATTGTTTAAAATTATTTTTTTAAGGAAAAAAAATATTTCTTTTTCTAATAGCAATATTTTTTGTGTGAAATTTTTTTATGCAATCTCATTATATACAGATATTGTTTTTTTTATCTAAGAAGATATAGATATAAAGTATTTTATTACTTCAAAGGTATATTTTATGTTATTTAAAATATATATTTAAATTAATTATATTTTGTGAACTTTCCTTTTTTTATTAAACCATATTATATATACTTATATTTTCGTGTTTAAATAGTTTTGTAAAGTTTATAAATGTTTCCTTTTTATTTATATTGTTATTTGGAAATTTTTTTAAAAAAAATAATTTTTGATTGTATTTTTAATTCATTAAGGGTATCATAATAATCAACCAGCGTGAGAGTTAACGTGAGCGCGACACCTAAGAAAGTGACTTCTCAAATAATATTATAGAGATTACAATCCCTGATTCTAATCAAACCGTCTATGCAAATGTTCATGAGAATGTCCACCCTTTAGGCTAATCTCATATATTTTTGCTATAATGTATATTCTTATATTATAATAGTGGCCTAAACATAAAGTAAAATATAAGATTGATATCTTATTCAAAAGATAAAATAAAGATATATATTTTGTGGGAATAAATAACAATAGATTGTTGACAAAAAAAATAAAAATAACAATAGGTTGAAATTAACTAACTCTAAATAATATTACAGAGGCAAAAACAAAAATGAGTTTAGGAAATCTTTTTAGAACAACGTTGGTAAGATTGAAGTTCTATCTAAACTTTTATTAGTAATCTAATGTAGCTAAAGTATTTGAGAACAAAAATATTTGATAACATTTAAATATTTTCTAAAAACCAGACCATTTACAGTTAGACATAAAAGACTGTCATGAAGGGGTCAACTACACCCATGAAATTTGATAAAACACATTATTTTTAGCCAAAATTATGTTGACTCCAATTAAAACATAATTTTGATCTTTGTTGATTCTTTTTAAGGTATAGGGTCCGATTGGTTTAGACTGTCAAGGTTGAAACTATAACAAAAAATGACTTTTAAAGCTTTATAATGTAAAAAGGAATTGTAAAAATAGTCTAAAGCCACAAAATGCTAGCTTTTTAAAAAAAAAACTAACGTAACAAGTGAAAACAATAAAAAGTGGATTGTGAGAAAATTTAGGAGGACTTTGAGAGTTTTTAAAAAATTTAATTGTGATTGGTAAAAATTAAACTTTGAAGACTTTAGAAAAAAGTGAAAACTTCTAAAGCCTATTACCAATCGGTCTCATAATCCAATTATGATTCCTATTAGTAAATTTCTTGCCTCCGCTACCACACAGTCACTGCACATTCCTATGAATAAATTTCTTTAAAATACTCTACCTCGCTATCTCTATATTTCATTGATAGTACTTCAAGTCTCCACGAATTGAGTGTATAAATGGGTCTGCTTAAGCTTCTGTCTTTTTCCAATCTTTATTATAATTTATTATACATAAAATGTTTCTGGCGTTAAAGAATGTAAGTCTCTTTCTATATTTCTCTTTTGCCTTCTCTCGCAGTTCTTTCACTTAACATGACAATGCAATGCATCATAATAGTTTCAAATAAGCTTTCCTCCATGACAAGTGACAACACACAAAAAAACCTCAAATTATGTAGATGGAAAACAGTAACTACATTCACCAATAAAGAGTCCCTTTGAACTCAAGAAAAGATCACCATCATATCAGCTAAATATATACATAAAACCACAACACAACGTAAACAAGAAAATTAGGAAAACGTTTTCAAAACTTGGAAGGAACAACAGTTATATGTCTTAACGGATGCGAGACATGCGTCCCACCAGCGTGAACGATGAACTCAGCCGGTGAGAATGATGTTCCGTGGCAGACGCATATTATACTGATCTCTGATTTCGTGTACCGATGCAGAAACCCATTTACAGTCTTGCCCTCGGGTCCGTTACCGGTGCTAGTTACGCACGGCATCTGAGCAAACGGAAGCATATTGCCATTACCGCTGGGACGCGGCTTTGGAGGCTTCTTCCTAGTCTCCTTGGTTACAGGTTTGGATCCTTGTTGAGTCTCCACTTCCACCGCACCCTTTGGACTGTTCGTGCTCCCGGTTGTAATGTTGTTAACCGGAGACTTAACCGGTTTGGTTTGGCCAGAATTTATCCCAAGTTCACAACTTCCACCTGAACATGGAGACATAACTTAACTATACAACTCAGAAAAACTATATAACTCAAAAATATCTTCATGCAAATACAAAATTTTTCTTGATTTTCCAATACATAACATATTATAATACTTTTTATCTTAATAAACAGAGTTGTTTGGGAATATTTATTTGTAAATATTAATTAATCAAATTCAAGGTCATCATAAAAAAACTTGGGAAGATTTTTTTGGACATATTAATTAATCAAATTCAAGGTCATCAAAAAGATATTAGGTTTCCTAAAATATTTCTAGTATAAATGTTATTATAGTAACACTTTTGTGAAATATTTTATATACCTTCTTGGTGAGAGGAGCTGCTTGGATCGGACACGTCGGACGAGCTGCAAATGGGTGACCCGTTTGTAGTGGCTTTACTATTTTCCTTATATTGACCCGACCCGAATCCGTTACACAATCCACTAAAGCTCAAACCAAACTCCACACCGTTAGTGACTTCTTTGCATTCTGTTCTGATCCTCTTGCACTCTCCTTCTCCTCCACTTCTCTGCTGCTCCTTCTCTTCCCGTTCCTTCCTCCTCGTCGCATTGATCTCATGATTGGTCTTTCCACCGTTAAGATCAACGTCAATATCATCCACACATCTGACGGCGTTAGGTTTTCTATCCATGCAGAACTCTAACGGCTGAGACTTCTTGAAAGGACCTCCCAGAGAAAGACATAGCTCAAGCTCGACCTCAGCATCCTCTTCTTTTCCAAGCTTTGTTGCCATTGAAGAAGATTCAAGAACCATGTAACGTAAACAAAATATGGTTTATGTTTTCTAGGATATTTGTGTGTTTTAAATTTTTTTTTGAAGCTTTCATTCATTTTTTAGAATAAAAAGAGAAGGGAAAGCCCTCTATGACATGACACTTGTCTGATGGTGATAGTGGACATGGGCGGTTTTCATTACACGTATGATTAATTGATTAGTTTGTAAATTAAGAGAAGGGTTAAGAAACTTTATTAGCGCTATAACCTCGGGTTATCCATAAAACGCTTTGCATAATTGCATTTCCGTTGTTTGTTTCTATCTAATTTCCCATTGGTTAAAAACCAGTGGAAAGTACCGACGCTACCACGTGTAAAACGTTGAACATGCATATGGCACGTATACCATGAGAGCCTGCTGGCGTTGACTAGGACACGTTGGTTTTTTCAGTTTCGTTTCTTGACTCCGTGAATCACGACCAAGAAAACGACTCTTGGTTTGACACGTGTTGCTTTTGTTAATGGTCCCACAATCTTGAGGTGAAACCGAAAGACAGTGAATAGGTTACAGACGGACCAGTTCAGGAAATGCGCCGTTACGTTGTGACTATTCTCAGCTGATATGACGGATGTGTATCCCACGTGGCTCCTTTTGGAAGGTAAATAAGCACGTGGTCCTATAGGAGTGGTTCTATATAACTATGTGATGAATTAGGTGACACGTGCGTTCTTTTGAATCATGGTACGTCTTTGGAAGAAGCTGCTTTATGAAAGTTCCCGCCTTCCACCTGCCTGCATGAGTTGCACCTGGAAAGTGATAGGGGAAGATTTTTTATTTATAAACGTCGCAATAACATTTGTTATTTTTATTGTTTGGTGCTGCACACAACAACTTGGTCATGTCTTTGTTTATTTGACAACTTGTTGAGATGCTTAGCTTTGTTTTTATTTTCATTTCGCTTTTATTGATTGGATTGAAATACGACATAGACCACCACCGAAGATCACAATCAGAATAGCAACTTAAGTTACAAAATAACCAAAAAGACAAAGAGGGCCCATACTCACGATCCAAAAACTTCGACTAATGGTTTGAGTTGTTAGAATATGAATATGGAGGACTATTAACAAGAGCTTCTAGAGCAAAATTCGCAGCCAGATGTGCTCTATAGCAATAGAAAGATTCTATATAATGAAGAGAAGCAGAAGCCTGGATAAAGACATGTCATAGGCTGCCTGCAACCTTAATATGTAACCCATATTTATAATGGACTCAGTATGTCCGTAACAGGCTTAGCTTCTTGTGCTATATCATAGATTCATAGTTTGAGTTATGACAAAGTCTAGCCAAAAAGTGTATTTTTCTAGTTGAGGTTGATATGTATACTATGCCATTTCCAAAAAAAAAAAAAAAAAACACTAGCAGAAGCTCTCCGATAAAAAAAACACTAAAGAGATAATTGATTCAAACTACCTATAAATGTTTTATATATAGTCCTCTTTAGTTTTTTTCTAAAAAAAAAAAATACCTAAACACATAAATTTATATTAATGTACTAAACTTAATTATGTTCATGGTAAATGGGCATCAGTTCTAATTTTCAACCAAAGAATTTCATAAAATTCTATATATCACCAAAATCAATAAACTAAACCCTATAAATATTTATTTTCTACAGAAATTTGGACAAGTAAAGTATCAAAACTATATAATATTTATCATATATCAATGTTGGATGCAGCTATGCAAAAATACAAAAATTTAAAAATTTTAAATTTATCTTGAAATCAATGGGTTAACACCTATAAAAAAATCTAGTTTTCCGATAAATGCTATTTGTACTAAAAGTATAGATTCATTAATGTTCTTTTTAATATCTAACCACACTCCAAATATATTTTAATGTATTGTAAACATATTTTCATGGAGCATGGGAATCGTTTCTAATTTTCCATCGAATAATTTTTTAAAATTTTATATACGATCTAATTAGTGTACTAGCCCCTATAAAATCTATAGTTTATAGAGAAAGGAGAACATCTAAGGTTTTAAACCTCTTTAATCTCCATACTATGTTAGTGGATGATGCAACTATGCACTAAAAGATAAATACCATATTTTCTAATTTATCTTGAAATATGTGGGTTAACCTCTACGAAAATATTAATTTGTTTGATAAATACTATCTATACTATTTATCCTCTTTGGTGTTGTTTAAAAATATCTAATCACACTTCAAGTTTATTTATATATATATATATATGTGTGTGTGTGTGTGTGTGCTAATTTTATTTTCTTGGTACATGGACATTATTTTTAATTTTTCAATGAGTAATTTATTAAATTTCATATACCACCTAATAGTGAACTAACTCATATAAAAATTACATTTTCTAGAGAAACGAGAACACCTAAGGTCTCAACCTTTATTCTTCATAGTATGTCATTGCATGATGCAAAAATTTATTAAAACAAAAATACCATATTTTCTAATTTATCTTGAAATATGTGGATTAACCTCTGTAAAAAGATCAAATTTCCGATAAATGTTATATATATAGGCCTCTTTAGTTTTTTTTAAATACATAACACATTCAAAATTTATATTAATATACTAAACTTATGTTCGTGGTCAATGTGCATCAGTTCTAAATTTCAACCGAAAAATTTCTTAAAACTCTAAATACCATCAAAATCAATGAACTAAACCTTATAAAATTTCTATTTTCTAGAGTAATTTGGACAACTCAAGTATCAAAACTCTATGATATTCATCATATATCAGTGTTCGATGCAGCTATGCAAAAATAAAAAAAAAATCAAAATTTTCAAATTTATCCTGAAATATATGGGTTGACTCCTACGGAAAAATATAGTTTTCCGATAAATGCTATTTGTACTAAATGTTTAGCCTCATTAATATTTTTTTAATATCTAACCACACTCCAAATTTATATTAATGTATTCTAAACATATTTTCATGGAGCATCGGCATCCTTTCTACTTTTCCATCGAGTATTTTTTTTAAACTTCATATACGACCTAATTAGTGTACTAACCCCTATAAAATTTCTATTGAGAAATGAGAACACTTAAGGTCTTAAACCTCTTTAATCTTTATACTATGGTAGTGCATGATGCAGCTATGCACGAAAAGATAAATACCATATTTTTTAATTTATCTTGAAATATATGGGTTAACTCCTCCAAAAATATTGAATTTTTTGATAAATACTATATATACTATTTACCCTCTTTAATGTTGTTTAAAAATACCTAACCACACTTCAAATATATATATATATGTGTGTGTGTGTGTGCTAAACTTATTTTCATGGTACATGGACATTATTTACTAATTTTCCAATGAGTAATTTATTCAAACTTCATATACCACCTAATAAGTGGACTAACTCCTATAAAAATTTCATTTTCTAGAGAAACGGGAACGCCTAAGGTCTCAACTTTCTTTATTCTTCATACTACGTCAGTGCATGATGCAAAAATTTATTAAAACAAAAATACCGTATTTTCTAATTTATCTTGAAATATGTGGATTAACCTCTGCAAAAAGATCAAGTTTCCGATAAATGTTATATATATAAGCCTCTTTAATCTTTTTTAGAATACATAAACACATTCAAAATTTATATTAATGTACTAAACTTATGTTCATGGAAAATGGGCATCAGTTCTAATTTTCAACCAAAGAATTTCATAAAATTCCATAATACCACCAAAATCAATGAACTAAACCTATGAAATATTTATTTTCTAGAGAAATTTGGACAACTAAAGTATCAAAACTCTATAATATTCATCATATATCGATGTTGTATGTACCTATGCAAAAATAAAAAAAAATTCAAAATTTTCTAATTTACCTTGAAATCTATAGGTTAACCCCTACGAAAAATCTAATTTTTCGATAAATACTATTTGTACTAAATTTTAGCCTCATTAATGTTTTCTAATAACTAACCACACTCCAAATTTATATTAATTTATTCTAGACATATTTTTCAGTGAGCATGAACATCTTTTCTAATTTTTCAACGAGTAAGTTTTTAAAACTTCATATACGACCTAATTAGTGTACTAACCCCTATAAAGTCTCTATTTTCTAGAGAAATGAGAACACCTAAGGTCTTCAACATCTTTAATCTTTATATTATGTCGGTGCATGATGCAACTATGCACTAAAACAAAAACACCATATTTTCTAATTTATCTTGAAATATGTGGATTCACTCATACGAAAATATTAAATTATTTGATAGATATTATATGTAGTATTTAGCCTCATTAGTGTTGGTTAAAATATATAACCATACTCCAAATTTATATATATATATATATATATATATATATATATATATAAATATATATATATATGTATGTATGCTAAAATTCTTTTCATGGTACATGAACATCATTTTCTAATTTTCCAATGAGTATTTATATTAAACTTCATATACCACCTAATAAGTGGGTTAACCACTATAAAAACTTAATTTTCTGGAGAAACGGGAACACCTAAGATCTCAATCATATTTTATTTCCATACTATGTCAGTGCATGATGCATCATTCATTAAAACAAAAATACCATATTTTCTAATTTATCTTGAAATATGTTGATTAACCACTACAAAAAGAACGATTTTTCCGATAAATGTTATATATATAGGCCTCTCTAGTTTTTTTTAAAAGTACATAACCACATTCAAAATTTATATTAATTTAATAAACTTATGTTCATGGTACATAGGCATCAGTTCTAATTTTCAACCGAAGAATTTCATAAAACTCCATATACCACCAAAATCAATGAACTAAACCCTATGAAATCTCTATTTTCTAGAGGACAACTAAAGTATCAAAAATCTTTGATATTCATCATATATCAATGTTTGATGCATCTATGCAAAAATACAAAAAATCTTTTTCTAATTTATTTTGAAATCTACAGCTAACCCCCTACGAAAAAATCTATTTTTCGATAAATGCTATTTATACTAAAGTTTAGTCTCATTATTGTTTTTAATATCTAATCACACTATAAATGTATATTAATGTATTCTAAACACATTTTCATGGAGCATAGACATCGTTTCTAATTTTATAACGAGTAATTTTTAAAAACTTCATATACGACCTAATTATTGTACTAACCCCTATGAAATCTTTATTTTCTAGATAAATGAGAACACCTAAAGACTTAAACCTCTTAAGTTTCATAATATGTCAGTGCTTGATGCAGCTATGCACTAAAACAAAAATACCGTATTTTCTAATTTATCTTGAAATATGTGGGTTAACACATACGAAAAGATTGATTTTTTTTATAAATACTATCTATACTAATTACCTTCTTTAGCGTTGTTTAAAAATACCTAACACACTTCAAATTATATATATGTATGCTAAAATTATTTTTATAGTACATGGATATCATTTCTAATTTTTCAATGAGTAATTTATTTAAACTTCATATACCACATAATATGTGGACTAACCCGTATAAAAACTTCATTTTTGGAGAAATGAAAACACCTAAAGCCTCAACCTTATTTATTCTTCATACTATGTTAGTGCATGATAAAAAAATTCATTAAAACAAAATACCATATTTTCTAATTTATCTTAAAATATATGGGTTAACCCATACAAAAAGATCGAGTTTTCTGATAATTGCAAAATTTATATTAATGTACTAAGCATATGTTCATGATAAATGGACATCACTTCTAATTTTCAACCGAAAAAAATAATAAATGTTATTAGTACTTAATTTTAATCTCTTTAATGTTATTTAAAATATCTAACCACATTAAAAATTTATACTATTGTGTCCTAAATTTATTTTCATTGTAAATGAGCATCCTTGTAATTTTTCAACGAGTAATTTAATAAACTTCATATACCACGGAAACTAAACCATATGAAATTTCTATATTCTAGAGAAATTGAGACAACAAAAGTGTTAGAAATCTTTGATTTTCTCCTATATATATGTTGGATGCATTTATGCATAAAAAAAAATACCGTATTTTCTAATTTATCTTGATATCTATGGATTAACCCCTACCAAAAAATCAATTTTTTTGATAAATGCTATATACTAAATTTTATCCTCTTTCTTGTTTACTAAGAAAAATACATAATCACATTATACATTGATATTAATGAATGCTAAATTTTTTTTTCGTACACACGCAATGTTTTCTAATATTTTAATGAGTAGCTAAATGAAATTTTATATTCTAATGCAGTGGACTAATCCCTATAAAATATTTAAGTTCTGGAGAAACGGGGATAAATAAAGTCTCAAACCTATTTATGTATTAAAACAAAAATACTATATTTTCTACTTTATCTTAAGACAATTTTGATTTTTTCCAATAAATGCTATATAGACTGAAGTTTAGCTCCATTAATAAAAAATTTAATATCTAACCACACTCTAAATGTATATCAATGTATTATAAACATATTTTCATGGTGCATGTGCATATTTTCTAATTTTTATGAATAGTCACAGTTGTCCAATTATAGGTATTTATTTTAAATGATAAATTTACATTATATATTTTAATAGATCCATCATTTTAAAAATTTATTTATCATACGAAGATTAACTATTTTAAAAGTAGCTAAAATTTAAATTTCAAAAAATTGTTTCATTATAGAAAGACATTTTAGATATTTTTAAAAATCTAATATTTTTACCATAAAAAACATAAATTTTCATTTAGATGGGATTTACAATCTTTGACATTAGTTAGAATTGCTATATTATTATAGATATAAGCGTCTCCAATGAACCGTTTAGTAAATGGTAACCAAAATATTAAGTTAGTACAAGATGTTTAGGATCTTTTTAGAAGTCTTTATGCAAATCAAGACTATAGATGTATAAATAGATAATATGCATTTTGTTAAATATAATACTATATACATTTCTTATTGATTAAACGGAAATGATTAATTACCATAAACTTACTTTGTAAATGAAAGTGGAATCAAATCATAAAATGATGTACGTGTACAAATGATGCAGATATATTAAAAAAATAAATCCAACTTATTATGTCTGAATTTCATCAAAATCAAATTGTCTTCGTGATTATGTTTACATTTACGATAGATATTAAATATTTCATTATTCATTAACCTTTCATTACTATATATATTAATTAATAAATAACTTTCGCTATATATACATATCAAACCTATTGAGGAACAAGAACGTGCAAACATCATTCATCCTTTCCTCTTCCATGGATACCTCAGGTACTTTCTTCTTGATATGTTAAACATCAATTGTCGAATTTGGCAATCTTTCTCCCCATACATGTTTGGTTCCATTTGTAAGAAAAACTGTTTGGATCCATCCATCTATATAGTTTCGCAATTATAGGTAGACGATTAACGCTAAACCATTTTAGAAAAAAATTATGTTATCGTTTTTCTTTCTCGACCAATGGCTTTCTTGGTGGACCGAGCAACACCATGCTGACAATTTTCCACTTTAAAAAGTGATAAAGAATCCAAAAGAAATATCCCCCTCCCCCATAAAATAGTTTTAGATCTACTTTGCGTACATAGCACGTTTAAGTTTCTATTAGAAACAACATTTTTACTGTACATTGCTCTTTTATCGTTATACTCATGAACATATATGGTGACAAGCAAAACTATATTCATTTATCAGTGTATAAAAGCTGATATATGTCGACCCGTTTGGGGTAAATACACCATTTTCAGAACAAAAAAAAAATCAAATCATTACTTAAAAAAAAGTTCGTTGTAATTTTTTTTTTGAATTATACTTAAGTACTACTCCTCAAATAGTACAACTTTTGAGTGCATTTTCGCCTTTTGACTTTTGCTAATTATTCTGACTTTAGCAATAATTCGGTCACCTAACTAGATCTAGCACTTAAAATCTAAGGTGAGATCTAATTGTAATTGGAAAGGAAACTGAATCCGAATTTAATATTTTTATAACAATCTCTTATAATTTTATTAAAAAAAAAATCAATGGACGGTAATTTCATTCAAGTGTATAAAAAGTGAAATAACTCATTCGTCAACACTGATATCAAAATATACCCGCATTATTTAGTTTTTTTTTTAAATAGTGAAGAAAACTTCTTTAAGAAAATATTAATCCACACTAAGTAAACAATATTAAAAAAAATAAAATTAGGCCAAAACAGGGTTAGGTGAGATAGAGGGAGACAGAGAAAAGTCTTCGCCGCCTTACCATGTCTTTGAATGATCAGTAAAAAAAAACCACTCGCAAGCAAGCTGCATCTTACAATTACGCTTTCCAATACACCAGAAGTTAGTGGCAACAACATTATTATAATATAATAATAATAATAATAACAATACGCGAAATCATGTTTTCGAATCCACATATTACTGGATCAACGGCAACCCTTCGTTTCTGAAAAAATTTCCCGAGAAAACGATTAGTTTTCCCGGAAAATTCATTACCCAAAAACAAAGTTTTAATTTTTTTGCGAGATGTGGTGTGAATCTTAGTGGGCATCTGTAAAAATCTCAAATTTCAGATTCAATTAGCTCCCAATATCTGATTTGTGTAATCTCTGTTTCCTTTTGGATCCGGTGGTGATTTCAATGGGGTCATTGGATGAAGGGGCGCCTTTGAATCTAGACCTTGAGATCGGATTGAAAAACGGTTCCTTTGAGCTTCCCTTCGAGCACCAACCAGAGACTTTAGCTATCCAAGACGCTGTCAAGCTTCTCCTCCAATGTCTTCACGAAGATGTCAACAGAGAAGGCATCAAAAAGACTCCTTTTCGTGTCGCCAAGGCCCTTCGTGAAGGCACCAGAGGTTAGTTTCTGTTAGGTTATGATAATGAAACCGTTGTTTGTTACTTTAACTGATGTTTGGTTTGAGTTTCTGTTATAGTTTATGTTCATTTCTATAATGAAACCGTTGTTTGTTACTTCAACTGATGTTTGGTTTGAGTTTCTGTTATAGTTTATGTTCATTTTTATAATGAAACCGTTGTTGGTTACTTTAACTGATGTTTGGTTTGAGTTTCTGCTATGTTTTGTTTTGTAATCTTCTTTTGTTTTTTTTTTTTGCTTAGGTTATAAGTTAAAGGTGAAGGAGTATGTACAGAGTGCTCTGTTTCCAGAAGCAGGGCTAGATGAAGGAGTTGGACAAGCAGGAGGAGTGGGAGGACTTGTTGTTGTTAGAGATTTAGATCATTACTCTTACTGTGAGTCTTGCTTGCTTCCTTTTCATGTCAGGTGTCACATTGGTTATGTTCCATCTGAGCAACGTGTCTTAGGATTGAGTAAGTTCTCTAGAGTCGCTGATGTTTTCGCTAAGAGGCTCCAAGAGCCTCAGCGTTTGGCTGATGAGATATGCTCTGCTCTTCAGCATTGGGTGAAACCGTCTGGTGTCGCTGTTGTTCTGCAATGCTCTCACATTCACTTCCCAAGCTTGGACTTTGACTCGTCAAGCCATGATGGGTTTGTGAAGCTAATGGTTTCCTCTGGGTCAGGAGTTTTTGAGGATGAAAGGTCGAGTCTTTGGGGTGAGTTTCTGAGTTTCTTGAAGTTTAGAGGCGTGAAGACACAAGCTAACGGCTCTGTGAAAGAGTGGTGTCCGAGCGTTAAGTCTAAACTCTTGCTTGAAGAGGATCAAGAAATGGTTTCTGCGGTTGTTACCATTCTGAAATCATTAGGAGAAGATCCATCAAGAAAAGAACTCATTGCTACACCCTCTCGGTTCCTCAAGTGGATGATGAACTTCCAAAACGTTAACCTCGAGATGAAGCTAAACGGCTTTAGCTCTGTTAAAGCCAATGGCGAGATTCGAGAGAAGAAGCTGCACTGTGAACTAAACTTGCAGTTTTGGTCAATGTGTGAGCATCATTTGCTTCCTTTCTATGGAGTTGTTCATGTTGGCTACTATTGCACTGAAGGATCTAACAGCAATGCTATTGCAAGCTCGCTCGTGAAATCTATTGTACACTTTTACGGGTTCAAGCTTCAAGTGCAAGAGAGGATGACTAGACAGATAGCTGAGAAGCTATCACCTCTTGTTGGTGGTGATGTGATTGTAGTAGCAGAAGCAGGGCATACTTGTATGATCTCTAGAGGGATTGAGAAGTTTGGAAGCAGCACTGCTACTATTGCAGTTTTGGGTCAGTTTTGTAATGACAGTCCAGCAAGAGCAGCGTTTCTAGACAAGGTCCATACAACAAGTGCCTTGTAAGGCAGATTCAAGCTCCCATATTTGAGAGTGTTCTCTTGTTTTGTTTGATTGTTATTTTCTTCTTGATATTTTATATCACACACAAGTCTCCACACTTTGGAAGCATATCAATTCATGGTGTTTTTTCTTAGTTTCCTTATAGAAAGAACATCTATCTATGTTAGTGTTATAGTATCTTTCTTTTCAATTTGTAAACAAAATGAAGATCAAGAATTGTTTGGATTCCAAAAATGATAATTTTGACTCCCAGAAATGGGAAACAAAGTCTACAAAAGTAATGTATTAGTGGAAGATCTCTCCTCTATTTTGCTATATCCTCTCTAATATACAACTTTAATGCTAATCCCATCAACTGATGATAGACACAGCAGAACCAAAACTGAATCAAAACTCTCAAATCTCATTTCCAATACTTGTTTTAGCACGAAACTCTCTATCTCCCCATGAAGCCAAACCAGTCATACCTCAGCATCTCCCCTTCCAACTGTACTGAGCAGAAGCCAGTCCAATGCGATGTAAAGGAGGATCTTTCTCCCCAGTTTAAAGTGAATGAGCATCAGAGTTTTGTCAAACTAGAATGGAACAACATATGGAAGAGCTACAATGTCAGCAGAATCTATACTAAGAGCCTGGTTCCAGACTTGCAGAGACTCATCCACTGAAGCAGTAGAATCTGTTTTTGGCTTCTTTAATAGTTTCACACCAGACTGACCAAAAAGCCACTCTTGTTCTTCAGTTTCATCAACCACATGCAATTCCTCCTTTTTTGGTACATTTAGTATCTGATCCAAATACTTTAAATCCGAGTGAGGCCGCTTTTTTGCTGATGCTTCACCGTTTTCCTTCACTCTCACAGAAGAAACAGGTGAATGACTTTTGGATTCTTGAGACTTGATAAAACCATTAACTCTATGCTCCTTGGCCTCTGGATTACACACTGTTCCCTGCAACTCAGAAACCGGTTTTAGAGGAGTTTGGCATGCTCCCAACTTTCTTCCATTTTCCACGGATGATATTGGAGAACCAACTGACTTTTGTATCTTGTTTGGCCTAGATCCATTCACTGCGCAGCAATTTAAAAAACGGCTAAGAGAGACAATAGTGGCACGGGAAATAAACATATTCACAAATTGCAAGGAAAAAATTCAGAAAATGATCTTCCAATAACTTATATACTTATATACAGATAAATCAAATGGGTTGTCAAGACTTGATTCATGACTCAACAAAACATACAGTAAACACCCACCATCTATAAATGTATTACTTTTCCATAAATAAAAAGAGTTAGTATAAGAACTCACCAAGCAAGAATCCATTTGTCTCAAGATCTTTCCGTTTGCCAAGAATTCCCTCTGAAGTAAGATTTTTGCCGCTCTCCCTTGAACGGTCTTGCACTCTAAAGTTCCTAATATCTACATCTCTCTCTTTTAATTTGGGCCCTCCCTCTACATCTTTTGGTTTGCCCTGACCAGTTTTGTTTATGAACTTTGTTTCCTCCTCTTTCTTCTCTTTACTACTATTTGTTATGTATTTGGGTTCACTTTTCTTCATCCCTTCACTATCCAGTGGCATATCAGCCATAATCACACTTTCCTTACGGTGATTATCTATTTTGTTTGCCTGATCTTTCTTCTCCAATGGTTTAAACATGACCTCCTCGGTTCCTTTCTGACCAGTGCAAGATGATACTTGACAAACCCCATTTTCAGGCCTTTTTGACATCGCAAAGTTTTTATGGATGTTATTGATTCTTCTTTCATCACCATTCCTAATCTTTCCCACACTTTGACTTTCTGTAGCTTCTTCTTCATCTCTGATCCTTCTTGCAAGGTCTTGTATAAACTTAGACTCTCCATTACCATTATTCTGCAGGGTATTTGTTACAAGCTTCTCTCCGTCATGCCTGTTCGGCAGAACACCAGCAGCTTTTCTATCATCCGAAGTTCTGCTCTTTTCTTTATCTTTGTCTTTCCTCTCTTTATGTTTCTCCTTCCGTTCCTTGTGTTTGTCTTTGCTTGTTTCTTTATCCTTACCGTCTTTTCCTTCTTTCTTTTCTTTATCCCTCTTCTCCTTTTTGTGCTTCTTTTGCTTTTCCTGCAGTTCAATCCCAGGAGAAAAAGATCAAACATATATACGTGATGCTTATAAGAAAGGCATACACTAGTCTGATAGCTTTACACTAGTTCTTAAGCTCCTTACTACACCTTTATTACAATTCCAGCAGTTTCTCAAAATACTACACAATCAATCAACTATTCCTAGGAATTAATACTCTCTCTCAATAGGATTCATATTATCTAACATCCAAAAACCACCAGCTACAGGAACACACATTCACTTTAACATGGACACTATAGCATTCTAAGTTAGTCAAGGATCCTGAAAAAAAAGATTGCTATAACTAAAACGATCATTAGAATAAGAAGTAGAAGGACAACTAAGGCAGACCAGAAGCTCCTACTTTTATAGGAAAGATTGGAAATAATGGTTGTGGACGTTTTTCATTTGGAGTTTATGATTCTCTCATATGAGGTAGCTTAAGTCTATTAGCATTCATGATTCGCTAAAGAAATACTGAAACTGTATAGAACAAGAACACATGACCCCACGAACTCATTCATTCACTATGTTCTCCATAAGCTCAAAGTATTCATAAGAGTCCAGTCTCCTGGTAGTATGCTAAGTATTCTTGATCAGTTTCTAAGAGCCTAGGGGCCAAGACATGTGTTACCTAAGTACACTAGTCACTCTCCAACAAAATAACCCATAAGAGCTTTGAAACACCAGAAAGATGATTAATTCAAAGGAGAGTAAATCCTATGAGTTAACATATGGTAAAAACCTTTATCAAAGAGTCTGCTTCATCGGTCCTAATCTTCTTCTCATATCCTGGAGGTGGAAATGGAAAGCAACGAGACATGACACTTTCTCCCCTCAAGTTCCTTAAAAGTGGTATTACTTAAAACCACTCTTGTTACTTTCTCGATCCTTTATCCCAGTAACATCTGACCAGATCAGAGACTATGATCCAGTCCACCATATCAAAATAGAAGCTCCAAACTTTCTATATACCCACTTCAATCCTAACTTAATAGAGATCCCAAATGCAGTATCAAATTAGCAAGTGACACCGTGGAACCACAAGATTCGTCCCTAACCTGCCAAATCCACGAGTAGAAATCTATAATCATTTCCATATTAAAGCTCAGATTAAGTATATGAGCAGCTCAAAAGCACCTTTTATCAGCAGCCTCTTTATTGAATGTGAAGAAACCCAATTTCTCAAGTCAAATAGAAACACTTCATCTGGCTATAATTCGATCCCAAAGACTCTTTAATCCTTCGAGGGACGATCCTAATTAGTATTAAAAAGCCGAAAATTAGGGTTCCGATCAAATCAAACCCTAAGCAAATAAAACCAATCGGACCAAAAATCAGCAACCTTGAAGATTGCTAAGTGCAATTGGCGTAGGTAACAGTAAGAAAGGCGAAACCTTTGGGCAAAAAAGAGGTTAAATTAGCTGGCGGATCAAAATTTCAGACAAGATAAAAAACACGAAACTTCACTTTAGAAATAAAAGGTTTTTTTCAGCTTGTCGGAAAATAGAAAAATCAGCGTAGTTCTTATTGAAACAGTTATAAATATTTTTTTTTCTTAATTTGATAATCAGATACAAGACAGCTGAGAGATAGAGAGAGATTGGAAGATCTCAGAGGAGAGAGAGAGAAGAGAGAAAATATAATGAAGAAAGTGAAAAATATCTCTCCTCTCTCTCCTCTCTCTATAAATCAGCTTCCATGTGTTGGCATATGGGTATCTATATATATATATATATATATACCTTCTCTTTCTGTATCTATATCTGTAGTGCCCTCTCTTTTTAAAAATCACGGGTATTATTTGTATATATCCTGGACAAGAAGAAGACTCTCTCTCTCTAAAATCACCAAGAAAGCAGAAACTTTGGTCTGAAGCTGGCAAAAACTTATTTATAATGAAGAAAAAAAGCACAATGGGCTTTAGTGATATTTGGGCTTAGCCCAACATCTGCTAATTATCATTGACCCGAAAGTAGAATGAAACAGTTCTCTAACAGTGGGAATCAAAATTTCAATAGAATTTCCAAAAATGGCTATACAAAAATTCTAAAAGTGTAACTTAGAACATAGGTCTTTCTTTGCAGTGCAATTGATCAACTAAATCTATGACTTCACTGCAATCACCAGTTTCATCTCCTTCCATCAGACACTTCACATAATCCAACATTTTAGCTTTTTCTAAAACATTATTTGAGCTCAGAAGCTCCATCACGAGCTCACGTGCCTGCTCAGTCTCTCCTTCCTTCTTCAAACCTTGAATCACTAAACAGAAGGATTTGAAACTCGGGACGAACCCGGTTTCAAGAACTAGTGTGATCAGCTCCAGACACTTGTTGTGTTCCTTCCGTCCACAGTAAGATTCTATGATGGTGTCTATTGCCTTCTCAATATAAACACCTCTTTTAAGCATAGATTGGATAAGTTTATTTGACTCATCTATTCTTCCTTCTTTGCATAGACGTGTGACCACGAAGTCATATAATCCACGTGTTGACCCACTTAGCTGTTCAACCATAGATATTAGCTTGTTGAGACACGCATCATCGCTTCCTTGTAAAGCAACAAGTCCTTGTAGCAAAGAAGAGTAGACACGCTCGTTTAGTTCACACCCTCTTTCAACCATAACACTTACGGTTTCGAGAGCGCGGTCTAGTTTTCCATTATTGACATATCCTTTCACCATAACAGTATAAGTAACATGATTCGGTGAAACTCCTGAATCTTGCATTGTAGCAAGAAGCTTCTCTGCCTCTTCGAGTCTACCAAATTGACAAAGACCATTGATGATGATTGTGTACGGATAAACATTCGGCAAACAACCACTTGACTTCATCGCTTCTAGCATCCTCAAGGAACCGCTAACATCACCTGAACGAATCAACCCGTCAACCAATGTTGTGTACGTCACAACAGAAGGAACTAAACCAAGCTTATTAATTTTCCCAAGCATCGCTAATTCCTCTTTGACATTACAGCCTTTACTTAGCACATCGAGAAGCACATTCAGTGAGTGAGGAGTTGTCAACAGTCTCATCTTCCCCAATGTCTCCAAGATAAACAATGCATCCTTAGTTTTGCCGAGTTTACAGAACCCATCAATAAGAGCTGTACATGTAACTTCATCAAGGTTTATTCCTTTTCTCACCATCAAAACCAAGAACGCACTCGCTACATCAGCCTTCCCTTGTTTGCATAAAGCATCAATTATAGCCGTGAATGTGACACAATCAGGCTCAATGTCAAAAGAACTCATTGAACCAAGGAGCTTGTAAGCCACATTCATAAACCCTTCTCTACAAAACCCATCGATCAAAACATTGTAGCTCACAACATCAGGTGACAAACCATTATCAATCATCCTCTTCAACAAATGCACAGCCTTGAACGGTTTCCCAACTCTACACAACCCTCCCATAAGCTCGTTAAAAGTTCTCACATTAGCTCCACAACCCCTCTTCTCCATCACAGCAAGAATCTCAAAACCCTGAACAATCCTCCCCTCTTTACAATAACCATTAATCAACGCATTATAAGTCACCACACTAGGATAAACCCCATCCCCAACCATCTTCCGATAAATCCCATTAGCCTCATCAACCTTCCCATCTCTACACAACCCATTAATCAAAACCGTATACGTGTGTACATTCCCCTTACACCCTTTAGCCCTCATCTCATCAAACAATCCAAAACCTTTCTCAACCAAACCCTTATCACACAAGGCCTTAATAAGCACAGTATAAGTACGTGTACTCGGCTCACAACCTTTCTCACTCATCTGATCTTTAAACCCAAAAGCTTCATCAATCCTCCCTACCTCACACAACCCATGAATCAAAACAGAGTAAGTAACAGAGTTTGGTGCAGAACCTTCCTCTCTAGACATAACATCAAACACTCTAAAAGCCTCTCCAATTCTCAACCCACGGCAAAACCCAAGAACCAAAGAAGTACATATATGAGAATCCAAAACAAACCCAATTTTAACAATCTTACACATAAACATCTCAGCAGCTTCTGTGAAGCCATTCTTACACAGAGCGTTAACAATTGTTCTGTAATCAATCTCCCCAGCAACAAACCCATCAGCTTCCATTCTTCTGTAAGTTAAGTAAGTTAAAACCCCTAAATCAAGCTTAGCTAAAGACATTAAAAGCGAGCTGTAACAAGGGTAGTTCAATCTGAACCCAGTCTCATCTCTCATCTCGTTAAAACAAGACATTAGTATTAACATCACTTTCCCGCTCCTATTAAACTCTCTGATCAAGGAGAGGGTGACACTATGCGCGATTTGGTATAGACCGGAAGAGACGATTAGTTTCAGGAGGTGGAGTTTTTGAGGTGGGGAGAAACAGTAGGAGGAGTGTTTGGAGACATAAGTGAAGAAACGGAGGCACGTGTGGGGTTCGTTGCTGTGAAGGGAGATTACTTGTGAAGCGATGTGTGGGTTCATGTGGGAGGTTAGGGATTTGAGAGTGTTGTTTTTTTCCCAATTTGGGGTTTTTAGTAATGATGCCACGTCACGTGCCTCCTCGTCAGGGGGGAGGTGAGAGGGTTGGGCAGATACGGAGAAGTAGGTGTGAGAGGCATGACGAGTTAAAGATGAGATCTTTCGAGGGAGGAGGCTTCTGATATGTATCAGCATGCATAGAGATTGGAGAAGAAGGAGAAGCTGTATGTAAGTAAGAAGATGGTTACTTTAGCTTTAGCTAATGGGTTTAGGGTTTTATTTCAGGTGTTCTCGGTTTGCATTTTGATTCTCCGGTTATGAGAAAATTGATATTGGACCGGATTAAACCAAGGCAGCGATTACAATCCTGAATCTTGATCTTTTTTACCCTTTTCGGTCAGTAAACTGATTAATTTTACTCAAGACTTTCATAAATAACATTGTTCACCCTCGGTGGCAAAAAAAGATATAAAATACAAAGAAAGTAGTGTAGTTTTTCAAGTAATATAATAAACACCATCGAGAGTTTGAAAAAGACGGCAAAAATACACACTTGGGCCAGACCAATCTCACGCGAAAGATGTTTCTCTTTAAGCAACTCTTTTTGTGCAATGTACATATAAATATCCTCCACTTGTGAATGACCTAACCAAGTGAGTGTTGTTGTGTGGTCAAACTAGTCGCTTTATTGCTGCTAGCTACATCACCAAATCATCAGCAGAGTAGTAGTCAGCAATAAGACGGTACATGTAAGACGGGTTGTGTCCTCCCCTGTTTAACCAAAACAATGCCAACGACATTTGAGAATGCAACAATCTAAGAATATAACTAACAACTAGAGGAAACCCAAAAGAGACTTACGTGTCGGTTATAACGAGACTGACGAGGCTTGGTGGGACGTAATCGAAGGTTGGGTTGACAACTTGAACAAGGGGGGACCCGGAATCAAGGCAGTCAGAGAACTCACCAAAATCCAACAGTTCACAAGGAGATCTCAGCTCGTTTAGTAATACCTCCGGATTGTGAGGATAGAGCGGACATAACTGTTTATTATTATATATAAAAGCTCCCAAGTCAAGTTTAAAGGTTTATGAGAGCAATGAACAAAAAAAATTGCTTGACAACCAAACCTTGTGACTACCGGCTAGAACAACAAATGGGACTGCGTGCTTTTTTGCTGCCAGAGCAGCCATGTTGACACCAACAGGTCCTATAACCCCACCATTTGCCATCACTGCATGAGCTCCAATTATAACCTGTGCATTATCACAACACCATTTGAGATCTAATTTTTAGAAGACAAGGGCAAGAAAACAAGATTTAGGTAGGATTGAACATGTACCATATTCACTCGAGATATCATAGCAAACACTGCAGAGTCAGTGATCACAGTGGTCTGCAGACCTCTAGCTACCAGTTCTTTTGCTAATACATGTCCCTGATACCTAACATTATACAAATGGAGTAGAACTGCGTAAAAGGGACACGAAGAACGATGGTAATAATGAGAGATAGGAATAAGGAGTCCCAAAACCTTGGAGCACCTTCGGCGACAAATACACGAAATGATCTTTTCTTCTCCTTTGCAGCACATAGAAACTCGAGTACTGTTCTTGAGTTACCCAGGGTTAGAATCACCTCACTGATGTAAATAAAAGTTATCATAAAGGAAAGACATTAACAAACGAGCATTTTGATCCCACATCTATTGCATGTCACAGAAAATTAATGTTATAGAGACGAAAACGTACTTTTGATGTATGTGCTCTATAGCTTGCTCAGCAATCTGCTCATGACAATCAGTAATATCCTTGATAAGTTGATCGATTCCTCCTCTAACATCATCCTTCAGCTTCTGAGTTATTGAACTTTTGTCGGCAGCTAAACAAAAGTACATCACACCATTAATATCGATGAGAAATGTAAATAATTTTAGCTGCCAAACAAAAATTTGGCCTAAAATTTGTCCAAGATAATTTCAATTAAAGCCAAAGGTGAAACTCCTTAAACCAGACTGTTATGAATAGAAGCTGATTCCCTTTATTTATCTCTGTAACTCAGCAACACAAATTCACAGAGAAAACTAGCAACTGAACCTAGAGAACCAGTACTCTAGGGTTCTGTCTACAGTTCCCTGAACTTTCCCAAGCATAAAAAAAACCCCAAAATGAATCCAAATTCCTCGATAACTAAATATGCTACATCTAACTGTCGAATTAAAGTCCACATCTCAGACAAGAAAACAATGAGCATCATCGAGTTGTCATAAATCAACTTTATTCTATTCCTCCTACCAAAACACTTGTCTCCATTGCTTATCAATGACAAAACTATATCAGGCAGCATAACTATCAAGGAAAGGATAAGGTACATTTACTTTTGCTTTCGGAATCCACACCGGAAGAAAAAGTGTAAGGGACAGTCGCAGATTCAGTAGTACCCTCGAGAAGCGTCTGCAAAGAAGGAGGACGTAACGTACTCCTAGCAGCAGCTGCAACAACTGCCGCAGACATCCCTTCCCCATTAAAATCCAACTCAGACACAGCTGCTGTAGCAAGAGACAGATCCTCCTCCCTTATTATATGCAAAACCCTTCTCACTACATTCCCCACCGCAAGCTCTACACAATCACATCCAATACAAAAAAATCATTCCTTTATTAATAAATACTCCCTCTGTTTCATGTTAAGTGTATCATTTGAGAGATTTTTTCGTTTGCAAAATTTATTAACTTTACTATGTAATTTGTTTTTCTATTGGTTAAAATGTGGTTAGCTGTATAGATAATTCTGTTTTTATATAGAAAATATGTAAAATTAATTGTTTCCTTAATCCGTCTGCACAACTCTAAAATGACATTTATAATGAAACACACGGAGTAGGAAACTTAATCCGTATGCACAACTCTAAAATGACATTTAGGGCAAGATTATTGGGAGTTTCTTGCAATTGTTTCTTAGTAAATATATTTACTAAGAAACAATTGCAAGAAACTCCCCAATAATCTTGCCCTTATAATGAAACACACGGAGTAGAAAACTTCATAGGTTGCAATAAGTAAAAAGAAGAACATACCAACAGGATTTGCAGCTACCAACTGCGCACCAACGCCTCTCACAGCATCAATAAGAGCTGAAGCTTGGTTTGCACGAGGCAAACGATGATGAGAAACCACTGACTTAAGAAGCTCTACAGTGCATCTAGCTGTAGCCTGTGATCCCTCAATCTTACTGTTCATTTCAAAAATCAGAAACTCTCTTAAAAAAAAATTAACAAAATGTGTTTTACGAAATTTACAAGACTTTTAATAAGGATTTTTACCGTTTCCTAAGCTTGTTAACAAACTCCAGAACCATTGATTGTACGTCAGGCATTTTTACTTAACCCTAATCGTAAAAATTTAGAGGCGTTAGATTCCGTAAACCCTGATTAAGTTGCGATTCGCGGCGGGAGGATGATCGAATGGTTCTAATGGAGAGGAGAAGAGAAAGTGGATGTGCTTACCGGTGAAAATGTGACGGTGACGGATGATGAGGAGGTGAAGTAGAGAGGGAATATTCCGGCGAGGGAGAAATGGAATTGAACAAGAAGACCAGATAGTGAGAATTTAGGGGGTTTAAATAAGTCTTAGTTTTTGGGCTGCAAAGACAAAAGCCCAATACAAAGCCTTTCTTCCATTTTGTATAACTTCTATTACATTAATTATCTGATAAATATAGCAAATTAATTTTAATCTAATTACTCTTTACAAAAATATATAATTAAATTAATAAGGTGAAATAATTTCATGATTAATTCTAATAAATATTTTATTTATATCTTAGTTCAAAGGATTCTGAAATATATGTTTTATGAAAAATAGTGTGAATTGGTTTAATATATGAATATATATATATATAATTTTGGTACAATATGTTATTGATTGTCAAAAAAATATTTGAAATACTTAATTATTTTTAGGAATTATTTTTATTATTCAATGTTATATTTGTTTTATTGATCCAAGATATCCGACAGTAATAATCCAATCGATTAATTTATGTGATTCTGATGATTGGTTGTTCGCAAAGAGAATTAGATATTTCTGTCGTCTGACCACACGTTAGGATAATTTGTGAGTAACGGATTTGAACTTGAGATCCTTAGGATCATTGTGGAACGCTATGTACCACTAATCATTCTTATATTTTCATAATTGAATATTATATAAAAAGATATTAACAGTTTAAGCAAAAAATATTAACAACTAAAACGATAAAATTATACTCCACTTTCTTTAGTCCTTACTGCAACTAAAATACTGTATTGTTGGATAAATTTATTTGAATGCATCATTCCAAGGGTTTCATAAAATATTTAGCACTTCAATGAAAACATTTTAAAACTATTCCTCATATTCCAATTTTTAAGGAAATATTTTTTTAAAAAAAATCATTTATAAATTTATCTTCCAGATCCTAAATATACATGAATGAATGGAATGAGTAGAATTCACTGTTCCATTAAACAATTTTTAGTTTCTATTCAAATACTTTGATCACCTCGTTTTTACCACCAATGAGTATTTTTTTTATTTTATTGAGCATATTCCTTTCATGAATAACTAGTTACAGGCCTTGTTTCCTTAACTAACACATTCTTACTCGGCTATTCAGTATACACTAAAGAACTGCCTGAGAGATTCGGCAGAAATTTCTTCCCTATATATAACACAACCAAAGAATCCTGACGATTTTCTTTAAACCAAGCTGGTTTTCATAAACTTCTATTTTCTTGTTCTTCTGCATTTTCATTGAGCCTATATGCACCATCTACATACAACTCAGTGTCCCACAAAAACGTCCCAAACGCCACAGCTTCCAAAACCAACCGCTTCAGACTCGAATACGATGTCACAATGGTCTCATCACTTTCCTCCGTGCCAAAAAGAGCCAAACATTGCTTCTTTATCAAACTCCTTGCTTCCTCTGTCCTAGGCTTTGTACATCTCTGCATTGTCTCGGGGTCAAACCCTGTGATGTAATGTCTCAGATGTTCCACCTGTGCAGTGCCAATTGTCAAAGAAGATCCAAAGACACTTCCATGGAGATCGGGTAAGGAACACTCGAGTTGGTGTCTGAGGGAAGCAGATTTCAAGAAGTAACCACACAAGATCGAGCCAACGTATACCTTCTTGAAATGAAGTTTCTGTATCTGTGTTTTCTCATGTAGACATGAGTTGACACGTAATCCGATGACTGCGTTTACGTGTTCTTTGATGAGCTCAAGGGTATCATCACAGCTGTGGATTGACTCCAGCTCCCGATCTTTCTTAGCCCATATTTCGAGTCTTCCATTGTGGATGCATCTAGAGAGATTTGGAGAGAGAGAGACTCTTATCTCTGAGTATTTATAGACTATTAACATGTACATTATTTCTTGGACTGCAAGTTTGCAGTAACGTTCCTTGAGCTGAGCTATTCTTCTGCCAATCACAGAAAATCAAGGAATTAGGGTTAGCAGGCAGAAAGCACAACCATTATCAAACAAAAGTATAAGATGGCTTGAGTTGCAAGTTAAGCTTAACAAAGAGTTTCAGAAACAGCAAAGTGTTTGAACTGTCTAAGTAAATCAAAGCTGAATTAAAAAAAAAAAAAACAGCCCAAAAAGAATTTCACAAGACTATTAAGAAATTTTTAAAAACATTCAGAGGAGCTTAACTAGGACAAGCAGCGTTATCAGCCCTAATAAAACTTACTATACAAGGCAGAACATGAGAAAGAACAAAAACATCATATGTTTGTGAGTTTCCCTTATTATGTGCACACAAAAAAAGTTATATTGACTTCTTATTGGTTATAATTTTTTTAAATAAATTTGTTCCTTAGATGATTTTCTTTCAATTTTTTTATTCTAGTTGTTTATTTTTGTAGCTTTGTAATAAATTTAATTTATTTTATTAGTTTTGATTATTTTATAAATTACAAATTTTCTGTTTAAATTAAATTGATTCAAAATGATTTATCAAAAAAATTGTAATTTGAGTAGTTAATTTTTTAATAATCACTTTTTAATGTTTATAACTTAGTTAATTAATCATATAATTTTTAAAAAAATGCTATATCTAGTTCTTATAACATTAAACATATTTTATAAACTATTCATATATATTTATCAACATGTTAAATGATATAAAGTTATAGTAATTTTCCAGAGTTTTATATAATAATTATAATGAATAGATCATATTTTTAACTTTGCCTAATATAACTGTTAGTCTATGTAAGTATCTAATGATATGTACAGTGTGTATGTAATCAATTCTACGGATGCACACGCATAACGGGTTTATGAAATGTTAGTAGACTAGTATAAGTAAAAGGTAAACGGACCTGTGGAGAGAAGCTTCATCGGAACCAAAGCTAAGAGACATACGAGCTAAAGCAGCTTCACGGTTATCTGCCAGTAACCTGAGCTCATCAGCAGCGGCGTAGTGGAAGAGGTGCCTCTTGTTTAGCAACAGACCTCTCAGAAACCTCCCCTGCAAAGTTCGAGGCTTAAGAGGCGCGTTAAAGCTGTTTCCAGGCTCGTACCTGCTCTTACCCGCCGTGGCTACCGTGACCATCGATCTATACTGGACCTTGCTCATGGCCGGAACAATAAACCCAAGAGAAGGGAGCGTGGCTTGGTTAGAGAGACAACTATCCATGAAAGAGTCTGTAAATGAGAGAAAAATAGGGAGAAGATTGTTTTAAAATATTAGCGGGAGAAGTTGGCGTATGTATAAACGTAAGAGGCATATTTGACCTATCTTTTAATACTACTGTCCATTTTTTTTAATTTAAAAAAATAACTGTTATTTTCTTTGTGCTTTCTTAAGTCGGTTATGGCATTGGCTTTATTTAAAATAAATATTCATTTTTACATAAATCTCAGTTCAGGTTCGAAAACATATACTTGCAGAAAATAGAAACTTCAAATGCAATATATTTCTAAAAATTCTAACGTGTTGACCAACAAAAACGAATTTTCTACAAATAATCTTGAAGTTTCTAGGAAATATATATCAGAAATACTATCTCTTTCTTGTGAACTATAGCTCTATGACTGACCCCACTTCCTGATATAAAATAAAAAGACAATTGAGAAACTTTCAAGACTCATATAGATTCAAATGGACATGGAAAAAGTCTGTATAGAACAATAGTTTAACAGGATTACTAGTTAATGAAAAACCTAGGAATTTCAAGAAACAAGACTCTTTCTTCTCCAACAGGAATAATTGTTTCCGAATCGTACACATTTCATTATCAAGATAGTTAGGTGGTTGTTATTTTAATATATAAACCCATTAGTTATAATATTTATAGTAGTCTTCCCGTCCACACTGGCCCCTAATCTAACTTATTAACGATAATTTCAAACAGATATGGAGTTAGACCTCTTCGTGTTTCATAAAGTCAGCTTAACACATCTAATTTCTTAATTACAATCCTACTTATAACAATTTGATTATTTGTTTTAAAGCATTATAAATACTAGTGTACGTTTATAAAAGGATCACCTCAATTCAACTTGCACACGATTTGGATATGAATATTAAAAGCAAATTTTGTATTTTATGGTCTTATAAACTAAGGTGGTGAATTCGAAAATCTTTGTACCCAACAAAACAGCAATCACCATTCACCACCTTAATGTTAAACATAACACAGATCTTTGATAAAACATTCATTTCAAGTAGCTGATGAGATGATTTACCCTTTAAGTCGTTCTCTATAGTTCAATTTAAAATAGTTGAACTGAGGAAAATCGAGTTATTTAACGTCATGAAAAAATACATTAAAGATGAAAAATATAAAATATATACGTCAGGCATGATGAAAAGAAAATGCTAACATATATATAGTTCCACTTTGATTGTTTAGCAAATGGGGCGCATTAATGGAAATATATTGCATACTGGTCTTGTAAACAGACTGGTCTTCGACTTCTAAACCCATTATTGAATTTAAATGGGCTTCTTCTACAGTAGATAATTGAAAGGGTCGGTCTTTGTAAGAATTTTGTCTTGTTGATAAATTATCATCAAAAATACATCAAAATATTTTGCATGTGAAATTAAAACAAACTCTTTAAAAAATACATCAAAATATTTTGCATTAATTGGGAATCTGAAATATATTTTTAGAGAAAATACAAGAACAAGTGTATATCATAGTTGTACAAACACCTTTGTTTAGCGTGGTTAGTCACATGTTTGATATTTCTTTAACAAATGTAGGTTTTAATTCTCATGTTGCATTACATGTCTTCTAAGATTATAGATGCAGTTTATTGTCCAACATGTAACAAATCTTGGAGACTCGGTAAACTTGATAAAAGACTAGAGAGAACGTCATCGCTCGAATATTTCACACATCGAAGTTGTAAGACTTTGAGGGATTGTAATAGGATCTGGTTACCATAACCATCTTCAAGATTTATAAATAAAATTGTTCATTCTATGTATATTGCATGTAAAATTATTGATTGTGGTGTGGTTTATAGATTTGTCTATTGTAATGACATTCGATTCATTTGTTTTAAAATTGGATCATTAATTATAATAAGATAAATTCAACCATTTATCTCGATAACATACACATATAGTATAATAAATGAAAAAAACTAGTTTAATAATTGTAATCATTATAGTGTTCTTGTGTTTTCACTGTGACCTAATGATAAGTATTTACATGAATGAAACAGAATAGCGAAGATCTTCACACAAGACTAAATTATGAACAAATTTTGTTCAAATGTTGGATACCAACTCATCCTTTGTGTTTGATTACCTACTTATATTGTGTGGCCACTAATAAACTATTCTGTAGCATTTTCAGAGAGAATTTCTTTATCCGACATTGATGCCACTCCAAACCACAAAAACCATCGACACCATCTAACAAGTTATACTATTCAGTAAGTTGCTTTTTTTTGGTAATATATCTCTCAATATGTAAATAAGATTTTTTTTTTTGCGATTATGCTTTTTATATGACATTATAAACAACACCATATTGATCAGAGAATTGTAAACATTATGATTTAGGAATATGTTTTCTTATAGGTTATTATAGACATGTTAAAGAGTTTTGTGTGCATTATTATGCTAAACCAGAAGAACATACAATCCATATTAGAAATAGGACAAACTGCTTATTAAGAATTAACAATCCCTTGACTCTTCGCATTTAAATAAGATTTCACATTTTCAATATTAAAAATGGATTTATGTAGGTTTAAAAATAATATATCGTAACATGCATGGGACAATGAGCATAAACAGACCTTTGTCACATCCTTTTTCTTATAAAAAAAATAATGTTGTCACTTGTTCCTTACCTTATTTAGAGAACTCTTCACACCTCCCAAATTCCAACTTTTGTTCAAATAAATATATTAAATAAAAGTTGTTTTTAATCAAAAAATAGTAAAAGAATAAAATAAAAGTTATTTTGTTTATAGTCTTCTATTGTTTATAGTCTACTTGAAGTGCATATGTATACAAAATCAGTTGGTGTGGCCTGTTAATAATATAGTGAATGATTTTCTTGTGTCCATGTTTTAAACCTCTAGTTAGGACACAAGTTTTTATATTGGAAGTCTTAAAGTTAACTTAAAATATACTAAAAGATCATGGACTAAAATCAAAAATCTGGAACTCCTACAATCTCCGAAAAATAAAATATAGTCTCCAAAATTGTATCCTATAATTCAGTATTTTGACTCGTGATTTCAAACCTTCATCCCCGGATTTTTTTTTTTCAAAATACATCAAGTGGCGAACCTTGGATGTTCTCTACACTTTACTCGTTTGAGCTCCATGTTGTTCCAACTTGTTTCATTCCTTGTATTAAAAGACAGCAATGTCATGAAAGACGTCTGACCGAGGCTAACAAAACCAAAATTCAAACAGCATTAACTGTGTATAATATGATATTTTAAATATCGATAGATGTCCACAATCCGAAATGAGTCTTATCTAACCTCAAATAGGAAATTGTTTGTTTCCTAATACCGTGGACAATAGTATAATTGTTGTTCATATCCACCAATAAATTGACTTATCCTTCTCAGTCCTTCTTCTTCGGGTAATTAATTATGCTTTGGCTTGAACGAGTTTATCCGTCTATTAAATAATATAATTAAGAGTACGAAGACATTGCTAGTAACTTGCTACAACTTTCCCTTTCACGAAGAGCCAAATAAATGGATTAGATGAAGAAAACAGGATAGGGGAGACAAATGTTAAAGGCTCTTTGCTTGGTTCTTGTCTATACGCTTCCTTTCTCAATCAACTATCCCTAGGACCTGTATATGCCCTACCATAATCATATTCACATTTTTCTTGTTGCACGCGTCCTCATCTCCTCTATTTTCTTTTGTTCTAGATAATTCTTCTTTCATATCATCCTATTTGTTTGTAGTTTTTGTAGCGACAAACTGATAGTTTTATCACAATCCTCTTTTAGTTTTCTTCATGGACTGGAAAATAATATCTAAACAAACCTAAACGAACTTAGAAATTCAGAATACTGTTTTTAAACATCAAACCTTTTACTTGGTAATCTGGTAGACATGGAAATCATATAAAGTCGATATATCTCAAAGTTCATCTCTTATAATTTAAACTTAATATAATTTCCTGATATTTCATAATTTTGAGATTTTTTTCGGGTCAACTGGTGAAGTAACACATGCACTATTTTAAAAAATCAAATCAGATAAGATTTGATTTGATTTTTTTTTTTCCTTTTTCTCAATCAGATCGAATCAGGCGTAGCATGGGTCATGAAGTTGTTGCTTCTACATATATACTTACATAAAGTTTTATTTCCTTTTAATTAGGATTTTTAATCGGTGTTTTTGTCAATAAACTCGAACGTCGATGATAATATTAATTACAAAGTATCCATACCTAATGAACAAAGTGTGACGTGAGGATGAGAAACCTCCTATAACTGCAGTAACATAATAACCCAAAAGGCGTAATTCAGCAAACTTGAAATACCAAGCGCACGTATCCAATTATTAAACGGACATTGAGCATACAACAGTTAACGATACATTTTCTATGATTTGTCTAACCTATGCTTATCCTTCAAAGGTGTCATCATCTTCTCAAGACTCAAGCTAAACTGGCAAAAAAGTTAATACTAATCAAAATTCATCACTAGCGAAACGAAATACAAACAAACTATAGTCTATATAGGTACAAACTTCACGAGCTTGCAGCCTAATACTATACATAGATTTTAACAGGGAAAAATGTATGTCATCGACACATAATAAAGTTTCCAAATAGGTTCAAAATTTCACCGAAGAACGTTAAAAAGTAATAATAACGAAAAAAAGGTATACTCAGAAGGAGAATAAACCCTAGATACTTGTTACCCATTGGGATATGCCAACCTTTGCCTAACTCATCGGGCCAAAAGTCGTGATGCTTATACTAACCAAGAAGTGGTATATCCTCCCGGTTCTTCCTTTATCCCACCATAACGTGTCTACTTATAGTAGTAACTATCAATTGATTATTTTATTTTTAATATTCTCTATCAAAAAACTAATATAAATAACGTTGCCTTCTTCGAATATTCGTAGCCCAACTCATCTCTCTCTTCACGACTTCACACATTTTTTTTGTTTTAGAAAAGAGAGTTCTCTTCTTTTATAAAAACTCGTCTCCTCCGATAGAGTTTTTTTTATATACACCACACATACATAGGGTTAGTAAGAAATGGGTTTCTCTAGAGCAAAACGTGTTACCGATCCACTAGCTGACGAGGTCAGGGCTCGTCTCGTTGGATGCAGCTTCAGCAGCGGCAGTGAACACACCGGCGACGAAGACTACGAAGATAATTCTCCTTGTCTTTCCGATCTTGTCCAAGGATTCTTGGAAGATGAAGTTAATCAAACCGTTCATGACGATGAGGCACGCTGGTGTGACAATGACTCTGATTCAGACTCAGCTTCTGACTCGGAACATGTCGACCTTCCCGATATGTCCGAAGATATTGCGAAAATTTTAAAGAACTCTCTCAGGGAAGACAACTACGGACGCATGGTGTTGCTTCACGTGGCTAGAGCGATGGAAATGCTGTCGTCTTTGGGATCTGATCAAGAACAGCGTGCCGTTTTGCGACGTAAGCTCATGTCTCTTCTTAGAGAGCTCGGACACAATGCTGCCATCTGCAAAACCAAATGGAAATCCTCCGGTGGAGGACTCACTTCCGGTAACCACGAATTTATCGACGTGGTTTACACACCAACCGCCACGTCATCTCAGACCGTACGTTACATCGTCGACTTAGATTTCAAGTCGCACTTCCAGATTGCTAGACCAACGGTGCAGTACGCGCGTGTTCTTCAATCACTCCCGGCGATTTTTGTCGGACGAGGGGAAGATCTGAAGAGGATATTAAGGCTGGTTTGCGATGCGGCAAGGATATCGCTTAGGAGCCGTGGCCTCACGCTTCCACCGTGGAGGAAAAACCGTTACATGCAGACGCGGTGGCTTGGTTCGTATAAACGCACCACCAACTTAACGCCGTGTTCTCCCGCCGTTAACACCGTCATGTGTCGTGCCATCGGGTTTGATAACGCCGTCGGTGGCCGTCTTTTTGTGCGGACTCGATAAACTTAAAAGGATAAATGCCACGTGTCAGTTGATAAATCGTAATTTTCCGTGAGAATAAATAATAGTAATTCATTAGTTTAGAATAAAACAAATGTGAGAGCAAACGAACAAATTAAAAGCGAAGAAAAATCCGGATTTTACGAAGAATTAAACAATTTTACGCGGAAAATGAACATTGTGAAGAAAATCACAAATGTTACAAGTAATTATCGGGTGTGACAGGGAAGTAGATATACGGTAATAACTTATCATAGCCGTCAGATCTCGTTCAATAGTCAGATGTCGCAGATCAAAAAGTAGTAAAGTAATAAAGATAGATATCATGGATATGGATATGGAGATTACATTGGATAATATATTAATTAATCATGATGTGTTGACGTGGCAATAACACGTAACGTAGTTCTCATGTACATTGAATGTGACTTGGCGTAAGAGGTCACGTCAAGGTCTAGGCGCATGGGTCTGTCGTGTAGTATCGACCACACCTGATAAGAGCCACAGTAGACAGAACAAAAGTAGGATAATAAAAAAAATTGGAGCACGTGGAATAAGATAATGTTTATCTATATTTTAACATTTGTTTTTATTCTCTTGTAAAATGCGAATATTCGCTTTTCTTTTTCAGACCAGCCACATTTTTATCCACAACTGACCTAGCCCTTCTGTCCCGATATTAATTGCGATTCATATCCACCTTGAGCTGAACGAGTCATTTATATTAGATTGGTCGGAGTTGATCTCATCTACTCAATGATAATAATTAATGTAGCTAGATAAATTTTGGAACATTGGTGAGAACTATTATTTATACAGACCTAATACTGTTAGGTAACCCTATCACATGATTTAAATGGTTGTCTCTTGGTCTTAAGAGTGAAAAAAATCTGGTGTCAGCGATAAAATATTATTTGGATTCGTTAAAAAATAACTAACTTGCAACAATTTTCATATTATGATGGGGAGTTATTTCCGAGTGTGAATTTTTTTTGCCATGTCCTCCTCCGCTCAACTCCAAAACTCTTACCTTAAGAGTTGAGATCATCCAAGTTTGCTTGTCGTTTGTTTCCCCGAAGAAGTAAATGACGACACACCACCTGAAAATCACGTGGACAGTAAGTTTAGGAGCAAAGAATGAATTGAGTTTTACTTACATGTATTAATAGATGTAACGATGATGGTGATTATGATCATATCTACATATTTTGGGTGGTTTGCGAGGGCTTAATTAATTGACTACATAAATAAATGGCTGATGAACATTATAATAGGCATATAGTATACAACTTTTGGTCAAGATCTGTAAACATTGCCACAATACATATCATACCACGCACATAGAGACATTTTGTTATAAGATACGTGCTCTAGTAAGCCATAATCAATTCTGTAAATTGACTCTATACGTATACATTCTTCTCGATTATCTACCTCTTAAAGGCATAAACAGTACACTCGGTTATGTGTGTGACCAAAAAAGGAAAAGACGAATGAAGAAAAGGAATAGAAAAAAATGACCCTTGGAGAAGGAAAGAGAACTTGAAGTGGCCCAACGAGGGAAGGGGCAGTCAAGCTTTGGGGTCTCTCCCCACGTTTTTATTTTCCCAATTGTCTCTTCGAATCGTCTCGCCTTATTTACTATTTTCTGTGCCTCCTTTGTTTTATTTGTTTCTTAGTATTATTTTTTGTTTTTCTAATGATTCTCTTAGAAAAAAACAACCGAAAGATAGATGGATTGTCTATGGCAACAAAGTATTATATATTTCTTAAATAGTCAATGTAAATAAGTTCCACTCAACACTTGTATTATACAACCCAGGCAAACCTATTATGATACATGTCTTGTCCTAAATAAAGTTGGAAAATAACTTAGAATAATAATTGGATTTTAGTACTTATAATGTCTATAAAATATTGAACTGGTTTCTGATTAATTATATACATGTACTTTTATATAGTGCACACACATTTGAAATACAAATACAATTTTAGAGCATAATGCACATGATAGTTTTTTAATATGTTTTCCTGCACATTTTGGATCTTTTTTCTTTTCTAGTGTTAAAGTTTTGAAGTGGACCGTCGTCTTATCTCCACGAACCAAGGGTTCCAATTGCCATTAAGTTGTCGTTACAACTAGGCACTAGCTAGTGGCTTCAACCGGTTATGCCCATACCGACACTTGCATACAGACAGATCAGATGTTGTGGACGTTGAACGCTTTTAGACCACTGATGTATTATATTAATTGGTGTCAAAATAAGCTATTGGGAAATACAAATGATGTGGAATACAAAAACTAAGGATAATACTAATACCTGATCATTCAGTCTTGAGGCGTTTAATTGGCCTTCTATAAGGAGACAAGTGGGTTCAATAAACAAAGTATGGGATCGAGTTTGCTTAAACTAGCAAATGGGCCTAAAGGTCAAGTTTGTATCCTATTTAGGGCTTCCCAATCATCCAAACTATATGTATGTTAGGCTTTACACCTTTTTCTTTTCGTCGTGGCCTATAACTTCAAACCACAGTCATTATCCGGCCTGTTACATTTTCTTAGAGCATGTTCATCGGCATATCTTCCCTCGTATCTTAGGTGGTAGGGGCCACAAATTATCTTACAAACGTGTGCAGAAGTCGCCATATAAGATACGTTGGGTGAGAGTTGTTTGTACTGTTTTGTCATGCGGCCACATGTGGTTAGTTCTTTTTTTCTCTGTCTTTTTTTTAATTAAATAAAACAAAAGAAAAATGTATAAGAAACGGAGACGCGTATGTAGCTATGAACATGCTCTTAGGGTTAGCAACGCAAAATCGATATTGCTGGTTATGCGGATATACGTTTCTTCTTTTTTTGCAGGGTTTTATGTCAGAGTAAGACAGAGTTTGGATCGTAAAAATTCGAATTTACTGCATTTTGATAATAATGTGCCTGTAAAATATCCAAGAAGAATGTTCTGAACCAGCTAGCTAATTACTAAATTTATATTTTACCAATTCAATATAGAATGATTTACAATAATAACTCAGCAAATAGCTAGTAGGTATTCATAAATTTCCTTATTTTGGTTTCAAAGATTCAGTCACTTTTTTACCAAAAATTTGGAACTTACTTGTAACATTGTTAGCACTGTTATCACAAATAGAAACAAAATTAATAATGTCAGAAAGTAAAGGTGCCTGCAAGTAGAAAGGAAGACAGTACGAAGATGATGAGGGACATTGGATATCGACACGTGGGCAAAGTCTGATCTAATTAGAAAGTAAAGATTCTCTGTGTGTTGCAGATAAGTGGTCCGCACTCTTCACTTCTTCAGAAATAAACGTAATTACATAGTAGGTATTCAGTGGAACAACTTCAATTTTGAGCCAAACACTATTCTAACACGGATTATTTACATGGAGGTCAATCACCCACCTTCTTACGGTTGGTCAGCTAAACCGACACTTTAGAGTGAGTTAGTAAAAGCTTTCTGATGGTACTCAAGCATAATAAACTTCTTAGCAAACAATAATCGTAGACATTTGACTTTGTAGTCCATTGGTGTGTCATCTTGTTCCCTAATAGAATATTATAGGTTAAAATTGAACCTTGATAGATAATTTCATTTCAAGAATTCACCTTCCTTGTCAATGTTCTTAATTCATCCAATCACGCATCTAAAGGCTATAGTAATAAAACATGTTTATATTCTATTTTCATTTACATTATAGTATTATTATATAATAGTACTACAATTCTAGAAAAACGGCAGGGGTAAAAGGTGAAAGAAGAAGTAGAGTTGTCGGAGAATGAAGACTGAAGAGATGGGAAAGAGTGCATCAGAATCCACGCGGAAAGACAGCTGTTCGCATGTTGCCATGTTGGAATAACACTATGAGTCCCGTCCCAGTTCACTCTATACTTCGGCACCCACATTTGTAATATTATCAAAACAATAAATAGTATTGTATTATAATTTAGATATGTAATTAATTTTAAATGTCAAATAAAAACACACATGTGTAATAAAATATTTTTAGAATTTTTAAAATATCTTCCTTAAGATATTTATTTAATGTTTTTATACCTTTTAATTTTTTATTATTATTTAAGTTGGTTAGCAATTCCTAAGTATATCCCCACGGATATGCTTTTACAACATTCTATCTTATCCATACAATTTACAAATTTTCTATAATTTATTCTGTTGCGGAAATTGAGAAAGAAAATCTGAAAGTTAGTTAGGAAATTCAGCATCATATATATGCACATTAAATATATATATATATATATATTTTAACAAATGAATAACAATAAAAACTTCCAGAAATAAACTATTAATTCATAAAACAATGCAAATTATGTAGACGATAGAAAGCATACCAACACACACAGACTACACAGAAAAATCAACATCTATAATTCATTTCTGAATTAGGAGACTGTAATTCAAATTCTTCCAATAAATTGATGTTCAAAACCAATTCACGAAGATGTTAATTACGAATTAATCATCTGATCCTCACATTATCTCCATGTTCATTCATGATGTCCAAGTTAAGTATTTGGAAACATGGCTTGATATTTGTTTCTGTCAAATAAAATGAGAAAAAACATTAGAACATGAACCAATAACGTGTAAGATATGAGAGACTATTCGTGTCGGCTGCACTTCGCGAAGTAGGTCATACGTGCTTCATGTCAAATTTTTTTTTTTAATTTTAAAATTTTAATTACTAGTAGTTATGAATAAATAATGACGTGGCGGCGGTACACTACAACACTTCTCCTTCTCCTCTCCTCCTCATATCTCTCTTTATTATTCTCTCTTCTCTCTCTTTCAGAAAACTAATGAGAGAAAACTAATCCAAAATATAATCCGACAAGGGTTTGGTGAGTAACAGGCGGCGGATCCGACGGAGAGATGGCAAAGACTGAATCTTTCGATTCGGATCCGACGGTAATTGCGAAAGCGAAGGAGCTGAAGCGTGAGATGAAGAAACTGCTTCGGACCATCGAGGAAGAAGATGGTTTTAGCGTTCAGACAATCGATCAGTTACAAGAAGCTCTGTCTTCGTTGAAACAGGGGATGATGGAGAAGACGGCTAAATCTTCTTCTCTTGAGATGCTGGAGACAGTTTCTTGTCCTGATGAGTTTCGTTGTCCACTCTCCAATGAGCTCATGCGTGATCCTGTCGTTTTGGCTTCTGGTCAGGTCAGTGACGTCACATTCATGAAATCTAGAGTCTTTTTATTTGATCTTTTGTTTTATTTGATCTTTTGAAGATTATTCTGCATTTTCATTTATTAATTATAAAATTTACATTTTTCTGTGTTTTTTTCATGAATTTGGGTTGAAATTTTATATAATATCCCTAGAAATTGAATTATAAATGAAATTGAGTTGTTTTTTTTTTTAAACATTTTCTGTGTGTTTTTGCAGACATATGATAAGTTATTCATACAAAAGTGGTTAAGTTCTGGAAACAGAACATGTCCCAAGACTCAGCAAGTTCTGTCCCACACAGCTTTAACTCCAAATCTTTTAATCAGTGATATGATCTCAAAATGGTGCAAGACCATTGGGGTAGAGAAGAAGTTAAACCACTGTGAGTCCAACCATGTAACTCAAGAGAAACCTGTCAGTAGATCAGATCGTGAGATTCTCAATTCATTGCTCTGTAAAGTCACGTCATCTTCGAATCTTCAAGATCAAAAGTCAGCTGCAAAGGAGCTAAGACGTTTGACCAGGAAAGGAACCGAGTTCCGAGCTCTTTTAGGTGAATCTTCAAACCAAATCACAAGCTTGGTTAATCCGTTGTTACATAAGTGCCAAGATGAGGATCTTCAAGAAGATGTGATCACAACTTTGTTGAACATATCAATACATGATGACAACAACAAGAAGCTCGTCTGCGAAAACCCTAACGTGATTCCTCTCCTGATCGATGCATTGAAGCGTGGAACCGTAGCCACTAGAAGCAATGCAGCTGCAGCTATCTTCACTCTCTCCGCGCTCGATTCAAACAAAGTACTCATAGGCAAATCCGGAGTCCTGAAACCGCTTATCGATCTTTTAGAAGAAGGGAATCCGTTAGCTATCAAAGACGTAGCTGCAGCCATCTTCACTCTCTGTATTGCTCATGAGAACAGGGGTAGAGCTGTCAAAGACGGAGCTGTCAGGGTTTTAGGTAAGAAAATCTCAGATGGGTTGTATGTGGATGAGCTTTTAGCTATATTAGCTATGCTTGTTACTCACTGGAAGGCTGTGGAGGAGCTTGGTGAACTAGGTGGGGTTTCTTGGTTGCTGAAGATAACTAGAGAGAGTGAATGTAAGCGGAACAAAGAGAATGCGATTGTGATATTGCATACGATATGTTTCAGTGATAGAACAAAGTGGAAGGAGATCAAAGAAGAGGAGAGTTGTCATGGAACGATAACAAGGCTTGCGCGTGAAGGAACCTCTAGGGCACAGAGGAAAGCAAATGGGATCTTGGATAGGTTGAGAAAAGCTATGAATCTCACTCACACGGCATGAGAGATTGCCCTCAAATCCATGGTTTTACGTTTGTAGGTTTGTTGTAAGTAGAAATCTGTGTGAATAGTTTTTTCTTTTGATGTTTCTTTTTTTTTTTCTTGGGAATCAATAAAAGCAATGTTGGCTTTATTCAGTAGTGAATGTCTTGGTCAACAAGTAACTGTGTAGCTTTCGGCTGTTTTTTTTTATATTTGAATACAATTAGTATTAAAAAACATAGAATGGTTGTCATGTCGTGTTCTTCACATCACACGGCACTACGAAACAAATCAATCTTATTCCACTTTCTGTGGATTAAAAGAGTTTATTACATAGTCACGAGGTTTCATTATTTGTGATGTAATGTAATGTGATCCCTCTTGCCGTATGTCACTTCTTCATTACAAAACAAAGTGATTTTCAAATTATTAATAACTAAATACATTTCATTCTAAATACATGTACTTTATATTATCAAAAATTAATGTAATAATATTATTCTGAATTATTCAAGTAATATAAATTAATTTGAATTTGAAGATATATATGTGTGTGTGAAGAACAATGTAAAGGTGGCAAGAAATGCATGTAACTAATTATGATAAAATCACATGTATTTCGAAATTGCCCAGACTCGTGATTTGTAATAAGTACGGATGGATGGACAGAATAGAGAAAGCTGGAAGAAATGGAATATTTAATAGACAGGGTGGAGAATACATAGATTCGTCCTAAACCACACTCTTTGATGCTTCCTCACCCAACTTTCACAAGAAAAGCCAAGTAAAGAAGAATTTGATTCTTCCAACTTTTTATACACAAGTAGTAATGGTTTTACAATACATTACATATTTTATTCTGAAGACGATGGTGGGTTTACCCTTTACGTGTCCCTACAAGTGGAATCATATATACAAAGGAAAATATTCGTCTGTCTTTATTCAGCTACCCTTGATATCCGCCTTATTAGTAGGCAAGAATTGAGTACTAACTTAGATATTTGAATGTATTCAATCCCATCATTTTTATCAACTTTCCTAATAGGAACAACCAATTATTACGATTGTAATCAGTATGTCCTTTTCTTAATAACCAAAAAGCTTATAGAATTTAAAACTATAGTTTCTTGGGGCCCCGCGACCAAATCAGCTTACATTTAATCAAGTCTTGATTTCTCTGAATTATTTAATAACCTTTAAACACATTTTTCTGCCACATCTCAACTAAGAGATTGTAGAGCAACTACATTATGATTCTGGTTTGGACTTTCCTCCATGGTTAAACAAAGTCTTTGTGTGTGTGTTTTTTTTCCAACCAATAAAATCATCTTTGTTATCTGAATCATGGATGCATCCGATCATTGATTATAACTTGATAGATCTTAACCTGATGATTAACACATGAACACTAAAGGTATTACTTAACATTTAAGAAGAGAGATTCGGAGGCATATGTTTATTCTAAGTTTTGGAAAAGAGACTTTGAACAAAGAATACATTTTCCTACTCATCTTCTTGGCTTCACGACCTAGCCAATCTCCTACTATAACAACAAAATCCAACTGAGAAGCACGCTAAAAAATCTCTTTCTTCTTCTTTGTTGATATATTGTGAGCAATCTCTACACAATAAGTCCCACTGGTCCTGGTTTAGTCAAGACTAGAATCTACTTGAAAAAGGCTAAGAATAGCAAATTTGGGGCTAGTTGAACAGTATTTAAATCATGAAACCTAAAGGAACCTTTGGAAAAAAATGGCCGAAAATAGTTTATAATGATGGAAGCTGGAAGCCCATGTTTCTATGGCTTGCCCACAAGGCCTGGCCTGCAGTTCCAATATCATTGTGAAGCAATCAAGAACTTTCTTCTACAAATGTCCCACAAAAGTAAGAATCATCATTATTCATTAAAAGGAGAGAGATGAATGGTTAAACCAATTTCAAGGTCTACAACGTGTGCAACCTTTTTCTAACCCATTTTCAACCTTCTACCCATTTCTTAGGATGCTTCCTTTATCGTCTTTGCTTTTATTCTCGTCGCGTCTGCATGAGATTTGTGAATAATTGACCGATGTAAAAAAAAAGGTTTTTATGTTTCAGTAATAACAAAACAATCCAAGAAAAAAATGAGACATATGTTGACAAAATTCTATTGTTAGAATGTTATTTTCACAATGCAAAATTTAGTGAAACTGGGGAACTTGAACATTATCTGTTGCTTGTTGTTATACCAGTTTATCACCCCATATTCTATGCTAAAAACTAGAAGAATACACACAACCTTTGGATTGTCTGATTAAAGAAGATTGATATTTACTTATAAATGTTGAAGTAGACGTTGTAGACCTCAATTCAAAACATCTGCAACGTGCAATTACATGATTCGATAAGACTAAAATATTTCCATACGTAGTATTATTACAGCTACTATATGGTATAAAGTATTAAATATCTAAGCAGAATTTGTTTGTAATTTTAACTTTTATAGACGTATTCTATACTATAAAGAGGGAGAGAATATTACATTTCCCATAGACCACGTGAACAAGATGTAGAAACAAATTTGGGTTGTATTATAAACGTCATGTATGAAACAATGCTTATGTAAGCACTACGCACACTTTCTTTTATGTCTTCTTCCTCATCTTTTGTATAAATCTCATAATATTTATTTTTTTACAATGTTAGCTTATAAATTGTGATTATAAAATAAAATTATAACGAAAAAAACTGCAACACTCTCCACATGCTCTGCCCAAATCCTTCCATACACAACAAATAACCAAATTCCACATCGTGACCGTGACTTTCTAATCGATCAGTCAACGCAACACGTGGCATCATCCCAACGGTCTTGTCTCTTTTATTACCGTCAATATAAACAAAACCTTACACGTTAAAAGTGTCTCATCAACCAAACCATGGCTTCTCACTCTCCTCTTCTTCTAACCCTAGCCCTTGCTTCCTTCATCTCTCTCATCTCACCAACGATCTCACTAACATGCTCCACACAAAACGTCCTCTTCTCCGACAAAACTCCTTTTCAGACATGCCTTGACCTTCCCGAACTCGAATCATACCTCCACTACACATACAACGCAACCAACTCATCTCTCACCGTCGCCTTCGTCGCCACACCGTCTCGCTCCGACGGATGGATCTCGTGGGCTATAAACCCCACGGCGACTACCATGAGCGGCTCTCAGGCGTTCCTAGCCTACGGATCCGGACCCGGAAAGCCACCCGTCGTGAAGACGTATAACATCAGTGGCACCAATCTCACGGAAGGGAGACTTGCCTTTGACTTTTGGAACCTACGCGCTGAGGCTTTAAACGGCGGTAGGATTGTGATTTTCACGACGGTTAAGGTTCCGGCGGGAGCGGGGAGTGTGAATCAGGTGTGGCAGATCGGTGGGAATGTGACTAATGGTCGTGTTGGAGTGCATCCTTTTAGTCCGCCGAATTTGAACTCTAGAGCTGTGTTGAATTTAACTGGTACGGCTAGTGGTGCTGATGGTGGTGGCTCAAAAGCTCCGGGGAATGCAGGGTGGATGACGACGAATGTAAAGTTAGGGGTGAATTTGGGAGTTTTGGTTTTGTTGGGGGCTATATTTATTTTCTGAAAATCCTTTTTTTTTGCTCGTAATAATGCAAGCCACCATATAGTGTGTGTACTGTTTGCCTTTTTTAGTTAGAGTCATTTACCTCTTCTTTTTACACCTAACGCATTGTTTCAAGTTATTATTAGACTGTATGGACCAGTAGACCACTACTACTACTATGATCATCTTACCTGTTAAGAACAACTGTGTTTGCACTTTGCAGGCCCGCTTTAGTAATGGAGTGTATATGTAGATTGACTAGATATATATTTCTGTAAGAGCTTCGCTTTTGTTTTGCCATATGATAATTTCAATGTTCTAAAAATCGGTTTAGGCGGCTAATCTCCCAAAACAATTTTTTATACGATTCAAGTCGGTTTAAATCAGTTTAAATCGGTTTAAATTACTCTAAACAGTTATAAATGGTTTAAATTAGTATAAATTTGTTAAATTAAGCAATAATTTAGTAGAATTAAAAATTTGTGTAATTTATTTTATTTTGTATATCAAATTTTGATAATTTATTAAAACAAAATTATTAATAAACAAAAAAATTCGCTTATATAAATGTAAAATATATAAAAAAATAAACTGAATTTTTGACTAGCCCGGAATATCCGTCTAGTTGCTACTCGCTAGTCCTATATAGAACGTTTAGTTACTGCCTTAGAACATTGGATAATCTTAACAACTAATGACTATTTATTTATGGGCGTAAAGACCAATAGCTATATCAGCTTACATGGCCTAATATTCATAAGACAATTCAACATTTTTAGCGTTGGTGGCCCATATGCCTTTTGATGTCTCAACTCTCAAGTCATCATCCCTTTGCTACTTAGATGAACATTACTCTCTCTTAACGTGCTTCGTCGTCTTCTTTAAATCCTCACAGTGCAGTGTGGTTTAACCTTCTAGTTGTATGTACATTTATTTCAATCAGAGTTGGACTTCACATTCATGATTTAACCAGTGAGGCTACATGCTCTAATCACTCAACAGAACCCATTGCATAATATAGCGTCAACAAAACATACATTGCAAAGGTAACCGCACCATGAAACATTTTAATTCCTCTTAACCGAAGAAATCATGGTTAACAGACGAACCTTGTATCGATTAATTAAAACTAAGGGAAAGTTCATGTGGTTGTGCAAAAATAATAAAACAACATACAGTATATATGTATAAAGAAACACAAATCCTCTTGGAGGTTTTCCACTTGAAATGCAAATCCTATGCAGCGCCACCATTGATATCAACATCCCCCATCCCTGTGTCCTCTTCTTCTTCACTTTCTTCATCTCCGCTAATTTCTTCATTGTCCAAATTATCATCTCTTTCACTCACCTGTCATAACATAGATAACAAAAAAAAAAAACTCGCTAACTTGGAATTTTTCAACAATAAAGAAGAAGAAGAAGATACACTCACAGCTCTAGGTGCCTCCTTAACGACGAGCTTGCCTCCGTGTTCCTTAATTGTCTCAGTGCAAGCTACTATGGCCTCATCTAGAATTTTAATCCCTTGATCCTGTTATTTATTAATGTTATAGAGACTGAGACGTTTAGGAAAAATGAGACAAAACCATAAGCGTTTACTACACACACTTGTTAAGGTAAGTAAAACACACTTGATGGCTTACACAAAATCTGCCTGTTCTGACTAAGCAGTTAGTTGATATAACCTCTCTTTAATAATAAGGAGAGGATAATTGTCTAATCAGAAGAGTTTCAATATTGAAAAATTAACTAACCTTGTCAAGAGTATGAGTAGTAAGGACATACAGAGGTGAAGCAACCAATTTAATCTTAACAGGACAGTCATCGTTTCCAGCAGCTTCAGCTTTTCTCATGGCCTCCTGAAATAGCAAACATGTGTGAGAAAAAAAAAAAGAGATTATAGATGATCCAATTAATACAGGTTTTACGACCTTGATGTGAACAACTCCGTCCAAATGAAAACATGTCAACTCGATATAAGCACGGATTTTCATTGGTTGTTGTGTCATTCTCCTCCTAATGTGTTTCACAAGTGCTTCTTTCACTTGTTGCGTAACAGCAGGTACAACTTTAGTCACCTACCCATATTATAAATGTCCAAAGATTAGCACCCAAAGCAAGTTTGACTAAAACAAAACCAAAAGAAACAAACTATACTACGTACCTCCTGCCCATCAGGACCAACTTCTTTGATCTCACGGGTGAGTGAACCCAACACTGAATCAGGATCAGTCACCAAGACCTTAAAGGCCTGAACAAAAAAAAAAGCAAACTTGAGTAACAAACAACAACTATATAAAAGCATCCTCATTGAGGGTTTTACCCCAAAGTTCACACAAATCCCAAGAAAAAAAATATTAAAATAATCTGATTCCCTTGAACCCGCGTCGCTTGAGTTCGCTGCAGTGATACCGGATCGTCACTGTTTCACCACATGGCGGACCATGATTCGTTAATTTATTATTATTATTATTATTTTTTTGGAAAAGTCAAATGAAAAAAAAGGTACAAAAGTGAATTGGGGAATCGTGACCCATCGAAGTCGCTGATGGGATGCTCTAACAATGGATGGAGAGCTCTATTAATTACCTCAAAAGCATGACCATACTTTCGGTACAAAGGCCAACCAATGTTCACATACAAGTCCTGCCAAAAGAAAAACGAATACTCAAAGATTACCAACGATAGCTTCAAATGCAAATATCGAATCACTATACTATATAACAGTTTCAAGAGCTACCTCCAATAACATTAGATATGTATCAATAATAAAGAATCAAATGAATCTTTTTGACCTACCTCCAAATCGAGAGAAAGAGTCTCAGCAACATGGCGCATGATAGAATGAACGAGCTTGCTCTTGTTATACCTCTCTTCACAAGTCTGAATATCCTCCTCGGTAACCTTACCTTTACGTTTGGTCAGATTAATGTAACCCCTCTCCTTGTCGACACTCAGGACAATGAGGGGCTCGATTTTCCCGACCTTGATCAAGCTGTTGATACTTCTTCGGATAAAACGGCGGGAGAGCTCGGTTTTCTGGATCATGCCTTCGGTGTTGTTGTACTCGAGGAGCGACACGTAGGCTACCTCGTCGGCAGTGGATTTGGCCTGGATCATTACTGCCATGTCTACTTCTGGGTACTTGGCTTCGTACATCCGGCACTCTAGATTTGGTGTCTTCGTCGTCATGCTTGAGAGATGTTGAAGCTGAGGAGAGACTTAGGGTTTTAATTTTAAGCGAGGGAGTCAGATATATGAAACAAATTCAACGGACTTCACCTTAAATATGCGAATCAAAAGCGCCGTTCGAGGATCAGGGAAAAAAGGATAGTATCAATTTGGTTGCAATTGGGCCAAATATCTTACGGCCCATAATTTAAAGGATTTTTGTTTAGATTATTGTGAGATCTCCAACAATTAATTTATTGATTATCTGCTGCTGTGTATCTATCTATCTATACAATTATTTACAAAGTGATTTTTCGCAACGGAACTTCCACGTTAAAAGTTGGAGCGGTTAATATAGTTTAAACCCTTAATGAAAATAATATATAAATCAGCCGAAAATAAAAAAAAACGAATTTATATTTATTTGATTAGATAAATTATTTAAATTAATAATAATGATAAGAATTATCCATAATCTAATTAGATCTAATACTATATAATAATTAGAAACAAATCTTATTTGTCATGTTTCTTATGATTTGATGATTATCATTATCTAGACTAATGATTATAATAAATCTAATTATTCATTATATAGTAATAATTCTAATTAGTTATTAAGTTTATGTTTGCTTCACCATTAAGGATAATAAATCTAATTTTCATGTTCTTATGATTTTTATTAGCCTTAATGACAAAGCAAACATAAACTTAATGACTAATTGGATTTATTACTATATAATGACTAATAGTTATTACTATTTGACCAAAAAAAGATTTATTACTATATAATAATTAAAATTTTGAATACATAATTAAATATAAGTAAAAACCGAATTTCAATGATTTTAGATTTATCTTTATCTAAAACTATATATTTTATATTGGACATCGTCTTCTTCTTCTTTGTTTAGATAACTTTGTCTGAATTTAAAACTAAAGTTCACTCATCATGTCTGGTCTGTAATATTTGGAATTAGCATGTATTTACTCTAAATAAAGTTCACTCATCATGTTTGGTCTGTTATATTTTGGAAATATCATGTATTTTTTTTTGTCAAAAAAAAAGAAATATCATGTATTTACTCTAAATAAAATTAATATTTAATAGTGTTTCTTTTTTCATTTTGGAGAAATCATTTTTCTAATTATATAGCAAGTGCAGACCTCTTAATTTGTAAATTATATTTCATTTTTGGGATTTGATTTCTTGTACCCTTTTGAAAATATATGTGTCTACATCTAGAGAGTTGTTTAATCATATACTATACAAAATAGTATGGGATTATTTTACGTTTCGCCAGAATGGTGTGGGAATATTTTGCAGTCTTTATGTGAAAATACAAAACGAACGGCAAGATGGACAATTTCGAACGGGAAGATGGATACAAAACGAGGTTTCGGGAAATGGTACTCGAATTTCCTACATGCTGAACTGAAAGATAACTTTGTTTTCATCTTGGTTGTAGATGATGTTTTCTACGGCTAAGGTGGGTGGGGCACGTGCCCCATACTATGTTAGAAAATTTTTAATCGGTTCATGTTTTGTTAATTTAAGAGTTCCTATAAACTACGCTTCATGCAATGTTTTACAAAGGAATGAACCGGGTGATGTGTTTTTATGGTATATGGTAATGGGTTCTATATGATGCTCTCAGTATTTTCCTTTTTCATTTTTTTTTTTCTAGCTTTCACTTTTATTTATTTTTCAAAAATTGATCTCATTTCCCTTTTTAGTCTTTTTGTAACGTAGTTATTGTGTGTTTAATTTTTCTTTATGACTGATTGTAAGTGATATGTTATAAATCTATAATTTTATTAAAAACTAGTTTTATTGAACATTTTTTTAGTTTTTAAAGAACATAACTTACCCGTAAATTATAAAGACCACAAAATAATTAGAAATTAGATGAGACAAATAATGAGCTATAAGCTAAATAATAATTCGTGAATGACAACCATACTTATCAGTAGACTAATAAATATTCTGTAAAAATAAAGAATACCTAATAATCATGGCCGTTTAATAGCATGTGTAAGTGGAGCGGTTGAACAGGGTCCCAAATATAAAAATAAGAAAAAAATAAGGAGAAATTAAAAACTTTTAAGAAATATATAGATAAATTATGATATTTAAAAAAAAATAGATATATTGCTAGATTAGAACTTATAATTTTTAAAGAAACACCAAACATAGTTATTAATGTTAAAAAAAATCATTAAATCATAAATATATCGTTAATTTTTTTGAACATGGTCTAAAATTTATTTGAGACGGCCCTGCTAATAATTATGGTTTGAAATTCAATTTTTGTTCCATAATCAAATTTTAAAATATATTTCATAACTATCTTTTTTTCTTTGTCAACCATAACTATCTTGTGTCAATTATATTATAACTACCCATTTAAATATTTCCATATGTTAGAAATGTTATTTGTGCCACACACCAAATTTTTTTCTGGGTCCGCCCCTGGCGCTAGCAACCCCAACAAAGTTGCTTAATGGGAAGAAAATTTAACCTGAATGAATGTCATCACAGCACCATACTACTCTATTTATTAACTTACTGCAACGCATGCTTGATTCTTCTGATGATGTGATGTATGATCTAGGCAATCAACTTCCTTTGTATCGCCAAAGTTACAACTCACAAAGGCTGGTGGTGCTACTCTAAGAAGCTTCTATGAGGTGGTGAATCTTCATTTCATTCACATACACTGTGTGTGCAAACTCAAAATGTTGTTACTTCCCTCAGATAAGGGAACCAACGTTTGGCTTAACAACAAACTGTGAACCAAACATATGGCTTAACAACACAGTGACCATACACTCTACACCAGCCTCGACAGTGAACTCTAACTCTTGCAATGCCTTGTTTCATGGTAATGTTTGTCAGGCATCGTATGGAATTGACCATTTCAAGACAATATGCCTGGAGCCAGCTCACTTCCCTCAGCTTCTGCTAAGCTAGGCAACAACAATGAGAAGGAGACACTGAGAGTTGCAGACTCTGCGCTCGAGACCTCCATGAAGTGGATGGCTTCATATCCGAAAATCTAAAGCTGAAGACAATTGAGCCTGTTGCTAAAAAGGCCCGTACGGAATAGATGAATATAGAAGCAATATTTTATTATGTTGCTGTCTTCTTTCTAATCTAATAATTCTTTGTGCCATTTTCAAACTATTACGTGTGATTATAAGAATATTTTGAAATATTGCCATACAAATGAAAATGGAAGCCTTATTGCGTGTGAGGCCATTTGCTCTAATCACTCAACAGACTGTTGGTGGAATCATACTATTTGCATTGTATGTACAATTAGTTCCATCATATTCTCTAATTACTCAACAGAAGGCAATGCATAGTAATATCGTCAACACATAACATATTGCAAAGTCATTTATAAGTCCAACTTAATTAATATAACCTTCTTAATAATGTTTTTTTTTTTCTCAGATAGAAACAAAGAATATCATCAAGAGAAGAAGATGATTTATAATCATCGGGAGCAACAAGAAGAGCTCTGGGCGCCATCACTGTTGTCAACAAGACTGACACGGTTAACAGAAAGCTGAGCCTTGTACGCATCAGAGTTGAGAAGTTTGCGGCTAACATTACTGAAAATCTCTCTGATAACAATCTCAAAGGCTTTGTCCACGTTGGTAGCGTCAAGAGCAGATGTCTCCATGAAGAACAATCCTTCTTCCTCCGCGAGAGCTTTCCCTTCTTCCACACTCACAGCTCTTATATCCTCCAAATCACACTTGTTCCCAACTAGCATTTGTGCCACTGCTGTGTCACAATGAGCTTACAATAACAAAAAAAAACAAAAGTCTTAGGATTCACAAACTTGGTCCAAATACACACATACAGAACCACAAAACCAAACATCATTTTCAGGTTAAAAAAAAATCGGTAAATCGAAGCTAAACAAATTTTCTTGACAAAAAAAACCCGTAAATAACGGTTTAAGTGTCACACTAATCAATAATTTCCTATAAACCAATTAATTACCACTATATATCTAAAACATAATCATTATGTTCTGTTCTAGTGATAGAGAGAAAAGGAAAGGAAGTGACTTTACTGTTGAGTTCTTGAAGCCAACGTTTAACACTCTCGAAAGTGGAGCTTCTGGTGATGTCGTAGACAATAAGAGCACCAAAAGCACCTCTGTAATAAGCAGAAGTAACTGCTCGAAACCTCTCTTGACCAGCAGTGTCCCAGATCTGAGCTTTCACTTCTTTCCCTTCGATCTCCACCAGCTGTGTCTGAAACTCAACTCCGATTGTCGCCTTGGAGTTCGTGTCGAACTCGTCTCGTGAGAATCGAGAGAGAAGGTTCGATTTTCCGACAGCGGAGTCGCCGATTAGGACAATCTTGAAGAGGTACTCTTCTCCTTGATTGTCTTCCTTACCCATCTTTCGTCTTCTTTGTTTGGAAATGGATTGTGGATTGTGGAGAGGATTTACAGAGCTTGGGAAAGCTTTGATAAGTGGTAAAGTGGTGACGGACAAGCTGCGTGATTGGCGGGGCTTCAAGTCAATAAAACCCTTTTGGGTATCATTAATTACGTTTTAAGATGTTAACTAATTGTATTTAATGGTCAAAAGTGTATTTTTAAGGTAACTCTTTTACACCTTTTAGGACAAATCACTAGTTCCAAATGTTTTTTTTTTGGTCTTAACATTAAGTGAGGATTATTAGTTTTTGTATTGATTTGTAAATCTTGAGTAAATCTAAATGTTTTTTTTTTACAAGTCAATAAAAACTATATAAACAAATAATAACACATCTTCAAGACTCTATAGAGTCTTAACCATTGGCATTGGTAATATTAATGTGTAAGTATGTTATTAATTACTTCTTACACGTGATAGTTATGGATGATGATTATAGGATTAATTCGATTCATAACTGCTTGCTTTAATTCGATTTTAAGAAATTACTCAGACGATGAATTATGTAAAGGCATTTGACATTGAATTGGGCTCACGAGAATTAAGCCCAAAAACCAATATGGACAGGAAGGAATTGGTTGTGATAACTTGTACTTCAAGTCTTCACCTATCACATACAAACTAAAATCCATTGTATATAAAACTTATAAATTGGATCTAAAATGTAATGTTGTATCTTCATGGTTAAGGCCAAATTGCATTAGTGGTTCTTCTTGGATCCTACGAGATGAAAATGGATGTACACTCATGCATAGTCGGCGTGCTTATTCTTATATGCGTACAAAAGCAGAGGCCGATCTATGGTCTCTTTTCTGGGCTGTGGAATGCATCCACAATTTGCATATCTCGAATATTATTTTTGAGACTTCCTCCGAGGACCTCCATGACGTTTTCAGTAATCCGGATAACCATCTCAGTCTCAGCCTTGTCCGCCACAATGTTTGCTTTCTGCTATCCAAGATTGCTCTCTGGAGTCTAGATCACGCACTCCAAGAACGGAATGAAACTGCTGACGCTATTGCTATAAGTGTCACTCGCGATCACCGCCACCAGTCTTACATCGCCAGCAATGCTCCCGTATGACTACACCATCTGCTCGCTCTGGAAGCCCATCATTTAACGGTTGGGTGAAGTTCTTTCTCCTTTTTATTTTGATGTCTACTGACATCTTCTTTTTCTCTTATGATTCTCTATCATTTTGTATTGTCTCGAATATTTTTACGTCTCAGTGTTATAAAAAAAAATAAAACTTATAAATTTTAAACAACAATATATATATTTATATCTTATTATATAATTTTTTGTTCTCGAATTACTAATTAACATGATTACAACATATGTCAATAATTATTTTCAAGATTATGACATGTGTTAAAAACAAAATATTATTTCATATAAAATAGATTTGTAAATGAAAATTTATAATTACAGCAATATTTTTTAAGTTTTTTAAAAAAAAATTAGAAAATAAAAATTACTATTTCTTTTACAATTATATATTGTTTACCATTTTTATAAAAAAAAAAAAAATTATTATCAAGTAAAGTTATATTTGTATATAATTCAGACAGTCGACACAAAAAGTATAATTCAGACAAAAAGTTGTAACTGTTAGGCCCAATATAGGTACCCCATATATACAAACAGACGACTAAAACCCTGTCTTGAGGCGGAGATGGCCACCGTGACTACAAACCTTAGTGTCCTCTCTCCGGTATTCCTTCCTCCTTCCTCAACTAGAAACCCTAGACGTATCCATGGCATCAACAAGACGCCACCACCTCGTCTCTCCCTTCCTGCTAAACCCTTCTCTTCTCCACTCATCCTAATCGCTGCAGCATCATCCCTTTCGCCGCTAACTCCTCTCCTTCGGACGACTCGGCCATCCACACTCACCTGGTCGACTCGCTCATCTAGACTACCCGAGTCGACTCGGTCATCTACACTCACAAGGCTGACTCGGTCACGTTCCGTCATCGCGTTGACTCGGTCACCTTCCGTCGCCGAGTTGACTCGGTCATCTTCCGTCGCCGAGTTGACTCGGTCTCTCGCCACTCTGGCGGCGTTAGCGATGGCTTTAGCCAGAGCCTTCGCCCATAAACTCTCTCTCGCAGCTTACACATCGGCAGTACGACACTCTCTCCAAACGGGCGGGACAGTGTTCTTGGCGTCGCTCCGGGAACCGCCGCCGGGGTATTTGATCACGCCGCAGACGGTGGTGGCGATTGTGTTGAAGAAGTGGCTGGATATATACAGTGATGTATTGGTGCTTAGGCTGTTGCTGAGCTGGTTCCCTAATCTCCCTTGGGAGAGACAGCCTTTGTCAGCCGTTAGGGAACTGTGTGATCCTTACTTGAATCTCTTCAGAGACATTGTTCCTCCTGTCTTCGAGAATGATCTCAATCCGCATCTTGCTTTAGTTGTTCTCGGTATACTCAGATCAATTCTGGACGTAAACATGGGAATATAGGAGAATTATTTGATCAGAAGAAGCACACCGTCAGGTTTCTTGCTGGTGAAGTTTTAGAAAAGTTTTGTTTTGAAACATTGCATTTATTTATTTGTTTTTTTTTTAATTAGATTTATTAGTGATGGATCAGTTTACTTCTGTGGAAGAAGATGATTGGATCTTTAGTGCTCTCTTTCCTGACGCTACTTGTTTCCGTGGAGCTCTTCAGAGTTGAGTTAGATAGATTCTTGTCTGAATGATGAATGAGACAAGATTACTAAGGTTTATTTAACAGAGGAGTTGTGTTGGTTGTTAGCACAACACTGTTGGGTCAAAACTATCTCATTCACGTCTACCGGTCGGCAAGACCCGCCCTAAACTAAACCGGATGAAACATTCATCTTTAACTCTTAGTTTTTTCTTTGAAGAAACTTATATATAGATATGCCCTGAAAAAAAAATTAGATTCGAAATCCGTAAAGAAAATTTTAGTTGAAAAAATTAATAAAAAAATATTTTACGGCTCCTAAATCTTAGGATCGGCCCTGTCGGTTGGGACATTTACTTGTCCCCAATTCTCCTTGGTCCTTGCAAGAAGTAAACTTAGCATGTTTTGAATGCTACATGCAGGCTGCAGAATGTGGTGTTCCTTATTTGGGCTAAAATTTAAATGATTATCAAAGTAAATCTTCATTTAGTTCCAAACACGTGGCTTCTACGAATAAGAATACAATATTGCTTAACCAAGAAAAAAAAAGAATACAATATTGCATGATATATAAAGTGTCTGAAAAGTTACAAAAAGTGTCTGAAAAGTTTCTTTATAATCTAATTAAAAACCGTGATTTTCTAGTAAACCTATCACAAAAGTTTGATAACAAAAGATTAGAAAATTAAGTCAACGTCAAGGATAAATGGTCGCTTGGCAAGAATGCATATACAAGGTTGACCAAGCGTCTTTATTGGAGACAATGTGCTAAACGGCACTACATAATGGTCTACACGAGTTGAAAAGACAAAAATGTTTTACCAAGATGGGTTGTGCCCGTAGCTTCTTTGACAAGGCCTGACTCGGCCTCCAAATTTTGGATCTTATTCACCATCTTACACTAATGATCTCTCTGAATTACCTACGTTGTCAGCATAGTTTAGAAGATTTGTTGCTTTGTAATGTCACCATAAATTGGGTATTGGTGAAGGGGAAATGATTTCATATTTTATAGTATCACATTTGAGCTTTTTCGGCTGAATTCATGATTTTATAGTATGTGCTTTACATCCCCTTTTCCCCATACCAAAGTACAAAACAGAGCAAATGACAAAAAAAACATTCATCACCTCATTAAATACTGATCCATTCTTTTATCATCTTTCAAGAAACAAGTAGGTGATGTTCTTTTTACCTAACTTTTCTCGGTTCACCCCCTCACAATATGAGAATCCAATCCAAGACTGAGGAGGGATACTATGAACCTTGATTTTTTTTCTTATCATTTGAGAACAAAAAGGTTAAAAAATCTTTAAGAATTGATGAGAGCATCTGTCTATCTTTCTTTTATATTATAACAACATTTTTTTAAACTCCAGCTAAACAACATCTCTCCCGAGAGTTTGAACTACTTGATACAATGGCAATACAGAAGACTGAACCTGCAAAAGAACATTGAATACAATCTGATTAGTAAATATGATCACTCCAAAAACTTTCAGAAACCATCTTTCCTAGTTTCAATGTTTTTTTTGATGTCATGTTTCTAACAGTTCCTCTGCCGATCATATTAATAATGCGGAAAAAGAGCTGAAAAGAGTCTTTGTGGCAAGCCTGAAACTTGTGAGTCTTCAACAACAACGCACATTTCGACACCAAAAACTATGCACACATACATTCCAGTTTTCTTTATTTTTGTAGATATTATTTTGAGAAAATTTCAACAAGTTCTAAATGTTCAAATATTTCTCCTATTTTCAACCTATATTTGCCTATTAATAAGACTAATCAATAAACTTTTAAAAGTACTCAGTTCTACAAATACCTTGTTTTCACCACGAACCGCAACACAATCTCTAGGCGTCTCAAACAAAGACAATGAATATTGCTTGCGGACGACGCCAACGTCGAAAACTATAAGACCAGAGCTAGGAACCTCGACACGTATCCCTTTAACCGGAAACCAAAGGAACAGATCTTGCGCCAAGATTCCAGACAAGTCTTTAATCTCACCGTAACCTAACGTCCCCGTAATATTCACGTCGTAATGCAGCTCCGTCTCGTATTTAGCATCGCACGACTTGTTCATATGAACCAAGAACCGTCCCGTTTCGCCGTTGAAGCTAAAATCTTTAACGCCTTTTGGGAATATCCCTAACGGTAACCCGTTCTCCTGGAGGATCTCATAGATGGTCTCATGCTCATCGTCTGAGAATACTACGGCAGGGATGGTGAAAACGAAACAAAGAAGAAGAACGACACGAATCATCATTGCCCCTCTAGTCCCCTACGCGTTTTCTTCTTATTATCAGGAGATTTATTTCCTAAACCAAGAATGTTTTTATTTCTTTATTGGCAAGGAGAAGATGAAGACGAGAACATGTTTTGTTGACAGCTTGAAACAGAGTGGATTTACTTATTTTTGGTCAAATTATTGATGGCGGAATGCTTCTATTTAACAATATAGCAACCAATGAATGAGAGCCACGTGGGTTTTGTCCCACCAATGAAATGTCGTTAAATGTAGGTGTTTTGAGTTTTCGTCAAGTTTATGTTCTTAATAGCCCCCATATAAGGCATGATTGGATATAGGGGTGGACCGTACCACATGGCATCATATATAGAGAGACATGGATGAGTATATATTATTGCATGACAAGTTGACTCAAAACCGACAAAAGTGTACGACCACATGGGTATCCCACATTGACTAGATCTGACTCGACCAAAACTTGAATGAAATATCTTTGTAAGAACCTGAGGATTCTTTTTGTTACAACCATCTCATTAACGTAGTTTTGAAAGTGTCTTGAAAAATCGAGGCACATAACTCATTTAATACTAGAAAAGCAACGTGAATGTTAGCAAACGTTTTAATTAGGCCTATTGTCTGCAGTGGCACATGACATATTCTATTCAATAAGTTTAACTTTATAAAGTTCAAGTAAATGGATCATATTCTACATAAATGGATCATATTCTACATACTTTTCACTGATACTTTCTCAATATTTTCATAATCTACATTATGATGTATTTTAACATATGTATATGTTCATCCAAGTCATGGGTCTTTATCACCATCTTACACTAAATATCCCACTATCCAGGAGTTTATGGTCTAGTGACACTCTCAGCTGTGTGACTGTGTTCTAAGCCATGGAAAGAGTGTGTAAAAGTGGTCTTTTGTTAACCTCTTAAATCTAAACATCTGAATGCCTCACCAGCTTAGACTATGTATCCCTATTTTAACCACCACATTTAACTAATAACCCCTCTTAATCACCTACGTCCTCAGCAAAATAACTAAGAAGGCGCTGGGAAAATGAGAAATGATAAAATATCCCCTAATTTGGCTGATTGTGCTTTACTGTTTCATTGAGACGCCGAATAAATTTGGGCAGTGACTTCTTCTGAAGCCAAGTTGGAGACAGACTTCGACTCATAGCCAGGAGAGGTTAAAGACAAAGTCTTATTATGTCACAATTGATTGGATTGCAAAACTCATTTTACCAAGAATAAAGCAACCAGATATTTTGTGAATGGGAAATGATTGTCAATTTCCGGTGAAACTTATTTATATATATATAGGATAAACTCTGTTTAGACAGAGACACAAATATTGACCATTTCTTCAACACATCACATCACTTACATCAATTTATCAACCGAATATTGACCATTCCTTCAACATATTGTTTTTTTTCTTTTTTTTACTAAGAGCATCTCCAATGTAAAACTCTATTTTTTCTCCAAAATAGAATAAAAGAGAATATGAAGTAAAAATGCTCCAATCTCCACTCCATTTTCCACTCCATAATGAAGTGATGATCAAACAAAAAACAGATTACTCCATTTATGGAGTAAACTCTATTATGAAGTAGAATATGAAATAGCATTGAAGTCTTTTCTACTCTATATTCCCTTTTACTCCATTTTATAATAAAAATGGAGTTGAGTTGGAGATGCCCTAAGGGAATTCACCCTTCAACGTATTGTCCAAACAAACCAAATGTATAAACGAGGAGCTGATCAATTGGTTAAAACTTTTATTAGTTTAGGTTTGGATGGCCTAAAGAGTAGAGGCAAGGGTTAAGTGGATAAAGAGAGATGCGGCAATCAGAAAGTAATAGTGTACTTATTAGTTTAGGTTTGTGTCTTAAAAGCCTCATCACACATGCGACAATTAGATGCTTTTATGTAACGACTCTATGGTGTTCTTTGTTCCATTCTAAAAGTTTATAAAAGTGACTAGTTCAGTGGCCGAGCCATAATTTTTTTGTACTGAGATCGGAGAAAAATCAAAACATAATTTATAAGTATATCACAGAAAACTACCAATGTACTCTAGGCATACAACTTTTTTAAAATGAATCTAAGAATATATTCAAACCAAAAAAAAAAAATTGTACTTGCATTTTGTTTAATGTTTTGTATCTTCAGAGTTTTTTTTTTAAAAAAAAACAGAACAACAATGAAAAATAGAACTAATTTCTATCTCTAAAATCTACCCAAACATAACCACACGAGCATAGCATTTTCACTATACGCACATTTATAACAGTTTCATCGGCTAAAAATATATAGAAAGCCAACTTAAGTTTTAACTAGAAAATAATTGTAGAGCATGAGTTGAGAACTATAACGAATCATATCGTGAGGAAGAGGAACATGATTTTTTTTCTTTTTATAAGTTCACTTATTTTTTAATGTTTTTATATTATAAATCAGTTAGGCCTAATACAATTTTTGCTTAAACTAACATATTATTAAAGTTTAAACCAACAAAATGTTAGCGGTTTTATATTTTTGGTAATTATAGGAAAATGAGGTTTAAAACTAATAGAAATCCAAAGTTTTATTTATGATAAAAAGTATAATTATTTTAGTTTTATAATTAAATTTTATTTTAATGTTTAGAAATTATTTTTATGGGGTCAAATGTATTTTTTTAGTGGGGTCAAGATAAATTTTATTTAAAGCAAAAATAATTTTTTTGAAAATAGTAGGCTCAGTTGACCCCCTTCCTCTTAAGCTGCCTCTGCCCTGGATTAGTTTAAATGTGTATACATAACGAATGATCTTTTGTAGAAATGTCAGAATATACATCACTGATCAGAGACTATTCACTTTTATTATTATCTTATTTAAGAAATCTGTGATGTCGTAGGGAGATTCATTATGTAAAAATAAATATTCTTATAATTTACATTTTTAGAAAAATACTATTTTTCAAAAAAATTCTTGTAACAATGTAGATTACATGTGTCTATATATTCATAGATGCTACTAAAATTGTATATTAAGTTTAAAATTTCAGAATATAATTCAATTTAATATGCCAATACTAATATATATATATATATATATATATATATAACAATGAACTAAACCCTATAAAATCTATATTTCCTAAGGAAACTTGGACAACTAAGGTATCACAATTCTTTGATATTCATCTTATATCAATGCTGGATGTAGAAATATATAAATATAAAAATTCCATATTTTCTAATTTATCTTGAAATATATGGGTTAACCTCTACAAAAATATTGAGTTTTCCGATAAATGCTATATACAAAAATTTAAGCTCTTTTTTTGTTGATTAAAAAAATACATAATCAACTTATAAATTTATATATTAATATATGTTAAACTTATTTTCATGGTACATATGCAATGTTTCTAATATTTTAATGAGTAATTTAATAAATTTTAATATTTATTCTAATTTAGTGGACTAACCTCTATAAAGTTTGTAATTTCTGTATAAACAATGAAAAATAAGAACACAGATCTCTTTAACTTCATCAAATGTCAGTGCATGATGAAGTTATGCATTAATAAAAAATCATATTTTCTAATTTATCTTTAGAAATACTCGAGTTTTTTCCAGTAAATGTTATATATACTAAAGTTTAGCACCATTAATGTTTTTTTTAAATACCTAAGCACACTCTAATGTATATTAATGTATGCTAAAAATATATTTTCATGGTACGTTACCATCATTTCTAATTATCCAACGAGTAATGTTTTTTAAACTTCATATACGACCTAATTAGTGTACTAACTCCTATAAAATCTCTATTTTTTAAAAAAATATGAACACTTAAGGTCTCAAACTTCTTTAGTCTTCATAATATGTCAGTGCATGATGTAGCTATGCATTAAAACCAAAATTCCATATTTTCTATTTTTTTTTTAAATATGTGGGTTAACCCTGATGAAAAGATTGAATTTTCCGATAAATACTATCTATACTATTTAGCGTCTTTAGTGTTGTTTAAAAATACCTAACCACATTCCAAATTTATGTATATGTATGCTAAAATAATTTTCATGGTACATGGACATCATTTCTAATTTTCCAATGAGTAATTTATTTAAACTTCATATACCACCTAATAAGTGGATTAACCCTATAAGAGCTCTATATTCTGAGAAACGGGAACACCTAAGATCTTAGGTGTATATAATTAAATTAGCGTGTTCACATAAATAAAAAAGTCACACTTGCTTATTTACAATCACTTTATATAAGTAAATCTATAAAATAAATGATATTACCATAGATATATATAGTATATTTTTTATTTGTATATCTATTAAATGAAGCTTCATACTTATATGGTTTTATAATCATTTGTATATTCTATAACAAAAATTTTAAACTATTGATAACAATTTTTTAAAACCATCTATAACATAATCTTTAATATGAGACGTTTAATATCTATAGTAATTCATAATCATTTTAAAATATCAATTCAAAGTTTGAAACTAAAATATAAAGTTCTAAATACGTTTTCAATGCAAATTTAAAATTAAAAACTTGATATATTTTTTGATGGTTTATAGTTTAATTAAAATTTCATTAGAAAATTGTATATATATATATATAGATATTCTGAATATCTATTAAATGCTACTTCCTACTCATTGATTGTATAATTTTTTGTATCTTGTTATAACAAAAAAAAATTATTAATCATAAAAAATATATGTTGAATTTTAAAGGTTTTATTAATTTATAGTCATTTAAAAAAAATTCAAAATGTAACATATATGAAAAAAAATTGTTGTATTATATAGTTGTTGTGATTGTTTAATTTATTTTAATAATATAAATTTAACAAAAAAATAGAGTGTACATAAATTTTATCAAATCTTTCTTATTTAAATCATTAATTAATTATCATATATATATATATATGGAGATTGATCCAAAAAAATTGACAAATACATATATATATATATATATATATATATATATATATGAAGCATATTAGATAATTTCATAGTTTTTATTTAAAGAAAGAATGAAGAGCATTAATAATAGTTTATAGTTATTTAATAAAAAAATGTTATATGTTTATATGGACCAACATTTTTTTTTAGAAACTTTGAGAAGTATTCTAGTGATGACATGTGTCATAGTTAGAATGTTGTAATGCTTTTCTTTTAATATATAGAGGATTACGAGAAGAGAGCATACATAAAATTACATCTTATATGGATCATATAAAAACTTAAAAATATTGAACAAACATTTTCAAACAGATAAGTACAAGAATAAAATTCTGTTTCTATAACTATCCTAACCATAAATCTGTGAGCATTTAAAGATCTATTTAACCTAAAATAACTTCCCTAACGTAAAACTGTTTGAAGATGATGAGATTGAGATTATCATCATCAGTACATTCCGTGTATAATCTATAAATAGACTTCCTATTCTTAGACCAGCTCAACAGAAAGTGTAGACCAGGATTACAGTTGTAATGAATTTACTAAAACTGGCAACCACTCCTTTTCTTTAAGAACCAGTCCTCCTTCCCTTCTCTTGTCCTATTCTCTATGAACTCATCTTGTAACTTTTGTTCTCATTCATTATCTCTTCAAAGCTTCAAACTAATAATCCAATATTAAGATGGATCAAGCAGAGCTTTGCCGGATATTCCAAATGTTCGACAAGAACGGTGATGGCAAAATCACCAAGCAAGAGCTGAATGATTCACTGAAGAATCTTGGAATTTACATCCCAGAGCAAGAACTGGTGCAGATGATTGAGAAGATTGATCTCAACGGTGATGGGTACGTGGACAGCGAGGAGTTTGGAGGGTTGTTCGAGACGATCATGGAGGAGAGGGACGAGGAAGAAGACATGAGAGAGGCTTTCAATGTGTTTGATCAGAACAGGGACGGGTTCATCACGGTGGAAGAGCTGCGATCTGTGTTAGCTTCCTTGGGACTCAAGCAAGGAAGAACACTAGAGGAATGCAAGAGGATGATTGGCAAAGTTGATGTTGATGGTGATGGGATGGTGGATTTCAAGGAGTTTAAGAAAATGATGAAAGCAGGTGGATTTGCCGCCTTGTGATCAAAACTTGTAAAAGAAGAAGCCCATTTTAGGGTTAGGGTTTGTGACCCGAAATCATTGTTTTATTCTTCGGAATGATTAGGGTAAAAACCTCGTGAGAGAATTAACAAATGGATTTACAAAGATAACAAAACTTTGTGAGCTTCGTTTGAATTCTTCTTCACAAATATTGTTGATGACTTGCTTTGTGGATCTTTGAAACATAAGGATCTGATTCTTTAATTATTAGTAATATTTGGTTGTGATGCGCATCGCTTGTTAAATACTATACCAGTTTTACGCTTATACGAGTAAGATTATGCCATGCAACAGAATTTGAACTTTGTATTGACAATTTTTGTAAAGTGCCATTGGTTACTTAGCATCAAAGCCCGTCTAGCTCAGTTGGTAGAGCGCAAGGCTCTTAACCTTGTGGTCGTGGGTTCGAGCCCCACGGTGGGCGCAATTGTTTTTCTTTTTTCACTGATTTTTGAAATTTATATAGACAAATATTTGACAGCTATTCTCTGATGTGGATCAGAAAACAAGTGTATGATCCGTATAACATATCCTAGCAGTTGCCTGATAGAGACCTCAGAGATGGGTACTGCTATTATTAAGACGATGCAAAATGTAATGTAGCCTCTCAGATCATCCAGACAATTAATGGAACTTAGAGCAAAGTGTAATGTAGCTTTAAGTCACCATATCTTTCAGAGCACAAAATTTGAAGCCTCGTTCATTCAAAAACTTTCACAAATCAAACCATAGTAGTAAGTGACTTACTATTCTATGGAACCTAAAGTTCAAGCGCTTTATGATTGAAGAACTTAACAAATAGATCTTCCTTGGTTTTCCTAATTACGTTAAGTATATTAATTGGGATTACACACTTGACTCGCTTAATGAGAGTAATAGTTGCTTTCTCCTCTGGTGTAGCTCTGATACTGAAAGACTATTATCATGAGTGAGGTTTTAAAGGTGAACACATTCTTCTTTGTAACACATACTGAATAGGTAAAACTATGTGTATGCATCAGTTACAAATTTATTTTGGGTTTGTTAAAAAAATTACAGCAAAATGCACTGAAACAAGTGTACTTTATACTTATCCTGTTGTTTTCTGCTTCTTGCCAACATAGAACCAGCCAAAGCATGCACCTACAGGAAACAGAGCAGCTGCAGAAACGTTGGCTGCAACAATAGCCATGGAATAGAAAGAATCATGGCAAGGATCCAGAGGGAAACCACAGAGATACGGATTGTCCTCAAAGCTCCAGAGGAAGTTGCTTCCATTGGTGAGTTCTGGGATTGGACCATCTAGATCATTGTGGGCCACTGAGAAGTTTTGGAGTCTTGGACTTGAGACTAACCCGGACGGTATGGGACCAGTAAACCGGTTGTGATTAAGCAAAAGCGTTTTTAAGTAGGGATTTTACCAGAAAATATATTGTGAGAGAGGTCTAGAGTAACAAGATATGGAATAAATGAGAAAACATCTGATGGAATAGTGTCAGAGAGGTTGTTTCCAGTGAGATTTAGACTCTCCATGGAAGAACATACCTTAACACCACTAGGAAACTCTCCCTCAAGACCATACCCACCAAGATCGATGCTTAGCACCCTATTCTGTTCACTACCCCAGCATTTCACGCCAGAGAAGTTGCAGATATAACCTTCACTGTAGTTTCCAAATACCCAATTAGACAAACGTTCATCGGGGTCCATAAGTTGAGATTTTAAGCTTTTCAGGCAGTTTATGTCGGATTCAAATGCATGGTTCAAGCTAGAGAATAGTAACAGCCAGAGACAGATCCGGAAGAAAATGGCACAAACTAGTTTACCAACCATCATAAAATCCACCAAGCAGAATCAGTTACTAACGTTTTGCTCCGTTTATGCCTGAAAAGTAAACCAATCCAAAGAAAAAAACGTTACATGTAAGAAGATGACGAGTAAAAATCAAGCGACCAAACCATTATGGCCTGACTTCGAACTAATGATGATGAGTAAGAAAAGAAACTTGGAGAAATACCAAAAAGACTTGAAACTCAGTAGACTCACTGAGTGAGTTTGTTAGCTTTTTTTTTTTTTTTGTTGAGCACCTCGTTGATATCAAGAAGAAGACGAAGCATAGCACATGGCTTGTTGGTATTAACAAAATGGTTAAAAAAAATGTAAAATAAATAACAGAGAATAAGAGTTTGACCCACCAGAAAGAGACTGAATCTAAGATTAAAAAAAATGGTAATAATGAAAAAAACTCATTAAAACCTTTTGTTTAATAAGAAGACAACAATGGAAATTTGTTTAGTATAAAATTCAAGCTAAGATTATCTGCACGACTTGTGTCTCTATCCGTAACAAACTAATTCTCATGGGTGTATTCAGAGCAGTGTTGAAGCATTTGGGTTAGTGAAAGAAGCAACAACTTAGTTACTCCATACATTGTCCCAACCGTCGCCACCACTTGGTCCAGCAGCTTTAGTCCCCTCCACGCAGTTCTGGTTTCCATTTGGTCCTAGTGGTTGCTGCTGCTGCTGCTGCATTTTTCTAGGCTTTGCTTTCACTCCTAGCAAACGCAATACAAATCTTGCTAACTCTCCATATAACATACCACCACGATCACATAGCTGAAAGGAAAAAAAAACGGTTAACGCTAGTAACCATTCGAGGAAAGTTGATACAAAGAGAAAACAGGAAGGAACCTGAAGAAGAGCAGACAATAACATATGAAAGGCTTGTGTGTTTTGGTCTATCAGCATCGCTACACGCCCAAAGAAATTCACAGCACTTTGCAGCTAAACATCAAGCAAAACACAAACACTTATCAACCTTATAAACCTATCAACCTCTTTGGTTTCTTAAACAAAACAAAAATAGAAGGGATGAATGATAGTACCACACGGAGAAAAGATATCCAGAAGCCTGGTGGAGAAGGAGGTTGATTATAAGGATCGTTTGGATCTTGACCACCATAAGGACTCATTCCCATACCATAACCACCACCATACATACCTGAACTTCCATAGAGACTACCACCACCATAAACTCCTCTATTATACATTCCACCACCATATAAAGAACCATTCCTAGAGTTTATACTTAGGTTTGGACCATTACCTGCATTACACGCAACGAAAGAAGTAAGCTTATCTACTCTCACTAACAAAAAAAAAAACATCTACACATAATAACATACCACCATAGTTCTGCTGTAACCAAGGTCTAGAAGGTACAGGCCTACTCAAATGTGGATTCATGTTAGTAGCTGTATTATGAGTCCTAGAGGAAACTAGTTCACCAGGATTAGCTGTGCCAGAAGCTTCAACAGAATCAGCAGTGCTCGTATTTGAAGGAGGCCTGAAAGGCTTAGGACCAGACGTGTTGTTGTTTCCTTCTCGTTCCCAAGGTTTAGGAGGTCTTCCACCTAACAACAGCAAAGTCATTACAATGTTGAATACTTTAAAAGATAAAAAAGATATCAAACTGATTTTCATAGATAGATTAAAACCCTAGAAGATAAAAGCGGGAAAAAACAGAGCATCTCAACGAAGTGATCAGAAGGATCAAAGAATCTGAAAAAAGCCAAAAGATTTACGAATCAACTAACCTGATGGATGAGACTTCGCCATTATCGAGACGATTCAAACGTGTAGAGAGGTAGAGAGAGAGAGGCGGGACCTTTAAAAACAGAGTAGCAAGGGAGAAAAAAAAAACAGAGTACTTTCTTCTTTTAGGTTTATTATATTCCAGACCCTAAAGTTCCGATCTTTACCATTAAAGCCTCGAAATAAACTAAAACAGAAAAGAAAATCCCAAAAAGGATAAAAGATGAATTTAATTAAAAAAAAAAATCAAACAAAAAAGATTCCATTTTTCGTCGGCGGCGGGATTGTCTTTCCATCTCTCTCTCTCTCTCTCTCTCTCTCTCTCTGTTCCTCTGTAACGGCGCAGTCTTGTCTGAATCTCGTAATTGTCACTCTCCCATTGAAGAAAGGAAGAGACTTTTTTTTTTGTTCAAAAAAGGAAGAGACTTTAGTATCCAGAGATTTGGTGTTATTGATGGCGGCGAGCGCGAATCCGACGGAAAGTTCATCGGCGGCGGCTACGAATGGTGGTGCTGTCGAAAATGGTGGTAAAACGACAGTGGATAATAATTCAGAGACGATAAGCGCGTTGAAGCATAATCCAGGGATCTCTGTTGATTGGTCTCATGAGGAGCAATCTTTATTGGAAGATTTGCTCGCAAAGTACTCTTCTTACTCTGTCTCTATATATCTTGAGTGTACTTCTCTTACATGTTTTATCAGATGTTCTGTCTTTTTTAGTTGTGTGTAAAGTTGTTAGCTTTCATTTTTTTTGTTAAAGATGTGTCTTTTACTGTGTAGAGAAGCTGTGATTTTTGGATGTAGTTTTTAAGGTTGAATAGTAGATATGTCAGAATGAATGGTCTAATTGGCTAGGAGTTGTTGAATTTGTAAGAATCTTTTTAAAAATTTTATTTTGATAAAATGGATAAAATGATGTTTTGTTACAGGTACGCGTCAGAGCCTACAATAGTTCGTTATGCCAAGATTGCTATAAAAATGAAGGATAAAACTGTTAGAGATGTTGCTCTTCGTTGTAGATGGATGACTGTAATGTGTTCTCAGATTTTGTTACTTTTTTCTTTGTTTTTTGAATGCTCTTCTTCACCGTTGGCTTTGTTCATTAGCAAGAGTGCACTGACTGTTTTTGCTTTATCTCTGTGTCATTGTTGATGGATTGCAGAAAAAGGAAAATGGAAAGCGTAGGAAAGAAGACCTTTCCTCAAGGAAAAGCAAAGATAAGAAAGTATGTGGAGTTCTATTCCTATGTGCAGTTTTGATACTAGTAAAGCTCCAAAATAAAAGAAAGATAATTGATGCATAGAGACCACAAAGTAGCTTTTCACTGTGTTCTTCTAATGTATCTCTCTTATGATGCATATAGAAGTATATACATTAGGAAGTTAAAATCTCTTTGACATATCTGCTTGGCAGGAAAAAACTACGGATTCTTCAGCCAAGTCCACATCTCATTTGAATGTACATCCGAATGGTCCTTCATATGCTGCGCCTATGATGCCATTAGATAGTGATGATGGAATTTCATATAAAGGTTCGGTTTGTCGTATAATCTAGTTAATTTCTTTTGAGGCTTAGTCATCTAAGATTGGATTTTGGATTAGAAGAAAGAAACATGAGTGTCTTTATCTTCTTTTGCAGCTATTGGTGGTGTGAGTGGAGATCTTCTCGAACAAAATGCTCAAATGTTTAACCAAGTTTCATCAAATTTCTCTGCTTTCCAGGTGAATGCAACTGTCCCTTTTTTTTTAGACTTTGCTGTTGTTTGCTTCTTTGACTTCTATTGTTGGGCTTTTGAGTAATTCCTGTTACATTTTCTCATAGATTCTTTCCTTCCCATTTGCAGATACATGAGAACGTCAATATCTTGTGCAAAGCTAGGGACAACATCCTCGCAATCTTGAACGAGTAATATACAACATTTAATCATATATCATTTCTATGTCATTAGCACTCTTTGGAAAATTTCATTTCCAACACAAGTTATGGACCTATTATAATGTCTAAACTGTTGAACAATTTGTGTTGCAGCTTGAATGACATGCCTGAGGTTATGAAGCAGATGCCACCTCTTCCGGTTAAGGTGAACCAAGACCTTGCGAATTCCATCCTCCCTCGCCCTCCCCATCAAATGAAGTCGTGATGGATCTTTATAGAAAGCCTATTGATGGTTGATTTTTATCAAAGAAGAAAGGGAAATAAATGGAGTAGATGTAGAGTGTAATGACTCCAATAGAGTTACTACTAGTCTCTTTTGCGGTTTCGATTGTTTCTCAATGGTTTAGCAAAACTGTTAGGGTTGTATTGTCGTTTAGGATGTGAATAGATTTCAATTGTTTATGGTAAAAAGTCTTTGTATAAAAATTGGTTTTCAAGCTGAAAGGTTTGAGATTACAAGAGATGATGTGTTCTTACTACATCACACTCTCCTCTTATCTCTATGAAATATGGTAGCAAAGATAATTTAAAAAAGAGTGATGTTGTTCAAGAACTTTCTAATTTCTACTCCAATAGCAGCCAAAGCCAAGACACCAACCGCAGAACCATAACCAATGTTCCAAGAAGAGCCAGCTTTAGCCAAATGAATACCATAGAAGATGTTAGAAATAGCAAGTATTATCATAGCTCTTCCTAAGTTGTGATGATACCAGTTCCAATATATCCTGTATTTAGATTCTTTGTCCGGTCTAGCAAGCAACGCTAGGACCTGTAATGATGATAAACATAACCAAATAAAACCGATTGTTATGTAGTTATACTCGAGTTTTGAGTGTGAAAATAAGATGTACCTGGAGACCACCCATGACGAGTATTGTTATCCCAAGGGCTTTGTGTGTGGAAACATTATTTGCGTTGGTTCGGTTTTCGAGAACCAAACCGCAAATGATACCGGTTAAGCCTAGGAGAAAGCCAGTGATCTGGATAGCTATGTGAGAATAGAACCAAGTGGGCTCCCATTGCTTCATGTGTCGAGCAACTATGGCGCCTATGATTATTAGTATTCCCCAGCCGATCATGTTCATTAGCCCATGTGTCTTCCTTAGCTTAGAGTATGGTGAACCCTTCACCACACTTTGGGAACCTTTTAATTCATCAATGTAACGAAGAGAAAAACATTACTCTATGAAACAAGAACATACAGAAATTTGGAGTCTATCAATTGTCAAATATCATTTCCTGCACCATTATTATTGTTTCTTAAATTATATTTGCCAGTAGACACTGAAGGATGTTTTACAATTCTAAAATGTACTCCTTCCGTTTCATTTTAATTATCGTTTAGATTTGTGTACACAAATTAATAAATATTTAATTTTACGTATTTTCGAAATAAAAACATTATTACCTATATACATAACAACATTTCAACCAATAAAAATGTAAAATGACATATAAAATGAATAAATTTTATATTGGAATTAGAAAACTACATTTTTGTAAAAATAACTAAATTGAAACGGATGTAGTATTTGTTTGTTTTTAGTTATTATTTACTTAACATGTTTACCAAGAAAAGGTGGTATTTGTTAAGATAAACAAAAATGTATATGCAAATATTCTTGCCTAGTCTTAATATGATTGTTTGGTTAAATGTTGAAAATTGTGTTTTTTTTTTGTTAATTAGTAGTCATATTTATTGGAAAAACTATATACAGATATATTATAGTTGTTGGAAAGACCGGGTGCAACGTAATCGTATCAGAAGAATACTACAAACTTGTACCAGTTCCTAATCGTCATCATCGCAACCGTGGTTATTTATTGACGTCAGAGATGTGTTTTTTTTTAAATAAAATATTTTATTAAATTCATAATATAATGTCGTGAGAAGACAACATTACCAAATTAGCATTTGTTTGTTTCTAATCATGACCACTTACCAGACTGTCTCGTGGAGATGGCATTGATCATTAACCAATCAAATAATTGATTAATTTAAAATTGACTTGATTAATTAGTCAAATAAACTAAACAAGCTGGAATTTAAAAAGGCTACTAGAGCTAATGCCTACCTGTATTATAATTGATGGTAGTGGTTGTCATGGCTTGGTGCTCCCTCAACCGAAACCCCGGCGAAAATGGGAAGAATCCGGCAGGTCCCTTAGCGTAAAGAAGGCTCTGCCGTGGCTTCTCCGCTGTTAACTGAAAACTCATGTAAAGACGAGACGACACTGACTCGATCTTTAAAGAACCGTTGACGATCACTAAATCTCCTTGGTCAGGCATCACTTCGCTTGGTGATTGCCCTCCAAGAAAGTATTGTTTGGCCTGCCCTAAGCCGTCGGGAGGTAACCACCCGACGATGGCGCTAGATCCGACCATTTGACCGTTGGTGGAGAATCCTATCCCAATGAAGACGCTTGAATCTGGAGCCGATAAGATGAAGCTCCATGTGTTCTCTAACGTTCTAGCATACTGTATGATATGTCAAAACTTTAATATGATCTTTATATATTTAATATAATATTTTTAAAGATATTGGGACATGGAGAAGTGGACTTACTCGGAGGATGTAGTTCTGTGAAGTCCAAGCTTCGAGGCATTGAAGGAGGCTGGAGTTGAAGGTGAGGTCGTTGAGTGGTAGAGTTGAACTGCAAGATTCAGTAGCTTGCTGAATGGTGAGAGATAGACATTGAAGAGCGATCAAGGTGAAGAAGATAAAAGAAACGGAAGAATAAAGGTTCATCTTCATTCTCTCTCGATCTGAAAGATGAAAGTAGTTGTAAATAATTTTATATAATTTTATGGAACATGATGACGAAGATGACAATGAATTATATAATTTTATGACAGAAGGAAGCAGTTGAGAATTTGAGTATTTTTTTTAAAAAAAAATGTGTTTGTGTAAAGTAAATAACTCGCAAATAATATAAGTATGTGTCGTGTGTAGCAAGTCTTACTATTTGTCTCACTCTGGTCGTTGCTTATGATATGGGGAAAAAAATCTCTAGCTGTAGTGATAAAATGTGAACATCGAAGGTTCATACTTGCTCGATCGTGAAAAATACGCCAATGTTTGAAATAATGAGAGAATAAAACCCACAAATACATTCTTGAGATGGCAAATGTGTGTTTCGATATTTAAGAGAACTTTTTATAATTCAAAAAAAAAATGTGTGTTTCAAAAAAAAGTGTTTAAATGAAAGAGCTGAGATGGCAAATGTACTAGAAAGTAAAAATGGTAAGAAGAAAAAACACATCATTCCAAGTGTTGAGTCAATCAATGTTCAATAAATACATGAGACACTCTCCTTTTATAGATGATAGATAAATTCATGCTGGAAAATCAAAAAATTTTGTGTTTTTCAAGAAGTTTCTAACTTCAAATCCAATAGCAGCCAAAGCCAAGACACCAACCGCAGAGCCGTAACCGACATTCCACGAAGTGCCAGCTTGACCCAGATGAATACCGTAGAAGATGTTCGAAATAGTGAGTATTATCATAGCTCTTCCTACGTTGTGATGATACCAGTTCCAATATTTCCTGTATTTCGATTCTTTGTCCGGTCGAGCACGCAACGCTAGGACCTGTAATGCCGATAAACAAATTATGTTGATTGTATGTTTTATTGGTAAGTTTACTAGAATTTTGAGTGTGAAAATAAGATGAACCTGGAGAACGCCCATGACGAGGATTGTTATCCCAAGAGCTTTGTGAGTGGAAACATTACTGGCGTTGGTTTGCTTTTCGAGAAACAAACCGCAAATGATGCCTATTAAACCTAGGAGAAAGCCGGTGGTTTGGATAAGGATGTGAGAATAGTACAAAAGGTAACCATAAAAGTAGGCGGTGGTTTGCCTCATATGTCGTGCCACTATGGCACCGATGATGATTATTATTCCCCAGCCAAACATGTTCATTAGCCCATGTATCTTCCTTAGCATAGAGTGTGGCGAACCCTTAACCACACTTTGCGAACCTTTTTAAAATTCATCAATAATTCAGAAAACAAAAGCATTACACTGTGAAACAAACACATACAAATTTCTGGAGTATGTCACACTATCATTTTATGCACCATGATTTTTGTCTCTTAAAATTTATTTGCCACTATTTATTGAATGATATTCTATGATCTTAAAATATATATATATATATATATATATATATATATATATATATATATATATATATATATAAGAACCCTCACTGGGGTTGCTTTCAGAAGAATACTACAAACTCGTACCAGTTCCTAATTATTGACGTCAGATATGTGTGTTTTAAATAAAATATTTGATTAAATTCACAATACGATGTTGTGAGAAGGCAGCAATACCAAATTAGCATTTGATTATAATACTCGTGACCACTTACCAGTCTGTCTCATGAAGAGGGCGGTGATCATTAACCAGGCTAATAATGAATTAACTAGGATAAGAGCCGCGCTTTGCGCGGGATAAAGCTATTATTTTTATTATTTTTTTAAAAATGAAACAATATTCCGGTTTCATTCGGATTAGAGGTGTTCAATCCGGATATCGGGTTTCGGTTCGGCTCGATTTTTGGTATTTCGATCATTAAAATATAACTACTATTTTAAATCTATATGTATTTCAGTTTGATTTGGTTTATATACCATCGGTTTTCATTTTATTCAATTTTGTACCAAAAACATAATTATTTAGTTTGAGATCATATTATACATTATACAAATATATAATATGATCATATTTAGAGTCATTGTCACAGACTCATTTATTAAAAAAAATTATATATTTAAATAAAAGAATAAAAAACAAAAAAAGCTTCTATCATCTAATAAAATGATCAAATCTAGAATTAATATCAAAACACTAAATTTTGAAAATAAAAATAAAAAACAAAACAGAATCATGAAAGAAAAGTTTTTATATTCTTCCATATTTAGTGTTCATCAAACCAATATGTCTTCGATTGAACAGAACTCTGTTTGTTTAAAGATAAAAAAAAGTTGTAAAGAATTTCAAGTAATTGTTGTCCATCAAATTTATAATTTTTACTTCAATTTAGTTACTGTTAAAAAAACAAAAGATCAAAATAAGAAGTCTTAGTTGTAATAAATTGTTAGCTATTTACAAATTATAATTATAGTTCAACTCATGTAACAAATAGATATTCATGCGTCGTTATAAATATATACATATTTACATGTTTCAGTTTAATCGATTATAAATCAAACCATATCCAAATCCTATGGTTTTTATAAAATCACATCCATTCGGTTNTAGTTGTAATAAATTGTTAGCTATTTACAAATTATAATTATAGTTCAACTCATGTAACAAATAGATATTCATGCGTCGTTATAAATATATACATATTTACATGTTTCAGTTTAATCGATTATAAATCAAACCATATCCAAATCCTATGGTTTTTATAAAATCACATCCATTCGGTTTGTATGGTATATACCAAAAATAAACATATTATCGACTGTTAATATCTTTTAAAAGTATAAAATTAAAAAAGAATTAAGATATTTAAATCATTGATAACAAAAAATTTCAATGTGAAAAATTTAATAAGTTTATAATTTATAAATGTTCTTGAAAATTTATTGAAAATTTTGAAATTAAAATATTTATGTAATCTTATATGGTATATAGTTTAATCTGTATATATATATTTGTTTTATTATTGAATGATACTTTTACTTATATGGTTTTAAAATCATGTATATATTTTTATAATAAAATGTTAAACTATTGATCATTAATTTTTAACATAATAATTTTAATAGTTTAGTTATTTATTCTCGTTTCTTAAAATTCAAAATATAACCTATACGAAAAAATCTAAAGTTTAATTCTATAACTAATTTGATTGTTTAATTTATTTTAATAATATAAAATTAAATAAAAATGACGAAGGATATATAAACTGTTATCAAATATTTATTATTAGAATCATTAAGTGTCATATATATATATATATTAGTCATTTATGGTAATTCCGTAGGTTTTATTTATGGAAATAAAATAAAATAGTAATTATATCTTAGGAAACAATCATTAAGTGTCATATATATATATTAGTCATTTATGGTAATTCCGTAGGTTTTTATTTATGGAAAGAAAATAGCATATCATATCATTATATCATATAGTTTGACTAACTAATGTATCTAGCAACCTATAAAATTCCAATGTGGACTTACTTATTTTTCAATTGAATCTAATTGACTACCTAATTGAATGACACCTATGCATTGGGGCCTCTTTTAATTAATACAAAATTGAGGTTATATCTTTTCAAATGTTCCTCAATTAATATATAGGGGATTAAAGATTGACTTACATTAGTTAGTCAAATAAACTAAACTAAACTAAACTAAACTAAACAAGTTGGATTTAAAAAAAAAGTGAGATGTATTTTGCTTACCTGTAACATAATTGATGCTCGTGGTGGTGGTCATAGATTGGTGCTCCCTCAACCTAATCCCCGGAGAAGATGGGAAGAATCCGACAGGTCCCTTAGCGTAAAGAATGTTCTTTCGTGGCATCTCCACCGTCAACTGAAAACTCATGTAAAGACGGGACGACACTGACTCGATCTTTAAAGAACCGTTGACGATCATTAGGTCTCCTTGATCAGGCATCACTTCGCTCGGAGACTGTCCTCCGAGAAAGTATTGTTTCGCCTGTCCTTGTCCACCGTTCGGAGGTAGCCACCCCACGACTGCGCTGGATCCGATCATTTGACCGTTGGTGGAGAATCCAATCCCGATGAAGGCGTTGGAGTCAGGTGCCGATAAGATGAAGCTCCATGTGTTCTCCACGGTTCTAGCATACTGTATATGATGTGTAAGTTTAATATTTCTTTCATTTCAAAATGATTCATGTTTTACAAAAAAAAAATGTTTCAAAATAATACATATTTTAGATTTTCAATATGTAATAATCGTAAAAGGTAAATTTTGATAAATTATGTTTATTGAATTTTGATTGGTTAAAAATTATTGGAAAATAGTTAATAAAAACAAAGCATTATAATCAAAATTACAATGTTTTTCAATATGTATAAAAAAAATTTAAACATTAATGTTTGAAACGAGGGAGTATATAATCTTCAAAGAAAAAAATATTTAATGTGAGCTTTTAAAAAGATAATGGGACATGGAGAAGTGGACTTACTCGGAGGATGTAGTTCTCGGAAGTCCAAGCTTCGAGACATTGAAGAAGGCTTGTGTTGAAGGTGAGGTCGTTGAGTGGTAGAGCTGAAATGCATGTTTCTGTAGCTTGCTGAATGGTGAAAGGTAGACATTGAAGAGCAATAAAGGTGAATAAGATTAAGGAAACAGAAGAATAAAGATTCATCTTCATTTTCTCTCTCTGAATCTGAAAGATGAAAGCAGTGGAGGATCATGATTATACGACGACAATGAGTTATATAGCATGTGTAGTTTTATGAGACAGTGTCTGGAGAAGGATGCAATCGAGAATTTTTTTAAAAATCAAAAATGATTCTATCGTTTCTGTTCGTTGGTATAGTAAAGAGAAAATGACATTTTACTATAAGTGAGCTGAATTATAACTCAATTAAACTACTGAACCTTTGAGAATATGTATAAGTTTATATTGACCATAACAAAACCTAGTAAACCATTTTTCCGTAGAATAAATAACTCCTGTTTTACATTTAAGGAACTCGTTAAAATGTGGGAAATGATTGAAATGTAATCGTTACCTTTAAACAAATTTGTACCCATTACAAGACAAAACTGATAAATATTTCTTCATATATTTTTTCATGCTTTTTAATTTGCTATGAGTTCGCTTTTCATTGTATCTCGGACTAACCTTGCATGTATCAACTTTTAACTGATTGTGTCTGCTTCATGGCGTTTATTGATCAAGTGTTGGTTGACTAGTACTGTAGTCTGTTGCGATCCCACAAATTTACTCCGTAATTAGGCACACACAAGAAGATGAGTAGTATTATATTACTTGAAACAATTAATACAAAGTAAATCTCAATCGAAACAATCACAATGTTTCATTAACAGAAACAAAAATAAACAAATCACAATGTAGAAGTTACAAAAAGAAATCTGAATGTAGACACAAGCTTCTTTTCTTTATCCATAAATCAACAATGCACAAATCAAACCACATAAGGATGAAGACATAGGAAAAAAGGAGCAAATAATCAGAAGAATTTCATAGCTATGAGGCTGATGCCAAAGAAGAGAAGATGTGGTGAGAGGCTGTAGGCGGATGAAGGAGTGGGTCCGGACGCTGGACCTGGAGACATGGCTGGTCCAACTGTTGCAGGTCCTATTCCAACAAAGAGAGAGAAAGCTCATCAACTTATCTTCCACGTAATTAATGATGTGAATTATTGAGATGATTATGTCATTGATTCTTACCATGAGCAATATTGGCTGTAAATTTTTTTTTAATAGATAACTGATTCAATCAGGTATATAAACAAAACGAAATGATTACGCTAATGTATAGAGGTGAATTATTCATTTAATTGTCTTTCACTAGAGTTTGGGATCATTAACTAATTAAAACATGATGAATTTTTATCAAGAAAGAAAGATATGGATTCATGCTTACCTGTATTATACGCAATAGTCGTGGTAGTCTTAAACTCGTGCTCCCTCAACCTAAACTCCGGCGAAGATGGGAAGAACCCTGAAGGTCCCTTAGCGTAAAGAAGCCTCTCTCGCGGCATCTCTGCCGTTAACTGGAAACTCATGAAAAGACGCGACGACACTGACTCTATCTTCAACGAGCCGTTGACGATCTTTAGATCTCCTTGATCAGGCATCACTTTACTAGGCGATTCCCCTCCGAGCAAGTACTGTTTCGCGGCTCCACTCCCGCCGTCCGGTGTAATCCACCCGACCACTGCGCTGCTTCCGACCATCTCGCCGTCGGTCGAGAATCCTATCCCGATGTAGGCACTGGAATCTGGTGCCGATAGGACGAAACTCCATGTGTTTTCCATAGTTTTAGAGTACTGTGCGCGCCAAATTTCAAAAGTCAGTTAATTAGGTAAACGTAAATATATAAAATATTTTTATTCAAAATTTTAGGAAGAAAACAGGAAAAAGAAAAGTATATTCATTTGATATTTTCGTAAATGGATATTCTCATATTTAACGTGCTAAGTACTAGTAAAGAATTTAAAGATAAAAATTTACAAGTTTGTACAACTAAAATTAAATTTAATTGATAAATAAGATCTCCGAATAAGAATTTAACATGATTGGGGAGACTAAAAAAAGTTATATGATCAAATCAAAATCGTTGAAAACATATATTTGATTGAATATATGGATGTCTACTACTTATATTTGATCAGCTATCTAAAATATATAACTTGTCACGCAAGAAAAAATCACATGGTCTGTAAAACAAACACGCCTTCTGTAAAAAAGCTGTGTGTGTGTTTTAACCTATACTTTGGACAGAAAAAAAAACTGGTGAACGGACAAACGAACTTAACTATAATTTTTTTGGTTACCATCATATCTAATGTTATGTCAGTGTAGATCTAAATACTCTTACAAATTTGGAAATGGATGATAATTAAGCTTACTCGGAGGATGTAATTCTGGTCTCCCCAAACTTCGACGCATTGAAGGAGACTCGAGTCGAGAGCGAGGTCCTTGAGAGGTAGAGTTAAATTGCACGAATCGGTAGCTTGCTGGCCATTAACTATGGTGGACAGAAGTAGAAACTGAATAGCAATTACGCTAAATGTGAAAGAAACGGAGCAAAGCTTCATCCTCGTCATCTCTCTAAACGTAAAGGGAAATAAATGGAAGGATCCGGATGAATACGACGAAAATGACATATATATAGTGTACGAGGGTGTGAAAGGAACCAGTTGAAAAAATCAATAAATTGTAAACAATTGTTTGTGCTGTTATCGTCTTGGTTAGAATAATTTGACCCATGTTATATTTAAAAATGGGATTAATAAACATTTTCCATACCTATATCGGATTAATCGTTCAAGGTTCATGCTCGTTACTGATTTCTCAGACGAAAACATTAATATATACATATATATTTATTTCGGGTTATAATCAGGGGAGGTATGTAGCAAATGTGACAACATGTAGCGCAACATATGAGATATAACCAAGTTTTCAACCAAATGTACATTTCTCATTTTTTATAAACTAATAAATGTTAACCTTTGTTGCGGCATTTACTCCACCTAAATCCCACCTAGGTTACAATCAGGGGTGAATATAGCAAACATAACAACATTTGGCACAACATATTAGATAACCAAGTTTTTAACCAATGTACATGGAGCATTTCCCAGAATTTTCATAGAATTACGATTATTTTTTTTATTTTTTTTTGCATATGGCTTGCTCCTAGTTCCGGTTCTAATGGAGGACAATGGGTGCGACCACCCCATGTAGTCTCATTGTCTCCTCGTGTTATAGTAATTAAGGATTTCAATTTTTGGATATATAAACATATTTTTATATAAAAATATCTTTAAAAAAAATGTCCCAAAACTGTTTTTATTTCTTATTATAAATATATAAAATATTACTCATAAAAAGTTTAAAAGATAAATTTAATTAAAATGTAATATAAAGACCTAAAATTTTATCCTAGAGTCCACTAACACGTTCGGCCGGCCCTGCTTGCTCCACCTAAGTCTCACCTAGGTCCGTCCTTGGTTACAATAGTTTAATACTTGAATTCCGTTTTTTTTATAACACTTGGATTCCATTTTATGAAAAGTCCATCGAATAAAAACGATCCCTAGGGATCTCCCACTATCAAAATTTCGTAACACAGAAAAGGAGCGATGCATTTGTTAACCAATCACTGCAAAATATGAACGTCAATGTTAGTTAAACCTTCTTCTTCTTCTTTTTTCACTGTGTTAGTTAAACCTTCTAGTTTGGGTTTTTAAACCTTATCAAGCGATCACGTGCTTTTGTTATACAGTGAAACTCCTATAAATTAATAAAGTTGAGACTACCCCAACATTTTATTTTTTTTTTATTAATTTAGAGAGATTAATTTATAGATATACTAGTTGAACCAAAAACTCAATTTAATATTATAAAATTATATTAATTTATAGAGATATCTAATGTATATTAATTTATCAAGTATAAATTTATAGAGGTTCTACTGTACGTTGTGTTTTTCGGAATTTACGGTTCGGGTCTTCTTCATGAGATTATTCTGTGTAATTGAAATTCGGTCCTCTTTATATTAATTTTCCGGTTAGCTAAACCAAGCGACTAAGTAATGATGGGCCTTAGTACATTGGTTCTCGGCCCAAATGTTTATTAAGCTAATATCAGATCCCAAATCGGACTGTCGAGGTAGTCTCCACTGCTAAAGAACAGTTTCTAGGGTTCCACAGCTTCTTCTTCTTCCTCTTCACACCCAAAGATGAAGCTCGTCAGGTACTTTTTCAATCTATTTACCTCTGTGTATGGATCTCATTCCCAATCTCCAGTCCCCTGAGCTAATCTATGTCAATCATTTTGTTCCGATTTGGATCGAGTTAGGTTTTTGATGAAACTGAACAATGAAACTGTATCAATCGAGCTTAAGAACGGAACTGTAGTCCACGGAACCATCACTGGTAAGCTCTCTATTTAGCTTTAGATTTTCACTAGTGAGAAGTTTAGTTTTATTGAAGTTTAACTAATAAAGCTTGTGTGATTTTGATTAGGTGTTGATGTGAGCATGAACACTCACTTAAAGACGGTTAAGATGACTCTAAAGGGGAAGAATCCAGTGACAATGGATCATCTAAGCTTGAGGGGTAACAACATTCGTTACTACATTCTTCCTGATAGCTTGAATTTGGAGACTTTGCTTGTTGAAGACACTCCTCGTCTTAAACCTAAGAAGCCTGTTGCTGGTAAATAATAATGATTGATTATCTCTTCATTTGTATAGCCATATAATACTGCCTTTATTCCATTAACTCTTTTTGTCTTTAGGGAAACCTGTTGGAAGAGGAAGAGGACGTGGTGGTCGTGGTCGTGGTGGTGGTGCTGGTCGTGGCAGAGGTCGTTAAAATGGAGCAACAAGTTTAAGGTGATTTGAGTTTAATGAATCTGTAGGAAGAAGAACCCTTTGGTTGTCTTAGTTGTGTGTGTAGAAACTCTTGCAAAGGAATACATCTGGTTTAAGAGATTGATGTTTTTAAGGAAGTTATTATGTAATGCAACTCTTTGGATAAAGAAGATTTAAGCTTTTCATGTTATTAAGAGCATGTACAAGTAAAGCCTTTTGATTCATTTGAAAAATCTGACTATTAAAATGCTTTAACATGTTGAAACACTTAGTATAGAGAAAAGAAAATGGTATCTCTCCCGTTAGGCTTCTCAGAGGATTCTGCAATTAGGTTCGTGGTTATAGACGGGTTCCCCTATATAATCCCTAGCATTATAGCCGTAGGGATCACATGGGTGATGGTAGGATGATGATGGCACACCGTATCCATAAGACCATGGTGGATGACATGGTTGATGACATTGTGGTTGACAATGACATGGCTCTTGTTTTTCGTCTTCAGGCTTTTTCTCTTCTGTTTTTTGACCCTCGGGCTTTTCATCCTCTGGTTTCTTGTCTTCGGCTTTCTTGTCATCTGGTTTCTTGTCATCTGGCTTCGGGTCTTCAGCGGGCTTGGGTGGTTCAACTTTGTTTACGCTTACAAGCTCCGAACAGGCTACCTTTCTCCTCAGTGTGTTGGTTAGACCGATCATATCGACTTCATCACCTGTCACCTCAATTTGGTTCCTGTGGTCTCCCTTTATTTCCACAGCTGACACACCTATAAAACAATTGCATTAACTCTTTAGATTCAACAATAATTACAAGAATCAGCTTTCTCTATGGTATTGCAACATTGTTACCTTTAAATTTAACCGCGGTTTTCATTGCTTTTGCTCGGGTTTTGTCATCAGTCATAGTAACTCTTATCAAGATCTTTTGCTGCACACAATTAGAAAACATTTTAACATCACAAGAGAAGTCTCTTTCAAACCTATACAAGACATTACTTGTTATGAGCATACGTATACATACCTTCACCATGTTCTTGCTATCTTCTTAACGACCCGTTTTGTTGATGGTTAGAGGTGATCTTCTCGAGTACTGATAGGTTTTTGTTTTGGCTCAGAGATTTGAGGGTCGTCTTCAGGTCACAAGTTTGAGGAAATATAAATAAAGGAATGAGTTTATAATTTTTATTTGTTTCATGAGTCATTGTCACGTACCAACGGAATCGTATAGTCTGGATTTCATATTCATATCATTCCTTACGTGTTTTCTTGATTCTTAGTTGTCGATCAGTACACGCTTATCGTCAACTCTGAAATTTTTAAAGACCAAAACCTATGGTTATTTGATTTGGTCAAAATTGTGTTTAAATAATGGTACCAAAGTGATATTTCTTTAATATACGGTTGTCTAATAGGAGTAGTTTATATATTTGTCACACGAGAATTAGTCAATATATGTATAATGATGATTAATAAGTAAGTTTGTTGATTTAATAATCGAGCTGTGATGTGACAATTATGGAACCATGGTGTCCAAGTCTTCCATGTCTTGGTCTCCTCTAGACTACATGTTTCCCTCTATCTTCCTACTATTCTGTCATCCATTTAATAATCAAATACTACATGCCTGACTTGACATGTGCATGTTCATAGTCATGTCCGTTTTACTAGTCTTAATGAATCAATTAGGTTTAGGTTTAAACTTATGTTATAATTAGCATTTTCAACTTTGTGGAGGTTGGCGTATGATTACAATTGATGAGTTTGTGATCAGTTGTCACAAATGAGTGCTATAATCATATTAAACATTTGTCTTAATGAAGCAATTAGCTTTAAACTTTACCAAAATTAGCATTTTCAACTTTAATTAGGTTGGCGTATGATTACAATGGTTTTGGGAATAGTCACTAGTGCAGGTCCAGCATTTATAGATGTCTAAACAAACATTTAACAACATTTTTATCTTTTTCCTAATATCATATATAAAATATATAGTATAAATTATTATATACAATTTTTAAAACTAATTTAACTCTACTAACAATTATTTAAGATAATTTTATGAAGTTAGTTGTATAGCAATATTTGTTAGTATACTACCAAAGTTTTGACTGTAATCAATCAAAATTTACCAAAATAATTTGTTCATGCAAAATTTCACATTTAAAAAAATAAAAATTTACTTAATTTTATATGATTTTTACTTTTTAATGTTATATTGTAGCTTGGAGCATAAAATTCATCAAGCAAGTACCAAGTAAATGGTGGTAATCATTGCTTTTGATTACAGTTACAAAGATATATTGTCAGATCTCAAAAGTAAGGGCCACAATGTGTTGTTGGTCTACTATACAATGCAAACCAAGTATGAATACATCATTTTTATCAAAAGTAAGAAATATGTGACTGCACAAGTTTTATCGGAAAGTAATTAAGTTTGTGTTTATTTAATTCAATGATGACATGTGTAAGTCTTTTAATTAATTTAATTTTAATGTTATGTTGTAGATTAGTTGCACATAGAGTTCATCAAAGCAAGCACCAGATAACATGGGGATATGCTTTTAACATTTTACAAATTCTGCCTAAATAGTGTTGTCATTACATGAGGGTGTGATCTTAATATTATACTAATTCTGCCTAAATAGTGTTATCATTACATGACTGAAACAAATTTTTCATTTTTATGTCATTACTCCAGTTTCACTTGAAACAGGATGATATGTTTGTGTTTTGTGATCCTTCACATTAAGATTGACATTTTCAACTTTTTGAAAGTTATCGTATGATTAACGTCGATGGGATTTGGGAATTGTCACAAATAAGTATAATCATATTAAACATTTGATTAGAACAATTTAACATTTAATCTTCTTAACCAAATAGAATGTATAATCATATTAAACACATCATATCTCTTTGGAGGATCATTAACCAATATATGCCTCTGCACTTGCTTCACTCCCTCGTATAGTTTCTTGTACCGATCTTCCGTTATATCCATCAATATCCTTTTTAGTTCCGGTATTTCCTTAACCGATACTGAAACCGAAAATTTCTGCCAATTCAAAACATCACTAAACGGTAAAACATAGTTCTCCGAGATAAGAACCGGTACACACCCACTGTATATCGCCTCCGGCACTCTCGGGCTAGCCACCTCGTGACCGCTCGGGCAAATACAAAACCGGCTTTTCCTCATCATCTCTTTGTAATCTAATTCGCCCGGTAGATCCTCATAAACCAGAATGTCTTTATCCTTTTCTTTCCAGTGGTTTAGAAGAACCGGACGAATTTTTCCATGTGATTGGCCAGCAAAGAAAGCCAGCGTTGTTCGAGAAATTGAGTCTAAACCGCCGGTTAAGTTGTTGATTTCTCCGGTTTGTAAATTGATTTCAGGAAATGGAGCGTCTTTCTCCGGATTGAAATATTCTGATATATTGGCGTTACATAATACTCTTATGGAATTGAAAAATAGCTTCTTTACGTACCATGTTGCCCTATGTCCCTGTGGCAATATAATTGAATGTGAGCTTATTACACTAAGGCACGACTTTGATTGCGACCAGAACATTTAATTTTAACCAGACACTACCAAATAAAACAAGAACAACTTACCCAGTCATGGCAAGACAACATGAAGTGATCAAAACCATCACTTGTGTTCCAATACGGATATTTCTTGGAAATAATCTGAACATAGTCGACGATGACACGTTCCAATACAGCCTTGTCTCGAACAATTGGGTCGAAAAGATGGTGAAGAATCATGACAACACTAAAAGGTAAGAAGTAGACATGAGCCTTGTCGGGATCTCGGGTTCGATACTTAAGGACATCGTTTTCCATAAAGTTTAGGAACAATCCTTCCATGGAGTATATGTCTTTACAAAGACCATAGTGAAAAATTGGTGGCTCTCCTTCTTCATAGACGTATATCTTAAACATCTTCTCCATAAGAAGATAGCTTCTGCCACAAGGAAATATGTCAAATATAGTGTAACTTTTGTGACAATTAAACGCATTAGTATAAAATTTTACCGATGAAATGCATAAGGGTTTCGGTAAATGTCGCCATGAGGAACATAGTCTTCATCTCGTAGGGGAGATGATGTTGTAGCGTTAGGGTTTAGTTGAGCTTCTCTGATCAAAGCCCTCGCTGTTGCTAATTCAGCTTCTACTTTCCTGTCTCTTTTCCAGGATGAAGAACTTGAATTTATTCCATTTCTCTTCCTTTTTTCCTTCAATATTCAAAAATAAAACTAAATTTTCGGTATATTTTAATTACAATATTAGACATAGATTATTTGCATGTGTATGCATCTACTTTAACGTATGTTTTTTTTTTTTTTGCCAAATGAAATTACAGCATTTGGTACTTAAAAGAGGTTTTGTTAAAGACACAAACGTCAAAACGAGAAAAAAAATTTCCGTTTGCGTTTGCTTTTGTATTTACATGATGTAGTTTTTTTTTCTTTTTAAAAACAATATGTAAGAGTTATTAGCAAATATTCTTTTTACATCAACATGAAGACATAACACAAACATAAAATGCTCACGTTTTAAACATTCCTGCATTTATTACGACCTAAATGTGGATGAAAGGGAAGAAGTATGGATGTATACAGTGATGAATGCGGAAGAGAATGAGGAGGTCCATAATGAAGACGACGATGTTGAGAAATACAGATGATGAGATGTATTTGGATCCTTTGCAATGAAAATGGCAAAGACAACAGCAAAAGTGGCAAATGCCAAGAGAAAGGCGTTCAAGAATTTTGGAATATAATCTCTCATACCTAGTTCTCTTTCTATTTCTAATTATTACATTGTTATGTTTTGTGTTTGTGTGTTTGCGAGTGAGAAAGCAAATGATGCTGAAACTAAGGAGATCTGGATCGAGTGAGCTAAATAAAGAGAGTCATTTGTACACCACAAGACACAATTACTACACATTATTGAATTGCGAATATTTACGAAGATGTCAAATACATACTCCTTGTTTTTTGGTCTACCATATAAATTACTTCTCACTTTTTCTTTATTTCTTTTGTTTCAGTCTCTTTTTCTCCCGACTAATTTGGTTCAAGTTTGTTTTGAAGATTAGGATTAATAGGATTTGCATCAAAACTCAAAATATCGATTAATTATAAGTTTAATAAATAGGAATAAAAAATAGGATGATTTCATAGACAAAAGTCGTTATTCAAGTAGTAAAAAGACTTCATCTGAGTCTAGACTAGGATTTGAATCCGATCAATTACAACCAGTGACAGAATTAGCTTTTTATTGGAGTCAGTACTAATATACTTATATTATAACTCACGAAAGTGTTTGTTGGTAGTTAGTTAGGAACCAAACTACATTTTGTAGTATTGGCTAGTAACACTGCCTACTTACGCAGTTTGGCTACAACCAATGAAGTTTCTAGTAGCATCTACTTGCTCATAACTGGGATGTGTTTATTTGTGTTCTGTCTGTTTTAAATAACAGAGCCGTTAACATCAAAGCAGCTCGCAGAAACTGTTTCTAACGGCTCCCCATGTTCGTGGAGCCAATAATACACAGAAACGTGTCTACTTGAATTAGAGAAGAACATATGTGATATATTGAATGATGAGTGCTTATACAGGGAGTAATACAGTGAATCAGCAGCTGACAAGGCGTATCCAAATTGTGAAGCTTGCTCCATGCGAAGAGTTTGACACTGCATTTGAGGTTACAAATTTTTTGACTAAGGCTCTTTTTTTGGCAGGAATTTGCTACCTTATTGCGGGTACAGGGAAGCTACCCAGTGGACACTAAAATGCTCTAAAACGTTTCCAACATGTTCTCTTTTTTTTTCAAAAAAAAAAAAACATGTTCTTGGTAAGTAGTTCATTGGTTTGCATTGCAAAATGCAGAGAAACACACATTAATCACTGAAAATTCAAAGAAAGATTATTTAAATATTAGGTATTATGTGATATTAGCAGAGTATAAATCTTGGGAAACTTTGCTACGCAGGTGTAAAAGGCTAGCCATAAGGTGAGGTTGGAGGAGTCACATGTGCACCTTACAAGACTCTTAGGATATTTTTTTTTATGAGAAACAAAGTTTAGTTCTATTTTTTTTTGCGGTTCTTTTCCACCAAATCTTGAAACGTCAAACATTTGAAAGAGCTTTTTGGATTCTGGTGTAAAAAAGTTAGGTTGGGTCAACTCATGAGATGATCTCCTTATGTCATACAGCTAATGATGTCCTCCTAGGTGTGGGATATTTAATATTAATGACGGTTTAAGTTGTGATTGGTGGTAGAGAGCATATAATAAATTATATTTTTTAAAATTTGGTATTAAGTTCGTAGAAAGGCACTAATGAAGTACTAATAAGATAGTTAATGTTATCTGAAGGAAAATAAGTGAAGTGTCAGCAGCTGCCTTTAAGCCGGTGGTTTTATATTCGAGAAATAAGAATACGATGTTTTTGTACGAGACTTCGGATCGTCCTAGCTAGAATCTTATCTAACTAACATTTCAGCATCATATTCAACTTGTTATTTTTGCATAATCTCTCAGTGCGTCTTATCTTTACCTTTTTCTCTCCTTTTTGTGCTTTCATTATCGTTGATTTGTATTTTCAAGTTGAGTTGTTAATAAATACTCAGTTAAGATTTATGCTGTTTTCTAGTAGCAAGATTCTTTTTGTAAACTTTTTCTAGTAGCAAGTTACATTTACATCATTTGTTTTGACTGAACAGTGAACACTATCAGCTTCACTTCGTCTAATAAAGTGATAAACACGACAGATATATGAGCATTTGAAACATAAAGTCAGGTATAGTTTAGGGGTGTGATTAAAATATAGGACACTTCTTATGACATTTGTTTTCTAATTAACTTTTAAATAGTTGTTAGACGATGAAATTCATCAAGAACTAACAAAAACCTTCAACATTTTTTTTTAATTGTATGTACACGTTTTGCTTTTCGTTTGTTTGCTTAAATCGTTTAAATGTTATTATGCAAGTCAAATAGAATAATCGGCCATGGATAGTTGAAAAAAAAATCGGCCATAGATTTCATTTGTTCTTGGTTTGCCATGTAATACTACGCCGACAGAACAAGATATTTTTGGTTTTTGTTGATATGAATTGTGACTTTTCAGAGCAAAAAGGTAAAACAATAGTACTACTAGCTAGTAGTATATCTGAAACTGGTTAAAAAAACATTCTGATTCGTTCAAAACTATCGAAAAAGCAAACGCTTGAGAATCCCATTATGACACAAAAGAGCTACTTGCTTACTTGGTACAATCCACGTCGCGAGTGCATTGGTTTCAGTATTAGCAGTCGCATGACAAAACATAAACCTTTTTTTCTTACTATTATCCGTTCTTTTAATAATATCTGTCGGGACCATAAAAGTTTCTTGCTTTCACTATAAATACAACAGGGACCCACCATACCTTACAGGAAACTTTTATTGTGCACTTTTAAAAATAAAGAAATGAATTATCTAATTAAAAATTAGGCACTTTTGATAATCATCCGATTATGTCACAAGCAAGCAGCCTACATGTCACACACCCACCCATTCTCTATCCATTCATTTTCTTTCTTTGAGTTTTTGTTCTTTTGTTTCCAGAGAGAAAGAGAGAAGCAGAAGTTGTGGAATAATCGGCTCTGTTTCTAAGGATTTCTTGGTTCAACTTGAGAAGATTGTTCAAAAGATCTTTAAACAAAGAAAGATCATTTCATTATAATACGGTGAGTTGTTTCCCTCTTCTCTCTCCTTTTAGTTCTGTGACTTAAAGATCCTTCTTCTTTTAGTGAAGGGTCTGCTCTATAAAGAGTTAGATCTTCCATCTTTACGTGTTTTCTTTTTAATTATTGAGCTTTAAGCTTTGCTCTATAAAGAGATAGATCTTCCATCTTTACGTGTTTTCTTTTTAATTATTGAGTTTTAAGCTTTGTTTGGATGAGGATGATTATGATTATTGTGATCACAATATAAAAAAGTCTTGAAGAATTATTGAATTTTGAACTATAAGTCAAACAAAAGAACTGTAGATTTACTGATCTGAGGTTTGAAGCTTAAGTTGATGTTATTTTTATTTGATCTTTGATTATTTTCTTTTTATGGGTTTAATCTTGACTTGTGTACTGGTCTGTTATAGTAAATCTCATTAAATAGGTTTCTTTCCGTTTTTATGCTTCTCCTTTTGTTATGAAGTTTCCACCTGTTTATAGAAATCACTACCTGTATTCAGAAATGTTTTTATGTGTATTTGACTTCTTTTACAGCAGAAGTTGGATTTGGTCAGAGTGAGTGAAAGAAGATGGGTTACATGTGTGACTTCTGTGGTGAACAAAGATCAATGGTGTACTGTCGATCTGATGCAGCGTGTCTCTGTCTCTCCTGTGACAGGAGCATCCATTCAGCTAATGCATTGTCCAAACGACATTCTCGTACACTTGTCTGCGAGAGATGCAATGCGCAGCCTGCTACAGTTAGGTGCGTTGAAGAAAGAGTCTCTCTCTGTCAAAACTGTGACTGGTCAGGCCACAACAACAACAACAACAATCCTTCCTCAACAAATAATCACAAGAGACAAAGCATAAGCTGCTATTCTGGTTGCCCTTCAAGCTCCGAGCTCGCCTCTCTCTGGTCTTTCTCTTCAGACTTAGCTGGACAAGCTGTTTGTGAACAAGAAATGGGTATGATGAATATAGACAATGATGGTCAGACCAACCAAAACTGTAATGAGGATAAGAAAGATGTCATCGATGGCTCTTCATCAAGGCTTGAAACCAGTTATGCAGCAGATTCAAACTCATCATTTGCTAAGGTAATACTCCCTCTGGCTCAAATTAACTATCATAGAATTAAATTTCCGTTACAACATAAATGTAGTTTTGAGAATTCAGTTCATTTATGTCAATTAATTTATATTTTCTTGTCTCTAATTAAATTAAGAAAGACAATAATTATGAAATTTCTAGTTAAATAAGAACAAAATTGAACATTTAACTAGTTTTTATGTGTTAAAAAACCTAAAACAACATTTATTTTGAAACAGGAGTATTATTTTCATCGGTATGTCAATTTCCTTGTGTTGCATCATCCATGTTTTAATCATCTTGTTACTAAATTCCCAAGCTCTTGTGTGTTTATGGTTTGAAGGATGTTGGAGTGTGTGAAGATGACTTTTATGATAACTTGGGTATGGATGAAGTTGACTTGGCACTTGAGAACTATGAAGAGCTCTTTGGGACAGCCTTTAACTCCTCAGGACAGCTCTTTGGGCAATGTGGAATCGATAGTCTTTTCCAAAAGCATCATCAAGCAGCTCCTGAGGTTTCTTTTTTTTTTTACATTTTCCATTTTGTAAAATGAATGCATCTTTGTGTGATTCTAATGATGATTATGTTTTAATCTTAATCAAGGGAGGGAACTCAGTGCAGCCAGCAGAGAGCAATGATGATTCATTCATGAGTTCTAAAACAGAGCCAATAATTTGCTACACATCAAAGCCAGCACATTCGAACATATCTTTCTCTGGAGTCACTGGAGAAAGTAATGCTGGAGAGTTCCAAGAATGTGGTGCATCATCTTCCATGCAGCTCTTAGGGGATCCACCATGGTATCCTCAAACATCATCACAGGATAATAATGCTTGTTCACATTCAGTGACTCGTAATAACGCGGTTTTGCGTTATAAGGAAAAGAAGAAGGCTCGCAAGTAAGTGCCCCCTGTACTCGCAATCTAATACATGCATCAATGAAGTAAGTGCAATGTTTTCTAAATGAGACACTCTGGTTGTTTGCTACAGGTTTGATAAGACAGTGAGGTATGCTTCTCGCAAAGCAAGAGCTGATGTGAGAAGGCGTGTAAAGGGGAGATTTATCAAAGCTGGTGAAGCTTATGATTATGACCCACTCACTCCAACGAGAAGCTATTGAATGATTCTCTTAACAAGAAAGGTTTCTGAATTATGGAGTGAGTTCTCAAGTCAGAAACTTGCAAACTGTGGAAACAAAGACTACTCTCTCTGGTTTGAGAAGACACTAAACTGATGGTTTCTTGGAAGCAATCATTCATTCTTGGGATTTAATCGGTTTTTTTGGGCGTCTGAAGCTTCATTCTTGTTCAGAGGGTTCACTCTCTGCTGCTTTCATGAGTTTTGTTCTTGACAGGGAGATTTAGGGTAAAAATTGAACAATAAGATTGTAAATGCCTTTCGATTTCCATTTGTATGTAAATGCTTTTCTGTTTTGCACTCTGCCTTGTAAATGAAAGACAGTATCCAGAATCTATTAGACCAGTTATTGAACAGTTTGCCTGATGTCTCTTCCTGTGCTGTAACTGACTAGTTCCATGTGATTTTGGCTTGTTGTGCAAATTCAAGAGGTTTACTTAGCGTCTAACACAGTTTTGTTAAAGATTGATTTTGAAGTAACGAAAAGACAAAACAGTCTTAGATTGCAAGGTCACTATTACATCAAGTTTATAACTATGGATATATAGCCAATACAATTCAAAGGTTTTTGTTATATTTTTGAATTCAAATACAAAAAAAAACTTCAGGGAATACGTACGGATCAAGTTGAGCAGCAAACAAGAAAGTTGGTTCAAATTTGATTGCTGGCACGGATTTGAAAACATTGACCAAAAGGCTAAGAAAAGAACTAAGAGTCTTCAGATACAGACTCAGGCAGGCAGCAAAGTTCTTTGGCTTTATAGCTCAGAAACTTATAAAGAGAGCTAAAGACGACCTCTTCTCAAAACTAAGAAAGTAAAATTTTTGCTAAAACCATAAGAAACAAAAAAGATATAGAAACACCAAAAACACTTGATTCATAAAAAATAATACCTTCCCTCCCCCTATCCTTTTATGATCATTCTCTGTCAATACCCTTCCATGCTTCAAAGCTTTTCATCTCTTCGGTAATTTGTTAAATGGCACACACAAACACACGCAAGTCAACGAAAACCTGCACCATATCTTCCTGATTTCTTCAAATCTTCTTTTACTTTTTCTTTTGTACTTCCTGTTTCAGTAATTACTTGGCCAATTCATCTGTGTTTGCTGAGGCTGTTGGAAAACGTTGGGACCAGGTGCAACCATTTCTGCTCCAGCAACGCCTTGAGACTGTTGTAAGAGCGGATGATGAACTCCTCCTGCTGTCACTGCTGGTCCCGGATGATACATCCCTGGGAATGTCACGTGACCAGCTTGTGCTGGAGCGTAAGTCACGTGTTGCCCATGGTGCTGTAAACCGTAGAATGAGCTTGGCACATCTCGTCCTGGTCCGGCAATCCATACAGGTAATGCTTCACTCTGCAAACCAGGAAGCTTTGAGCAATCTTTTAACTGGATTGGGTTTAAAGAGGGAAAGGGAATACATTACCTGTTGCCCTGTTGTGTTGTATCCGTTGTTTTCCTTCAACTGCAATGTGTTGAGATCCTCATTGGAATTTGAATTCCCAGCTGAAGCAGCAGAGGTGGGATTATTATACCCTGCTGGGAAGGAACCATATGATGGTCCGTAACCACCAGGCATACCAACATGAGTCATGTTTCCTGTGTTAGTCCCGGGCTTGTAATGAGGAAGTGTGTATTTGCCTCCTGGTGCAGCTCCAGGGGGTGGAGGTGTATGATATACACCGCTTGCCTGAGGTTGCTGAGGAAATGCACCATTGCTTAAGAACGGGTGCATTGCCGGGAGAGGTGGATAGAATGGGGAGAAGTAGTGTCCGTATGGCATGTAGTTTGGTGGATAATGCGACATATGTAATCCCGGGGGCCGGAAAACAGGAACAGGCTGTTGCGTGACAGGTATAGAGCTCTGCATCAGCCCAGCCGCCTGAGTTGCCAGTGGAGTTGGACTTGCTGTTGACAGCACTAAGTTGTTTCCACCCTGCAAATCAACATGTTTAAGCATTTCAGATACAGAATACTTATATTATATGTTTGTAACAGCTATATCCTCTTTCAAACGTTTAATAATGCATCCAAGTGGGTGGTTTCCCTAACCTCTTGCATGGTTTGAGATGAATGCGGAGGCAATGCAGTAACATTCCCATTGAATTTGGACGCAGCAAAGGGAGAAACACGGCCTTCACTGTCAGGGCCTGGTCGATAGAATTGAGCATAGTAACTCGCTGTATCAAATGGCTGCTGGACCTTCAAGTAACAAAAGCAAAGGTCATTCTAAATGACAATATAAGCTAGGCATAATCAATCGTATAAAGCGATCAAACATATGAGAGCTTAAAATAATTTTGAAGGCATACCACAAAATTGGGAATACGAAGGGCATCACGTGCTTGAGGGTCAGCATTTTCAAATTGTGGAACCTGGCTCGCAGGAGCAGGAGGAGCATGCCCGATGATATTACTTGGAACGTGGTCAAATGAGTTTTGGTTGCTCTCGGACTCGAACATATTCTCTTGCTTGGAGACATCATTCTCTGAAGCCGCATTTGTTGCGGTGATACCTTCACCAGCCATATCATTTGGAACTTGTGAAGGCGAGTCTGAGTAAACATTATTGTCCTCATCCTTTTCAGTCGAATGGACAGTTGGGTTACTGAACTCATGAAAAAGAAACAAAAATTTAGGCACTTGTAATATGATTGCATTTCAAGACATCAAAGTAAAGGAATTTTCATACTTACAAATGTTTGAAAAAACTTAAGAACTATAAGCAAAACCCAATTAGCCTAGCCACCAAAACTATTATATCAACTGGCAGCGAACTACACTAGGAATTCTTCTTTTACCTATTTTATTCAATAATCCATAATTAAGAACTCTTTCCAACTTCATATCTAATTTGAGAGTATTTAAACGCTAAGAAGCAACAATAATAATTGACAAAGAAGAGAAAGGTAGATACCTAAATTCCTCCTCTTCGAACCTTTCTTCAACTTCTGGCGAAGTCTGAGAGAGAGGTGCAGATCTCTTTTCATTCTCTGGAAAAGCTACTGAGTTTGATGTTATTGAAAAGCCAGCATCAAAGCTTCCAAAGCTAAACTTGGTTCGTTCAGCTTCTGGAACAAGGATGTGGTTTGGAATAATAACATGCTGACGTTGGATCTGCAAGTCTTCAAGCTGCCTCTGCAATGTAGATGTACCCTCTGCAGAAGGGACAACATCTTCAACAGATTTTTCACTAGCTTCAGTAGGAACTACAAGAGTTTCAGTTGTAGATGCTGCAACAGAGCCCTGAGTAGTGTTATGGTTCACTGGCTTCGGTTTCCATTCCTTACCTAGAAACAGGTATCCATGATAATGTCAGAAGATTAACAATGCAAATTAAAAACAAAATTACGAAGAACTATAGAAGACAAAAAAAAGTTAGAAGAATCATAGTTACCTCTTTGAGGACCAACAGTCTGATGTGACCGATTACTGTAGTTAGAAGAAGGCCGGCTACCCGTGCTGTTGCTATGAGATGAAGCAGGCCTCGGAACATAAGCCTCATTCACGGATGTCTTAACAACCCCACGAGCTCTGTTATGGAACTTGCTTTCTCCAGTGTGTTGTTCATGTGCTGTCACAGATTTGGGATTTGAAGAAGTGAATCGAACCTCAGAGGAAGATGGACGAGGGAGCGGTAAAGAATCAGCTGACTTCTGCTCAGTATGCACATCATTAACGCTGTTCGAAGGGACTGAAGATCCGGTAGCTTTGCCTTGGCCTGACCGAGCTGGTCGGTTGGAAGGATGATGGACATCAGAGCTTCCTGATGTCAAACTAACAGAACTTTTATCCATCACAGCTGAATGGCTGTCAACAAGACAACAACGATCATGAGAATCACGGAATATCATACATAATAGGGATTCATACTATAGGAAGAAAGTCACCTTGACACTGCATTGTCTTTAGTTTTTGTTTCTTGAGAGGTTGAAGCTGATGGATCGGTGACCTGCTTAGGACCATTTTCTTTTCTGTAAGTATTCTTTGCACCAGCACCATCTGATTAGAGGTAAACATTGACAAAGGAGACTTTATCAATGACTGAAATTTTCAAAATCGACGAGTAAAACACGTGTGGAATGTCCTCGGAAGAAAACCAAACAAGGATAGGTTTTGAGTAAATATAACAAACAGGATTTTGACCGTAAAAAAAAACACCTTACAAAGAAAACTAATGCTGTATATCAAGAGATGCAACAACGTAAAAATTGAGTTCGAATGATTAGTGTGTTTACCATGAGATGAATGACGAGAAGAGAAGTTCATCCGACCACCCCTGCCACCACGGCCTGAGCCACCAGATCTCCATTGTGGTTCAACGGAATCCTTGTTGCCAAGATTCTGCTGCATTTAATAACATCGTCAATCACCATGTCACAAAATACAATGTTTAATGCACTTTTTACACACAATTTATCAAGAAACTCATGAAATAGACCAATAGAAGTGCAAAAACCACATACCTCCTTTCTCTTATCACGCTTTTTCTTAACCTCAAGGAATGGATCTGCAGAGTCACGAACAATTGTTAAAAATTAGTTCAAAGCATAGTATAAAATAATTTCTCAATAAAACAGAACTAAAAAACCAATACTAGAAACTGTCTCCAAACGAGATGATATTCATACACAAGCATTGACTATTTGAACCATTCTAAAATCCTAATGCAATACCACAAGATCTGCCTTCACAACCAAAAGCTATACATGATAAAACATAACCAGAGTTCCACTAATAGATCTAAAGAACACAGGTCTAAAACAATTCCAATGAGTTAACTTTTAAGCAATAAATTTATCTACAACGCATAACCAGTCATTACAAAAGTAGTCCCCCCAGAAAAAAAACACTCAGATAAATTACACTTAGAAGCTAAGTAACCTTTTGTCTCTCACACACATACACCACTAGTGGATATAAATTGATTCTCACGCATATTCTAAATCAAATCCTAAACTTCTTGTAAGAAAACGGTTATAAAAACAATATCACATAAACAACTAAAGACATCTTTCACAACCGAACATATAAAAAGACAAATCAGAAGCTAAAACCTAAGATTAGGACAAAATAAAAAAACACAAAACCCCCAAAATCGAAACCTAAAATTGCATCGCGGATCCGTTAAAATACAAGGATTAAAGATCAAATAAATAAATAAATATACCCTGAAGAAGAAGGCGTTGAGCAGCCTCATCAGGATTCATATTGCATTCAAGGAGCATTGCGTGAATCTCATCCTCACTGTAGTTCCCAGCTGTGATCTCTTTGATAGTCTGAACCGTCTTCCGAGTCTTCGCCGGAATCGAAACCCTAGCACCACCTCCCACCATCCTCTTTTCAATGTTGTCTGTTGAATCGAATCTGGGACCAGGACCAAGAGAGGTCTCGGTACACCTATAAACGAATACGCAAGTGGTGATGAATCAGAGGATTGGGGATTTGAGACTAGTTTTTGAGGAAGAAAGGGGGGCGAGAAATGGGAATGAGCAAAAATATACGCAAGTGTGATTTTTAACAAGCTTAGGGCTCTCTCTTTCTCTCTCTCTTTATATTTTTTTTGGCTTAATCCTTTTCCTTGTCACTTTTAAATTGTTCTTAATTATTGGAAATTATGAATCTGGATCTTTTTATGATTATTATTTTTTTCTTTCTTAAATGATGGCTTTTAGCTTGTTTTAAGCGGTTTTAAAAATATGATGGGGGAGGCTAAAAGTCATAAAGTAATAATTTTGACAATAACCATTGGCTTTTGTGTTTTGTGTTTTAATTTTTAAAATAGTTTATATAACTTTTACACATGTAAATAAAAAGCAAATTCTTTAACAGTTATATAAAAATTGTTCTTTTATTTTTTCAGAATTATATTTGAACAATTTTTTTACTAAATATTTGAACCGAAATTTATTATAATGCTAACTACTGATTATAGTATTTTGTTAAATATTTAAATGGTAATTAAATTAATACTTTAAGTAATATAATAATTGTTTGGAATATGCATTTGTTATTCTTAAAAACTAATCATATCTTTCAATTTTTTGTATGTTATCACTTATTATCAGTAGTTTAAGGTTTAGTACAATTTATAAATCTTTTTTTTTTTGGTAAAATGTTAAATATTATACCAAATTTTCATGTTTATGATAGAGATTATAAAGAAATACAGTAGTAGAATATAAAAAATTGAAACTAAACACAAGAATGGAAAACGACAAAAAATTGAACTGAAATAAGATTTTCATTTTCTCATTTAATTTATATTCATTTTGTCAATTTTAGTAAAATATGTTATGGATCAGAGTCAGTGTTTACTGCTAGAACCGTAAAAAAATAAATACAAATCTGTTTATATTATTAAACATTTTTGCTAAAGAGAAAAATGTAAAGAGAAATAGGGGATATTCTCTCTAATACTCTTTTCCAATAAATTAATTTCAACGTGCAAAAAAAGTTGATAAACAATTGCACTATAGCTGTATTACTATTGAATATACTCACACAAAAATATCTAGAAGCCTAAGCAAAATTTGCAAGTTTGGTTTTCCTCTAGATTTTGATCCGCGCAACCGCGCGGGTGTTTGTTTTCGTTTATAGTTAGTTATATAAATAATTTGTTTTCACTTGTAAATTGGTATATATTATAGTAATCACATATTTATGATATGTATAGTAAATTTTTTCAAACATAATAATATTATATAATGAGTGTTTTAATCAAATAGATTTTTTCAAATTTTCTATATTA